TTGATACAAAGACTATGCCGGTATTCTATTGTCCATTCGTTTTGAAACACCCTGTATAATAGATGATCTCAGGCCATTGTAAAACTTCATGTCTTTCATTCGCGTTCAAAGAAGAATAACAAAACTTCCAATTCACTAATCTAATGAATTTAACAAGCTTGTAAGGAAGAAGATTGCGTGGCGATATAAATGACCGGAATGTCCATCTACGAACTCCAAAAAATTAACCAAAGAAAAGACTGCCAAACTGCAGAGAAAAAACTTCCTGTGCAACACAGTGGTGTATACCTGCAACTCCCTGTCAATCAATAACCCTTTTTTTCTACCCTTTTCGCCTTTGTAAAAATCTTTTTCTTTTTTGTGATATCATACACACTATATTTATTTATTTATTATTTATAGATACATTATATGTTTTTTTTAACAAAGTTTTTCTCTTAACTGACCAAATGTGGTTTCATCAGAAACAGCATCTCACGATGAAAAAATGGTTTTAATTTGCACATTTCAACATAGTTTCACAAAATTGTAGTCTACTGTCGGGATAATCGTGTGTGAACGAAATTTTTCGTCATTTAATACACGCATAACTGTTCGTCGGCTAACATCATTATTTGAAGCGACTTCAGAAGATGCACCATAATGTTTAATCTTGTATTCTCATAAGTTTTTGGAGCACCTGGCCGTGGACGATCTTTGACTTGCACTGTGGACATTGCAATGGGTCTTTCTGGAAATTTTGAGTTAAACAAATTGCAAATTTTTTCTGCAGATCTCGTTTTGTCTCCGTATCATACCATTTAGAAGCGTCACATTCACTTTTTTTAATTTAAGAACTGCTGGCCTGTTCATTTCAAAATTGTTTCTGTTTTGTATTATTTTGCTCATAAAAAAAGAAAGAGATAGGTACAGAATGCAGAAAGGGAATTTAAAAAACGGAAAAAAGGAACTTGGTGTCGACATGTACTTCTTGATCCGCCCTGTATATTTTCTGCCAATTGCACGTGTGCGGGCATTTTTTCTGAAATCAAGTACCTGATTTTCAAATGTATTTGTGTTTCTCCAATTCCGATTTCATGAATTTTATTTTACAGAATTATTAAAGCTGAGGTGAAAACAATATAATCTTCATAAACAATGTTTCAGCTATTTAATTCCGATGTTTTATAAAAAATCATTAAATTTCTGTTTTGTATTATTTTGCTCATAAAAAAAGAACGAGATAGGTACAGAATGCAGAAAGGGAATTTAAAAAACGGAAAAAAGGAACTTGGTGTCGACATGTACTTCTTGATCCACCCTGTATATTTTCTGCCAGTTGCACGTGTGCGGGCATTTTTTCTGAAATCCAGTACCTGATTTTCAAATGTATTTGTGTTTCTCCAATTCCGACTTCATGAATTTTATTTTACAGAATTTTTCAAGCTGAGGTGAAAACAATATAATCTTCGTAAACAATGTTTCAGCTATTTAATTCCGATGTTTTATAAAAAATCATTAAGTTCATACTTACAAAAAAGAACAATTTAAATATTTTGATTGATCATTTGCAAAAATGATGCGTTCCACTAGCAAAATTAGGATCATCACCGGTTGCAGCCACTACGTTTTCACTGTATCTTTAGTAGAATAAATAAGTAATTTCTTCGCACTGCCGGATATACTTACCGTATAACGTGTTGGTGTTGCTTAGCAAACTCCTTCAAGAGTGTCAAGAGTCCGGCATCGTCGGCTTCCCATTTTCCGAATCTCACCTGGAGTCTCTTTAAAATAGCCATAAGAAGAATACGATTTTTGTCGAAGCCACCCACAGACTATTGACTATCATAGACGCGTCGTTGATTATCAGTAGTATAATCTCGTGCTTCTCCTTGTTCATATTATAATAGTACAAATCGTAAACAAAGGGTTTTTTCAAGCTGTCGTTGTGGTGGTTATTGAACTGGCTGATCTAGTGTCTCCTCCAGAAGTTTTCCAACCATGTCGATTTAGTACCCCCGATTGTCAGAATCGTTATAGCCCAACACGCTCTTGTCGTCCTTTATTACGTAATTTATAATTTCTTTGAAGTCCCTAGTCTGGTAAATCGCGGCTGCCACACCGGCTATCCGCAAACTGATGACGTAGATTAGCTGGTAGAAAAATTGATTGCTGTTTTTCCTCACTAGTCCGAACTCGAGGCTCAGAGAAATCAAAAACACTGTAAAGTACACTTTAACTACACTAGAGAAAATTGCGTAAAATCTTCCAAATATCAGCTTATGAGTAAGTACTGGAAAAGGCCAGATAGATCCCTGCTAGGGTCATGCAGATTCTCGAGTGTTGCAGAATCGGGACATTCATTTTTCCGCGAGCTTTCGGTTACCAACTAGTGTCATTCAGAAAAAAAAGTATTAGAAGACTCTTCTTTTTACTTTTACAGTTTTAATGAAATAACATATCATCGTAACAACAAGATAAATATTAAATGATTCATATTTAAAAAAAAATAAACAAAATTGTCTGTTAACAAACTGGTAATAACTTTTTTGAAAAAAAGCAGAACGTACATACACCCTTTAGCTCTTTACCTGATATTGCCTCACTTTTTGAAGTATACGATCCTTCACCTCTACTACACTGTTAACTCGGGTGCGATTAACCAGACTTGTAAGAAGTCCCGTTAAGAAAAAGTCCAAACTATTATGTGTGATTTAAATCTCTTACTGCAACACTAAAGTGAGAAGACGCGCTGTCACGCATGAACCACATTCTGTTCGTAATTCGTTGTATTTCCTCTATCAATATTGGCAAATCCTCTTCTACAAACCAGCTATAATTATGGCCATGTAGCCTTTCTGTCAGGAAAAAGGGACCGTTTAAGTAATTTTCAACCATATCATTTCATCGGCCAAATATGCAAGAATTAAAACGAATGGGAATATCTCTGTTAAATAACGCTTGGGTGATGATATGGATACAACAGAAAATCGTGTGAAATTTTCCAAACCAAGAAGTGCGAGATGCTCAGGTTATTTCCAATTTTTCTAGTGCTAATTTCAGGATTTTCATCAATAGAATTTAAAACTGCTTCTTCAATTTCTAGAGTTCTAACAGTTCGATGCCCCTCCCCCCCCCAACACTACAAGACACTACTACGAAGAATAGAATTTAAAAATTGATGTCAAACAACCGCCTTAACAAGAAAATTAATAATTCTTTCAGACACAACCTACTGCAATGACAAAAAATAATTATAAAAATTAAAGTTATAATCCATTATATTATTATTTTTATTAAGAGACCATGCAAAGAAGTTTTTATATTTTTATGCGAACGAAGTACATTGTATCGAAAAAAATTAAGAAATTATTTTATTAGTGATTGGGGACTGTAAGAATAATTTTTATTTTAAGAGAAATCAGTGGCGTACCATCGATATCTGCCAGCCTGTATTTTTTTTGTGATAGCCTTCCTTAGATATTTTTATATCTCAATATTTTACTGACATATTTTAGTAAAATTTGTATTGTAATTATTGTAATTTGTATATTGTCCGGATCATACATTCAATCACATATATAATTATTGCCTTTGAAAAATGGCTTTTGCATAAAATTACCACTTGTATAACTAATGGTCTAATTATTTCTTGATTGTGTTTAAAGCAGTCTAGTTTAAGGTTTCTTTCCCCTCCTACACTTTGTTATATATTTTTTTCAAATTTTATAATGCAGTTTCTTTGTAGTTTTTAACAAAAAACTCAAAGAAGTAATTAAAAAAATAAGAGATATATTACCTTTTAACTCTCTCGTTTAACTCTCATTTCCTCCGAGGAATGAACTTATTAGTTAATTTTCATTACTTAGGTTTTAGAGTATAGCAAAAATTTGGTTTTAAGCTTTTTACTTATATAATATAACCCCATGTTACAAATTTATGTGATTAACCTCCATTTAGCATTATAAAAAACACAAGGTAATAAATTATTTGAAGTAATATTTTATTTTTGTACGTCAATAAGGATTTTTCTAAAAAACAAATCTTTTGTAGCGCCCTGTATAATATGATATGTCTATGTTTTATTAGCTATGTATTAACAACTGTTGACGTAAGACTTTTTACAAAACTTCTGGATTCCTCCTGCGTCGGTTTTTGTTAAGACGAAATTGCTGACGTTTCGTCAATCATCCTGTTGGCTTCTTCAGAGCTTGACTGAAGCTTGCTCGTATGACTGATTCCCAAATTCGTGACAGATAGAGACCTGAGTCGCACTTAAGATTAGTTAGTAAGGCTCTTTCGCGTTTTTTGAGCCTTATTGATATTTTTCGTCCGGTCTCTCCAATGCATTCTTTGCCGCATATGAATGGAAGGACCACAGTGGCAAGTGTAGGATTGCTTTCGGCCTTATTGCTATTGGAAGGTTTTGGTAAAGTGTATACATTTCAAGCTCTGAAGAAGCCAACAGGATGATTGGCGAAACGTCAGCAATTTTCGACTCAACAAAAACCGACGCAGGAGGAATCCAGAAGTTTTGTAAAAATTATTACAGTAGCCTGTGGAACTTTCTTTGAAAAATGTTATCGTGAGATTGGTTGAGCACATTTTTTTTTAATTTTCATAAAAATTCACTATATTGTGCACCAGGTGCTAAAATATATACCTACTTACTTTAAGAAAAATTGTCATTTGGCTGCCACTTTGTTAAGAAATGACGAGAAATTCAAGTAGAAATATTACAACAACAAAATTGGTCATTATATTTAACGCTGTTGAAGAAAGTAAAGAGCGGAACAACTGTGTTAAGAAGTCGGCTCTGTAATGGCGCTATTTTTCCAGTTTTGTGTATTTATTTGTGGACTGAAAAAATAGTTTTGCGGAATATTTTCGTCACTGACAATAATCAAATAATATACTTTTTTCACTATTTTAAAACTTTAGGTCTCAGTCAAACGCTGAAATCCATAACCATGTCTACTAGGTCTAGCATTGTTGTATGGTTTAGTAGACGTTAAACTCACCGTATAACGGTCTGATGTTGCAGAACGAGTTCCTTCAAAACCACCGTGAGGCAGCCACCACATTCTTTCCATCTTTCGATTCTAATCTGCAGCCTTTTCAAGATCGATGCCGGATAAATGATGCAAGAGAAGAAAGCGATCTTGGTCGAGGCCACCAACAACCCGTTTACTACCACCGACACATCGTTGACAATCAAAAGGCCGCTATCGTGTTTCCTCTTGTCCAGGCCATAGTAGTACAACTCGAAAGCAAGTGGTTTTTCCAAACTCTCGTTGTGGTGTTGGTTGTACTGATCGATCTCGTATCTCCTCCAGTAGTTCTCGAGGCACATCGAAGTGCTAGCTCCGAACGTCATAATCGTGATAGCCCAACACGCTTTGGAGCACATCCGCGTCTGGTCCAAGTGGGAGCGAGTGATCTCCTCGTCTTTGGAATGCTTCACCTCTTTATCATCTTTCATTATGAAAGTTATGATTTCTTTGAAATCGCAGTTTTGGTAAAGAAGCGCCCCAACTCCTCCGTTGACCAACGCGATCACGTATATCAGTTGGGCGAAGGTTTGATCGAGGTTTTTACCGTTTATCGTGGAAATTGCAAACTCTATACACAACGATACTAAAAATATCGGGAAGAACACCCTCACGATTGCCGCGTAGATTCCGTAAGTTCTGAGAACCATCGAACGTTTAGTGGGTAAGCCAAATGGCCAGATACCTGCTAAGATCATGAAGAATCTCGCGTGGTTCAGAATCGGCTTGGGCTTTGGTACGGTCATTTATGAGTGGGCAATTCGACGTCTGACAGAGACGGAGGTCTGGTGGCCCTTTTAAAACCAAAGCCGAGCATAAATTTCTCAGTTTCTACACAACCTATAATTTGTTTTCCAGTGCCGCCCTATCATTACGCAAATGAAAGGGCTGACTGTTGTGTAGTCTGTTTTTATTGAGATTGCGTCTAGAGGGATAAGTTTAGTGCGGTTTTCGCCGCACAGGAAACATTAACGAAATAGTTTCGTGACGGAGGAAAGTATTTATCATAATAATAATGTTGTTTGGTCACATACTGAAAAAAAAAAGCCTAGGCTGTATTTCAGAAATCGATTTCTTGGCTACTCTAAATAGAGTTAAGTGTGAAACATTTTAAAAACATTTTTCATTTGCTTTTATCTCTTTTCAAATTGGGGGCGCGGTTCATATTCAAATTAGTAAATGCCTATGTATGCCAGTAACCTTTTAAACTGTTTTTTATTTACTAAAAGTATTAGATTCTTCTCCTTTGAACTTTCCTCATATATGATTTCGAAATAAAATTAAAGACTATCTTGTTTAATGCAAAAGACTTTTGCTCGAAGATTTGACACGCCTCATTAAAAAAAGCGCTTCCCAGAAATTTTTTTTTGGTTTAATTCTATATTAACCGTTTTATTTGTTTGAACCATAATTTTTTTTCCTCGCCCATTCAACCAAACAAAAACACCTTTGATATTTCTTAAATTTGGGATAGGATGGTATATTTAAATGCGGATATACGTTTTATAAAAAAGCAAAATAGCAATACTCCTTTTCGCTGAACCATATTTATGTAAGTAAACAAATTATCGGTTACAAGAGAAACGACGCGCACGACCATACGACGCGTCTCTTGGGACCATAAAATTGGTGTTGGGTGCACCTATTACGCATGTTATTGAAAATGATATCGGCGAAGCCCCTGAATTTATAAGGAATTTTGTTGGAAATATTCGTGAAGATAATTGTTAGGTAATAATATTCTCAAAATAAATTATAGTGTATTCGTTGAGAACAGGGGGTAAAAAAATATATGTGTAAAAGTTAAAAAAAAATTGTAACTAAACTGGAAGAGTGAATGATCAACTATTGTTTCTATTCTCAGCAAATTTTGGTATACAATAAAACTGGTCAATAGTTTGGGTGAAAATATAAGCTAGAAAATATAATTAATATGTAGTATTTAAAAAAAATTAAAAATCACGCGTGCAAGGGTCTGCAAAAAATACCATTTTTCAAAAACCGTTTAAAAGACAGAAAAAATTCTTGAACCAGAAGACGCAGAGGAGATATTTGAAAAAATCCAAATGAAAATCACCAACCTATTCCGAATTACCCTTATTGTCCCTACTCGCCGGCATGCTCGTCTTTTTCTTGACACACTTTCCGCCACACACGGGTGACTAACCCACCCCGAAAGCAGCTGTTACTTTCCCACGAGGGGTGCGCCTCTAATAGGGTGAACAAACGGCCTTGGCTTATTGTGAAATGTCATCGCGGCTTTAAAAGAGTATCTACGGTCGTTTCCGTTCTTTTTTTCTTTCATTTTGACTTAATAACCGCGATTTAGACGCTAGGGGACAACGCGAAGGCCGGTTATTTCAAACGCCACTCGCGGCGCACAAAAAAAGACAGGTAAATACGTAAACATTCGATGAGTCATCACGAATGGGAGCCTAAATAAATACCTATCGTTTTACCTTACGTTTTAGTGAGGTAATTTATAACCAATCTACTCCCTCTATTTCAAGTTTTCTGCTATACGTAGAATCTTTATCACTTCATGGCCGTAGTCACTGCGGCTGGTATTAGTGGTCTGCGCATAAATAACGCCCTATAAATAACTCAAGACAAGAATACTATTTTCGTCGAGGCCGTCAGCAATCCATTGACTATCACCGACATGTCGTTGATAACCAAAAGGCGGCTATCGTGCCTCCTCTTGTCTAGACCATAGTAGTACAACTCGAAAGCAAGGGTTTTTTTTTAACTCTCGTTAAGGTGTTGTACTAAAAATATTGGGAAGAATACCCTCACACACACACCTGACAGAGGGCCCTCTTCAAACCAAAGCCGAATATTTCATAATTCTCAGTTTCCACCCAAACTATAATTTGTTTTCCAGTGCTGCCCTATCATTACGCAAATAAAAGGGCCGAGTGCTGTGTAGACTGTGTTCATTGAGATTACGTCTAGGATAAATTTAGTGCGGTTTTCGCCGCACAGGAAACATTAACGAAGTAGTTTCGTGAGGGAGGAAAGTATCTATCATAATAATAAGAGACTGTTGTTTTGTCACGTACTTAGCTACTCCAAATATAATATAATATCGGCAGATGATAAAAACTAAATTTAACTAACATAAGACGGGTTTTTTATAGCCGAGAAGTGGTCGCGCTATTCGTTGCGATGTTACCTAGCAACCAGTAGAGGGGGCTGTATGGGATGGGATGGGAAGACTACTTTGTTCAATGCGAAATACTTTTCATAAACAAATTGTCATAAACAAATTATCGGTCATCAGAGAAATAACAGGCACGACCATACGACGCCTCCCATCTTGGGTCTATAAAATTGGTGTTGGATGCGGCTGTTAAATATTTTTCTCAAAATCACTGACATTATAGTGTATTCTTAGAGAAGACGGAGTAACGTAAATATATGTGTAAATGTTTCAGCAGTTGTCAAACGTAATAAAAACTAGGTTAAATACTTTTGTAATAACACTTCGATGAATGAATGACTGAATAAATTTACTATTCTCAGCTAGTTTTGATATCCAATCACACTGGTCAATAGTGTAAATAGGTGAAAACATCATCTAAAACAATTAATTAATATGTAGTAAGGGAGTTATGTAGTCTTATAGTATGTGCAATATAGAGTGTATATAGAGAGTATCTCGATATACTTGCCATATAACGGTCTGGTGTTGCCGAACTAATTCCCTCAAAACCACCAAGAGGCAGCCTCCGTCGCCTTTCCACCTTTCGAACCTAATCTGCAGCCTTTTTAGGATTGAAGCCGGATAGATAACACAAGAGAAGAATACTATTTTCGTCGAGGCCACCAGTAATCCGTTGACAATCACTGCTATATCGTTTACAATCAGCAAAATCCCAGCGTGCTTGTCCTTGTCCACACTATAATAGTATAAATCATACGGAAACGGTTTTTCCACACTCTCGTTCTGGCGTTTGTTGAGCTGGCCCACCTCGAATCTTCTCCAGAAATTTTCCAGACAAATCGACGTACCAGCTCCGATTGTCAAGATTGTTATGGCCATACACGCCTTAGAGCAAAACCGCACCTGTTCCAAGTGGCAGCGCCTGATCTCCTCTTCCTCCAAATATACTACCATATCGTCTTTCATGACGTATCTTATAATTTCTCTGAAATCCCGACGTTGGTAGAGCAACGCGGCAATACCGACGCTCACCAATGCTATCACGTAAATTAATTGGGAGAAGATCTGGTCGACGTTTTTGCCGTCGATTGTTTTGATTCCGAATTCAACGCAAAGAGACACCAGAAACATTGGAAAATACAGCTTTAGGAGCCCCGAATATAGCGAATAGGCACTGCGAAGCAGCAGCTTATGGGTGGGTAGGGCCAACGGCCAGATACCCGCGATGATCATGCAGAATCTCGAGTGTTTCAGAATCGGTTCGTGTGTAGCCATGTTTCTACTTGATTCAGACGAGGTTTGTCGACGAATGCAACGGCTTTTAACTTCAAGGCGTTGCCCTAATGTTAGGGAAAACCTGTAATTTGTTTCATGCGCCTCCCTATCATTATCTAAATGAAAGGTTTGGCTTTGTGTCGCGCGATATAGCATGTCCACGTTTATAAAAATTGCGCCTAGCGGAGAAATTTTTTTGAATGAGTTTCAAAGGGGATTTTAATTTAAAGCTTTTTTACGCCAGCCCTATAGTCACCCCCGGTGCTATATGATTCCTTTATATTTCGTTCGTGTTACAATAGATGCAGATTTCAAGGTGGAGTTGGATTTCGTGCCTCAAGTCGAACTCGAGGCTATGAACAACAGGCTCTCCTGTAAGTTTCGATTTAGTTGCTTTAGATAAAAATTGTTTGGAACCTGGGTTTTTGCTTCTGGCTATTCGGGTGTTAGGTTTCGTTCAAAATTTCTTTACAATGGTCGATTAACTATAAGGGTTTTCCAAATAGTGTATCAAAGTGGTATATCTCGTTTATTACTTGATTTACAGAAAAATGATAAATACAAAAGTACCAAAAAAATAATTTAAAATTAATAAAATCACACCTAGACACCCTGCATATTATGACATTAATAGATCACCAATCACCAATAAGGGGTTGGTATAGTTTATAATGAGTGTATTCGGATTTAGGGCAATTTTTTCGGCAAAAATTTGATACGCTTTATTTTTGACGTTGTTTCCGACAGCTGAACAAAATAAATATTAACTGAACTTGAAAAGTCTATTCGAATTCTTTCACATTCGTAATGTAATGGGGATTTTTTTTAAATCCGAGATTTAAACTGAAATAAAATTATAAACTGCGCAAATTTGAAAAAACAATTTGAACACTATTTTCCGCTAGACCCCAGTACCAAAAACATGTCGGCTGTTCCTTCCATCAAAAAATCTTGATTGAGGTGCAAGTAAAGCAGCTAATAACAACTCAATTAAGAAAACTAATGCAAAATTGACGGGTTTCAGACAATGATTTGTTTGTATGACCAACCTACAAACTTAGATTTGCATGGCTAACTTTTATATTTGCACTAAAAGACGCGATCTGAAAACATTAGTTATAGTTAGTGGAAACAAAAGAAACATTTTTTTCACCAAATTTTTATTTTATTATTTCCTTGGCTTATTGCGATATTTTCTCATAATTTTCAGAAATTTTTCCGTAAAAATATGTATACTTCAAAAAAACTAAATTTAGATATATGGAATACTTAATAAAATTGAAAGGGTAATAATAATAACTAATAATTAATAATAACTAATGAAATATAATATATAGGGTGTTCCTTTTGATTTTTTCACTTAAATTAATATTTTTCATTTTGATTCACCCTGGTATCAACGAAAACTCTCGGTATAGACCATAACAATCCTACGTTGATTGAGAATAAAAGGAAGTATCTAATAATACAATAATCTACAGGGTGTTCTTTTAAAAAATATATTACTTTGGTTTTCCACATATTTATGAATCATTGTTTGGACATCCCGTATAACAACAAAGTTGCTATGTCAAAGTGAAAAAATCTTCTGCAAAAGTGTTCGTGTAGAAATAATAACATTAAACTATTTGACATGTAGAAAACAATGACTAAAGAAATAAATAAAAATTTGCAGACAAAAAACACGTTTTCCGAGAAATGTATTTTTTTGGAAGAGAGAAGAAAGCAATTAAATTAATTAATGAATGTTTTTCCAATACCTAACTCAAACATATTCGATGCTAAGTACAAAAAAGATATTATATAAAATTTCAAAGTGTAAAATAAAAAGTTAAGTTGGAAGTTAATATAATAGGGCGGTCGTACTATGTTTGGCAATATACTTATTAACCATAATCTAAAATTTAAATCAACCCCGTCTATCTTCCACCCAACACCATATTTTAGAACCATAGATTTTTGACTTTACTGTATGATAAATTAACACACCTAGTAGATGTAAATAGTACATTATGCAACAAGTGCGGTAAACGGCATTTAACTCACGAGTTTATTTGCCACTAGCGGAGCGAGTGTTTAATAAACGTGGACCGAACGTGTTGCATACTATACTTTTTCTACGACCGTTAGTATTTGGGTACATTTTCGCAAAAAAACACGAATACATTCACTGACACGGCCGACAGAATTGACAAACGTCAAAATTTTAAGCGTGGCAAATATCTCCGAAAACATCCGATTGCTCCCAAACCCGTGCGGTAAAATTCCGGAAATGTCCGAAGTGGCTCGGATTCGTGGGATACTTCCCGCACGCTAGATCGGTCAATAATTAGGTATTTCACATACGGGAGTAAAACAATTATTTTTTCAACACACATTTGTTGAATAAAACTTATACAGTTGCTTAGTCTTTGAAAGCGGCAAAATATATGCAAACCAATTAGTAGTTTCATCTGTAATTTACTTTACACTCGAGACACATTTTCAAGACATTTAAAAACTATGCAGAAAGTGGTTTCGGAAATTTCAAGATGCGGAGTTTAATACCAGTTTTACTATTGAAACCCAATATTTTTGCTAGTGTTTTGTAAGCTCCTAACATTTATACTCTCCTGCATATTAATATAAAAAAATAATTACGTTTAACTATTAGAAATGTAGGAAATAATTACCTTAAAATAATAATCATGAAAGTTTGAGATGTTCTGTAACAAAACGTTTTCTAAAAACACCAAGCTTAGCCGTACGAGGATGCTTTTGGAAATTTTAAGCTTGCGAGGAAACAGTGGCCTATTATTTTATTTTTTAACTCATTTAAAATATTTACTCTGTTTTGTAATGCCGGAGCATTCTTGTAGCAACCGTTCTTGATCTCACATTTTTATTTACAAAAAATAGCGCACATACCCTGCGTAGTATAATTTATTAATTGCTGCGTATTCGTATAAAAAACAACCTATACAAGTATTAAATATCACTATTAGAAACGTTCAAATATATTTACCTAAAATAATCATAATAAAAAATATTTTTCCTATTGAAAGAAGCTTTTCTTAAAAACATCAAAGGTAAAAAAATAAATTTTGCAATATATTTGTCATTTTACTGTAAAAAATAAATAAAATTTTGGCTAGAAGTGAATATCTTAGGACATATATCAGCAAATCTTGCTTGATGTGGCGCAATTGTCCTGGATCGCTCGCAGTATAACACAAAACTATATGCGGCAATTTATTAACCCTGAACATTAAATCAACCCCTACTAACTAGCATCCCACACCAAATTTCAGAGCCATAACGTGCTTGCGTTTGAGTGTCATATTATACTCGATGCATTGGGGGTTAATACTAATGGATGCCCCAAACAGCTTGTTTATTTTCAATAGTCAGCTATCCCAGCCAACAAGAGAAATAAAACTTCCAGTTTTTAGTGGAACATGTGTTATTTTCCCTTGAACTTACATGCAGATGATGTACTCACCGGATGACATTCTGGTGTTGAAGAACGAGGTCTTTCAATGTTTCCGAGAAACAGTCTCCGTCGCCTTTCCATCTTTCGAACCTAATCTGCAACCTCTTCAAGATCGACGCAGGATAAATGATGCATGAGAAGAAAACGATTTTCGTCGAGGCAACCAACAAGCCGTTAATTACCACGGAAAAGTCGTTGAGGATCAACAGTACTCCAGCATGTGTCTCCTTGTCCAGATGATAGTAGTACAAATCGTAAGCAAACGGCTTCTCCATGCTGACATTCTGGTGTTTGTTGTATTGGTCGACCTCAAACCTCCTCCAAAAGTTTTCAAGACATATCGAAATCCCAACTCCGCACGTCATAATCGTTATGGCCCAACAGGCTTTCGAGCAAAACCGTACCCGCCCCAAATGGCACCGCTTAATCTCCACGTCCACAGAATATCGTATGTCCTTTTCGTCCTTTATTATGTAAGTTATGATTTCCTTAAAGTCTTTGCCTTGGTAAAGAGTGGCTGCGACACCCACGATCAGCAAGCTGATGACGTAAATTAATTGGGAGAACTTTTTCTCGACGTTGTTATTACTGACGGTGGAGAGAGTAAATTCCATACAGAGCGAAACCAAAAACATCGGAAAGTATATCTTTACCATATCAGAATACACTGCGTACGCTCTCAGAAGTATCAGACGTTTGGTGGGTATCGCCAATGGCCAGATACCAGCCAATGTCATGCAGAATCTCGCGTGGATCAAAATCGGTTTACTTTTTACGGAGAACGACATCATACGTCCTTCGATAAGCGCGAGAGTCTACGGCTTCTCGTCTATTGCAGCGATTTTAAAACCAATGCGAGCGTTTCAATATTCCCAGGTTACCCCAATCCCTATACTTTGCTTGAAGTGCCGTCCTATCATTACGCAAATGAAAGGGTTGGATTTTGCCCTTGCGTGTTTCGTTTAGATCTGTGTTTATGCACGGAAAGCTTTAAGTTCGAGATGATATGCGTCTTCCGTGATCCGTCACTTTAATTTTTATAACAAAATTGTTGAGACTAATCACAATTAATCTTGACATGACATAATTGATCGTATTTGTGAAACGTGTGAGATAATCTTTAAGATTTTGAATCGAAGTAGATTGGTTTTAATGCTGCCACAACGGTAGCAGCCCTAGGTGCCACATAAACATAAAGTTTCTTTGCGTTCAAGCTATTATGTGGTAGTGGTAGACATATTTGTGAATGGTGAAAGTTTGGAGTGACTTCGTTAATTATATAGTATTAGTGACACCAGAATCACTTTTGCTTCTTCAAATCCCAATTTACTAGTAATTTGTAGATTCTATTTAGATTCGTTTCAATGCTGCTACCACGGTAGCAGCCCTAGGTGGCACATAAACATAAAGTTTCTTTGCGTTCAAGCTATTATGTGGTAGTGGTAGACATATTTGTGAATGGTGAAAGTTTGGAGTGGCTTCATTAATTACATAGTATTAGTGACACCAGAATCACTTTTGCTTCTTCACATCCCAATTTACTAGCAATTTGTAGAATATATTTAGATTCGTTTCAATGCTGCTACCACGGTAGCAGCCCTAGGTGGCACATAAACATAAAGTTTCTTTGCGTTCAAGCTATTATGTGGTAGTGGTAGACATATTTGTGAATGGTGAAAGTTTGGAGTGATTTCATTAATTAAATATTATTAGTGACACCAGAATCACTTTTGCTTCTTCACATCCCAATTTACTAGTAATTTGTAGAATATATTTAGATTCGTTTCAATGCTGCTACCACGGTAGCAGCATTAGGTGGCACATAAACATAAAGTTTCTTTGCTTTCAAGCTATTATGTGGTAGTGGTAGACATATTTGTGAATGGTGAAAGTTTGGAGTGGCTTCATTAATTACATAGTATTAGTGACACCAGAATCACTTTTGCTTCTTCACATCCCAATTTACTAGCAATTTGTAGAATATATTTAGATTCGTTTCAATGCTTCTACCACGGTAGCAGCCCTAGGTGGCACATAAACCTAAAGTTTCTTTGCTTTCAAGCTATTAAGTGGTAGTGGTAGACATATTTGTGAATGGTGAAAGTTTGGAGTGGCTTCATTAATTACATAGTATTAGTGACACCAGAATCACTTTTGCTTCTTCACATCCCAATTTACTAGCAATTTGTAGAATATATTTAGATTCGTTTCAATGCTGCTACCACGGTAGCAGCCCTAGGTGGCACATAAACCTAAAGTTTCTTTGCTTTCAAGCTATTAAGTGGTAGTGGTAGACATATTTGTGAATGGTGAAAGTTTGGAGTGACTTCGTTAATTAAATATTATTAGTGACACCAGAATCACTTTTGCTTCTTCACATCCCAATTTACTAGCAATTTGTAGAATATATTTAGATTCGTTTCAATGCTGCTACCACGGTAGCAGCCCTAGGTGGCACATAAACCTAAAGTTTCTTTGCTTTCAAGCTATTAAGTGGTAGTGGTAGACATATTTGTGAATGGTGAAAGTTTGGAGTGACTTCGTTAATTAAATATTATTAGTGACACCAGAATCACTTTTGCTTCTTCACATCCCAATTTACTAGTAATTTGTAGAATATATTTAGATTCGTTTCAATGCTGCTACCACGGTACCAGCCATAGGTGGCACATAAACATAAAGTTTCTTTGCGTTCAAGCTATTAAGTGGTAGTGGTAGGCATATTTGTGAATGGTGAAAGTTTGGAGTGACTTCATTAATTACATAGTATTAGTGACACCAGAATCACTTTTGCTTCTTAAGAATGTGATTATTCGTTGTAACCTTAAATAATAGATAAAATACAAAAATATATTTATATTAATCCTTTTACTTAAGGCCATTATATTGAGTGAAAGATAAGGTTCCTGGAAATATTCAACATCGATATATCGCCACCTATTGATAGCCGTGCTTCATCAGGGTGACGTAAGAATACGAAGCCTTCAATATCTGAAACATAAAGCTCCATGGATTTCTTCTAATTTCAGAAAAATGTATAAAAATTCACCGCTAAAGCTGACTCCATGGTCATCGCATTAAAAGGTCCGATGGTTAACCTCAGGGGCCTCTGAGTTCGCGCGATCATAATCAACAGTATTCTCCTAAGCTTATTGTGTTGGTCGTGCCACGGACTATCGTAGAGCGCATCAGACAGAGCGACGCTCTATGGATGACTCTGAGAATATTTCGTATTTCGGTAAAACTCGGGTGATTACCTGGACTTTTATTTCATCGGTGGTAAGACCCAAAATAAAAATCTGAACCAGCACAAAGCAAAAATAGAATGCCGGTGTGAGCAACATTTGGCGGTTGTACTGAAAATTGTACGAGTTGCACTGGCAATAGGTAACAAAAGCTCACCCACAAAATACCGTCAGGAACTGAACAGAGACTGCTGCTACGTTCAGTGAGTTGAGGAGGTACTCCAAGAGAAGTAAGTACCTGATGGACTCGTTTAAATTCTTTACAAATCTGAAAAAAAAAACACTTTTTACTTTTCGGTAGCTACTAGTCTAACAAAGGTTTGTAGAATTTTGCGTTTAGTCTGATCTTGTACAGAGTTCGGTGAATTATATTCTATAATATGGAAATAACAAATATTGTATCTTTTTCTAAAATTGTTGAGTTAGCTAAAACATATTAGACTAAATTGAATGAGCTCATTCTTTGCACTCGACAGGATAGCTTTTGGAAGTTTCGCGTGGTTCATTACTCTGAATTCGACAAGTAAATCAGTTTTTTATGAGTGAAAAAATGATGAAATGTTATTAAACTTTGGTACTCACTCGATAACCCCTTGGTGTTCCACTATCAGAAGTTTCAAATTCGTCAGAGCGTCGTCGCAGCGGAGACCTACCCTCCGGAATCTGATCTGTAGGTTTTTCAATGCCGAAGACGCGAACGCTGCGCAAGTGAATATTATCACTTTGGTCGAAAATATGATCAGGGTATTGAACACTAGAGCGACCTCGGTGATCGCCAGCACCAAAGTCTCGTGCTTCCTCTTGTTGACGTTAAAATAGTACAGGTGAAGGAGAATAGGTCTATCAAGAGTTACGTTCTTCTCTCTGTTATATCTCGCCACCTCCATGTTGTGCCAGAAGTTCTCCAAAATTAGCGTCGAGCCAGTGCACGCTGTTAAAGCAAAAAAGATGGCGCTGAGCGCGTCGTTGAAACGGACCTCCTCCAGGTGTGAGTTTAAAATATCCTCGTCGTCGCTGATCGATATGAGATTCTCCTCGTTGACGACATTGGTTATTATCTCGGTGAACTTGCTACTTCGGATAACCACCGTGACGTAGTGAGTGATGAGGAGGCTTATGACGAACGGCAGCTGCTTGAACGTTTCGAGGTCAGTGGTTTGTGTGGTCAGCGTGATCGTAAACTGGATGCAAATGGAAGATACGAACGTGGCGAAGTAAAATGAGATGAAAATCGAATAGAGCGCGTAAACCTTGCATAAGGCGTTGTTTCGAGTGGGCAAATCCAGCGTCCACATTCCCACGGAGATCATGAACCATTTGGAAAATGACACAATCGATCTGCGCTTGATGGTTGTCATTGTGGCGTGTATGTGTGTGTGTGCGGTGACCAAGCGTGTCTTTTATAAAGGCCCGCACAACGTGTAATAAAGGGTTTCGACTATTCTACTTCCCCGCCCACGGAGAAACGCCCTGTGGTTATCGAAATGACAGGGGACGTCGTTCGCAGGTATCGGAGAATCTCTGATAATGATAGGTGCGCCGTTCCCCTTACAGCAGTCACGTTAGTGAGTTTTTTTTGTTCGTCCCCAAACTTTGATTTGTCGTGAAATTTAGTGACGCCTTCAAATGGTCGTCTCTCGGATATATGGAAGAACAAATCGATTCTGGATAATCTCACGATATAGAAAATGCTGTGTCCGTCAAAGCTTTAGCAAGTGAATTAATGTCCAGATTGAACTGTCAGATATTAATACTCCATACTACTTCAACGCTGAGCTAGAGAATCATCATCTAACAAGAGCAAAAAGAAGGTTCATAAAAACGTATGTCTAGAAATGCTTAGTTTCCAATATAATATGTGCAAAAATTAAGTTTATTGTGTATCAAATAGCCCAAAAAAATCAATGTTCAGAACAACACGTTTCGTCAATTTTCATTATTGTTACTTTTTCTCTCGAAAACGAGGCAAGACAAGAAAACAACCCTAGAGTCAAGAGAGTTGTACTTTTAAGAGCTTATTATGACTAGCTGGAGTGCACGTGCCACAATTTCAATCTAGTTATAACAAAATAAAAAAAATATTTATTATTGTAAAAAATCAGTTTTTAAAAATATGTTATACTCCAGCCGTATTTTGGACTGACATTTTATGAACCTCTCTCTTTTTTTCGTGACGAATCTCCAGCAGAACTTTGACGCATGTAAAGCCCTGCTAATAATAACGGTTATTTTAATTTTGCTGGTGAAGATTAGGATGATAATTAAAGGTAACGCTTTTAAGCAAAAACTATTATGTTACTGTACTTTTCTGGGTTGCAAAAAATGTATCTAGTTGGTACGACAAAATGTTTCACAATCTTTGAAATAAAATTTCTTAATACATTTGTCAGTCACTAATGTACAAAATTGCACCATGGAAAAGCTGTGCTATGCTTCTTCGTATCATTCCCATAGTTCAAAGTTAGATATTAAGGGAGTTGGGTCCGATCTTGAGACTAAGTTTTATATAGTATATTTAAAATTGTGCATTTTAGGTCATCAGAGTGACGTAAGAATACGACGCCTTCAATATCTGAAATGTGAAATAATTACTTCTTTTGTTTCTCTGTTCGATAGCTTGAAAAGCGGCCGAAAACTTACTGCCAAAGCGGACTGCATCGTCATAGGATTGAAAGGGCCTATGGTCAGCTCTAACGGCCTCTGAGTTCGAGTCAAAACGATCAATATCATTTTCTTAACCTCTTCGTTTTGGTAATGCCACGGGCCATCGTACAGGGCGTCCGACAAAGCGAGGCTCTGTTGATAATTTTCCTGTTTGATGTTTCATTAAAGTTTATGGGATTACCTGAACTCTTATTTCGTCAGTGGTCAGACCCAAAATGAACACTTGAAGCAGCACGAAACATAAGTAAAAAATTGGGGTCACTAGCATACCGGCATCGCACTGAAAACAGCAGTACTGCAGATTTAATGCGCGATTAATTTGTAATACATTTGTAATACCGTTAGGAACTGAACTGAGACTGCGGCTAAGTTCAGAGAGTTTAGGAAATATTCAAGCAGGAGCAAACTTTTTATTAGCTCGTTTAGATTCTTCACAAACCTGCAAGGAACATTTTAACGATCCATAAAAATAGGCGCAGTCGGTGGTATACATTTTTAATCAATAATTATTTATAAAGTTCTCTTGTTTGTCCATAATTCTGAATTCTGCATTATCTCTCTGATAGATAAAATTATATATTCAATAATTAAAACCCGTGTTGTGACATTGCGAAGTACTAAAGCAAGCGTAACTTCGTCGTACGGGAAGTTTCTAAATTACAAAGTACCGGGTGGTCATTCTAACGCAACCCTATACCTTATCTCAGAATATACACTAAAATATGAAGTATTTTATAAAATTTATGTCAAAAAATTATTGATAATTTTGAAATAGTTACCTCATACATTTCTTTGGAATATGATAGATTTTAAACGTTGTCATAGCCAACTAAGAATTAATATGACAAAGCTTGAAACCCGCAACAAAAGCGACCATATAAGAATAAAAAACATATAAACATTTTCACCATAGACAACCTTATACAAACTTGCTTTTATTTTTAATGGTAAACAAGACAAAATTATGTCATTTGGGGATATCTATTAAAAAAAAAGATTTTTGAAAGTTTTGTTTATTTAGTATTTAATCTTACTTTTTCAACACCCGGTAGGTTCTTGCCGACAAGGTAATAAACCCAAATTAAAAAATAAACATTTCTTTTCGGAAAAATTGGTATTTTTCTTAGGGCTTGCATTATTTAAGAGGAAAACTTAAATATGTCATAAACCATTAGACATGGATGTAGAACATTATATACGAAATTTTCCTAGAAACTTGAGTAGAATCCAAAAATCTGATAACATACAGCATGTTCGATTAAAAAAATGACGTTGTGTTTACCCAAGCAACACTGAGTGTCTTGTATATGCAAAAATATAATAAAATAAAACTTCGTGTCAAACCAGATGACTTTTCTATTTAAGATTTTTTCGTACATCCTGTACATTCTGAGATAAGATATAGGGTTACGTTATATAAAATACTAGAAACTATCAAAATAACACAGATATTACCGCTTTATTATGGTAGTTTGCGAGTCGTCATCCACACGATTTAGTTATTGTCGCTAACCCACCTCAAATAGACATACAATTAAGACAAGGAACGCTAAAACTTGCTATGACAGCGAAAAGTGAGAGCTCTTCGCAAACTTACTCTGCGATCCCTTGGTGCTCCATTATAAGAACTTTCAAATTTATTAAAGCGTCCTTTTGTCGTAGTCCTAGTTTTCGGAACTTGATCTGGAGACACTTTAGTGTCGAAGCGGCAAACGTTATGCAAGTATAGACGATAACTTTCGTCGAAACTATGACGAATGTGGTGAAACCAAGGACCATTTCGTTTACCACCAACACCAGCGTTTCGTGCTTGTGCATATTCACATTGAAATAATACAAATCCAAAAGAATTGGCCTCTCCAGAGACGCGTTGTGTTTTGCGTTGTAGCTGGCCACATTCATGTTGGACGTGAAGTTCTCCCAAAGCAGAGTCGCCGCCGTACAGAGGCACAAAATGAACACAGTCATGTTCACCGAGTTGCTGAAGCTGATTCCCCTCAAGTGGGAAAACAATATTTCCCGATTTTCACAATACATTAGCTTCTTCTCCTCTTGTTCAACGCGAGCTACGAGATCAGTGAAGCGGCCCCTCCGGATGACCAGCGTTACGTAATAGGTTGTCAGGATGACTATGACGAAAGAAAGTTGCTTGAAGGTGTCGGGCTCGAAAAACTTCGTCGCCACACTTATTCCGAACTGGATAGAGATTGACAATGCGAGAGTTGCGAAGTAGACCGCGTTGAAAACTGAATACAATCCGTAAATTTTGATCGCCGCTGGATCCCGAAAGGGCAGCTCCAGTTTCCACAACCCGACAAATAGCAGGAAAAATTTAGAAAACGACAAAATGGACTTGGGCTTCGCTGTCGCCGCCATCGGACTTGTAACTTAGGTCGCAGTGGCGACGAGAACATGAGCAAATATTTATAAAGCCCAAAACTACCCCTTCACGCACCAACATAAATAAAAGCCGATAAAATTCTCCGCCCCTGGCGGCATGTGCCCGCCTTGTGATTATCGAAATTACAGAGCTCGTGGTTGTGGTTGAGAACGGTAGTGTTATTATCGAGAAATCTCGTAGTTCCCTATTTCTAGACTGGTCAATGTCACGTTTGGATTTCTGCTAAAAGTTTTGATTACGTTTTGCTTGCATTTTTCTGTTGATCTGTTACCGTTTGGTGGGAATGACTTGGTATTGATCACAATAAGAAATATCAATCAAGAGACAAAACTTGGTTGTCAATTGAAGCATAAACTTTGGTTCGAGTAGGGAAATACGTGTATCTGAGTAGGATCAAAATCGGACAATATCATTGGACAACATATTGGCATGATTAATCACGACATCTTCGTCTATGCTTAAAAGTGTGCCACGGGGAAGTATTTTAGGACCTTGTATAAAATTTCTACAATTAACATTATAATTATATTTTAACTTCTATTGGTGAATTTTTTATACCGATAATTAGATTTGAGGTCTGCGTTTGACACTTTTATAGGTCCAATAATGGCAATTTAGGCAGGTCAGCCGTTAATTAAATGAAATATATGCATTGACAAATGATACTGTAGATTTCGTGTATTTTTTTTATTGCCAACAGTATAAAGCCTTTACAGCATTGCGATTATCACCTTTACTGTGATGATACACAGCTGAAATTTTTATTTTCGCCAGAAGGTACTGTTGAAAAATTCAGTAGTAAAATAAACGAGATGATCTATCTGCCATTATGACACCCTACGTAGATAATCGTAATACATTTAGAATAAATAATAAATAAGGGCTTTGATATTTTCACTTAATTACATCCATTGGCTGAGCATGTTCGACCTGGAGAGAGACATTTCATTTATTAAGTTTTATTTATAAAATAATTATAACTAAAACCCCAAAGTGCCGTAATAAGAAAACTCACATTTCGTACTCAAATTAATATTTAAGAGATATCCGTGGAAAATGAAACCGATGTGGTAAAATGACACTTTCCGTTCCCTAGATCGGTGTTTAATGAGGCATTTCAGCATTAGTAATTAGTATTTATAACAAAAAATTTATGCAAAAGTTGTATTGTTCAAAATAACCTTTATTCGGGATTGAAAATAAAATTTTAATTCTTTTAAGGTGTATTTTTGGGCATTTTTAAATTCGGGAACCAAAATCTTTAGTTGCATATGTTTTTTAACAAACTTGATGTAGTAATTTCGAGATATTAAAAAAATCATTATTTTTGATGTTATTTTTCTACAAAACGCGTATAGTTAAATTCATTTCTTGATTGTCCTCCCGCGTTTTTCTTAGCTCAAGAGTTGTTTAGGTATAGGTATCAACAAAGCAAGATCCAACCTTCGAAAAACAAATTTTATTCATGGTGTACCATATCAAGGAGAGAACTTCATTGCGCGGTTTGCGCCATCAGGCTGACGTACGAATACGAAGCCTTCAATATCTGAAACGCAAAATAATTTGCAGTTTTGTTCCTTTGTTGAATGACACAGTTTGTCAAAAACCCACCGCCAAGGCGGACTGCATCGTCATGGGCTCGAAAGGGCCTATGGTCAGCTCTAACGGCCTCTGAGTTCGAGTCAAAACGATCAATATCATTTTCTTAACCTCTTCATTTTGGTGATGCCACGGGCCATCGTACAGGGCGTCCGACAAAGCCAGGCTCTGTTGATAATTTTCTCGATTGATTTTTCATTAAAGTTTATGGGATTACCTGAACTCTTATTTCGTCAGTGGTCAGACCCAAAATAAATATCTGACCCAGCACGAAGCACAAGGAGAAGGCCGGTATAGACAGTTTCTTTGCGTCTTCCTGAAAGCGGCAACTTTTCACATTTAATACAGAAAGCAAACATACATATACCGTTAGAAACTGAACTGAGACTGCGGCTAAGTTCAGCGAGTTTAAGAAATACTCGAGCAAGAGCAAATTTCTGATGACCGCGTTTAAATTAGTCACGAATCTGAAAGGAAAATTAATTATAAAAGTATTTAAAAAAAATGAAAAAAGGTTTACAAGACCGGAAAAATTCTTGAACCGGAAGACGCAGAGGAAACGACTCCATATACTTTTATTCTCGACAATTTTTCGTATATGTATACGTATACGTATACGTATATATATGATATACTCAAAAAGGTATTATTTGCTGACGATTCATGAAACCAAATGGAAGAACCCAGAATCGCCAAGACAGAAAAGATCACGTCAAGTTCGATAAAATGTTCGATAAATGTTGGATCTTACCACAAGGTCGTGCGGTATTGTGCTCCGTTTTTTAGAAGCAATACGAAGAAAATAATTAACCGATTTTGCATAACGATAATGCACCTGCACGCTCATCGTTGCTTGTGTCTAACTTTTTGGCCAAAAACAGAACCACAATCATTCCTCAGCCACCATATTTACCGTATATGGGCTCTCTGTGGCAGGAACGAAAAACTCAAGGCTATACCAGAAACTGCTTGCGAGAAGTGCTACGGGAATTGGATATAAGGTTGGCACAAGTTTATCATATTTAGGGAAGGGGGCAACATTAAATTTGATTTATAAATATACACTTTTTGATAAAAGTTTTGTTGACCACACCTTGTATATCAAAAACGTTATGGAATATTAAATATCTGTTACAGAAACTTTACTACAAACTGAACAGTTGAAAATATTTTAAACAAACCAGTAATGACGGGCCTGTCTCACAGGGGTTGAATCAGGGCGGATACAAAAAATCCAGAAATGCTGTTTAAGATTAATTTTTAGGATTAAACTGTTAAATCCGATTATATCTACATAAACGTGATCTTTATCGCAAACTTCTGAGAATGAAATCTCCACACTGTCTTTTCAAGAAAACATAACATAACACAATAAACATAATGTATTGTATCAATCTCTTAAATTCATAACACGTCTCTCGATTTGCTTACATTTTACCACTTTTTTTTTTTATTGTATCTTTCCTGCCTAGCGCTGCTAATTTTTTTAGGATACATTTATAAACAGAATCTCAAAATATTAATCTTAAAGTTATTATTATTAGTTGAAATCTTCAAATACGTTGAACGTTTTTTTAACATTAATAAATCATAATCTCCTTTCATTTTTCTTGGCTCAAGATGGTGGGGTTTGTTATGAACAAAGCAAGGTGTCTTAGAACATCAAGTTTTATTTACTACAACATCAAAAATAGAAAGTTACTGTGCATTTTGCGCCATCAGGGTGATGTATGAATAGGAAGCTTTCAATATCTGAAAGGTAAAATAATTCCCAACTTCATTTTCCTGTTAAACGCTTCAAAAACCCACCGCCAAGGCAGACTGCATCGTCATTGCATTGAAGGGGCCTACGGTCAGCTCTAACGGTCTCTGAGTTCGAGTCAACACTGTCAGTATCATTTTCTTAACTTCTTCGCTTTGCTGGTGCCATGGGCTGGCATACAGGGCGTCCGACAAAGCAAGGCTCTGTCGACCGGTTTGTTATTATCTCGTTTTCTATTAAATTTAATAGCATTACCTGGACTTTTATTTCGTCAGTGGTTAGACCCAAAATAAACACCTGAACCAAGACGAAGCACAAGTAGAACGCCGGTATTAATAACAGCCTCGCTTCCTGCTGAAAATAGTACTCGTTGCACTTTGATTATAGCAAGGAAACTTACCTACACCGTTAAGAACTGAACAGAGACAGCAGCTACGTTCAGCGAATTTAGGAAATACTCGAGCAGGAGCAAAAATTTGATAAACTCGTTTAAAATTTTCACAAACCTGAAAATAATAATGATGTATTCTTAATTTATCGGAGCAGAAAGGTAAAGTCTGTTCATAGATATAAGAAAGTGCCTGATACGAATTAAGGAAAGACCCGGGCAAGCTGTAAGAATTAATTAGAATTTAATTCTTTGGGGTTTTGTTAGGAATGACACTAAACAATATTTATTTATGTATGTATTTATTTTTAAATCTAAAATAAAATTATAAATTATTTTTATTACCTACCTAAATTACTAAAAATTATTCACATAATATATCAGTATCACTATCGCTATCATCGCCTGTTCTAATTATTATTTGTTCTATATTATTTGCAATACGATTATTCTGCTTTTTCTATTTATTTAACAGAATTTGCCCACCTTTGTGGAGGGATGTTAAAAACTTCGGTTTCTATAAATTTGAGGGCATTGGAGTTAATACGGGGAAAGACATTGGCAGAGTTCAGTTGGTGCCAAACATGTTCAATGGGATTAAATATACCGTGGTAAGGTATGCCCTTTGTAGAACCTTTGTCAATTAATTGCTTTTTGGTATAATCTTCGTGAAAATAAATGTCGTTATTATGCATGTAGTCTTGGATTGTTGCTTTTGTGCCACATGAGGAAGGGGTTTTAGTCAACTGTCAACTGTGATAACTTGCGTTGTCCATTATAATGACGCTATGGGGAGGAATGTTTGGAACTAGTTTGTTTTTAAACCAACTTTCAAATAAATCAGCGGTGGTGTCTTCATGGTAATCCAGAGAAGAATGTTTAATATTTTTCGCAGACAGAATATTAAATACAGGTAGGTAATAACCTTGTTGCATTGTATGTTAATGACCACCCATTCAAAAGAAATTGGTCACTTTCTTATATCTATGAACACACCTTACTTACTCAATGATTGTTTGGTGATCGTCTATAAGAAGCTTCAAATCATTAAATGCGTCGTCTCGTTGAAGACCTAATTTTCGGAACCTGATATGGAGGCACCGCAATGCCGAAGCGGCGAAAGTTATGCAAGCATAGACGATCATTTTCGTCGAAGCTATGACGAGAGTGTTGAAGCACAGGACGATTTCGGTAACCACCAAAATAAAATTTTCATGGTGGAGCTTGTTGACGTTGAAGTAATACAAGTCGACGAGTATCGGCCTCTCCAGAGACGCGTTGTTTTTCCTGTTGTAGCCGACCACCGCCATATTGGATCGGAAATTTTCCCAGATAAGAGATGCACCCGTACAAGATGTCAAAACGACGAAGGTTGCGCTCACGACGTTGCTGAAACGTATTTCCTTGTGGTGGGAGTTGACAATTTCCCCGACTTCACTACGCATTAGTCTCTTCTCTTCTCGTTCAACTTGGGAGATTAGATCTATAAAACCGTCACTTCGGATGACTACGGTTACGTAATGGGTTGTCAGAATCACTATGAGGAAAGACAACTGCTGAAATATATCGGGATCTGCAAAGTTCGTCGTTAAGGTTATCCCGAACTTGATAGACATCGAGACCGCCAGAGTTGCGAAGTACAATGTGATGAAAGTCGAATATAATGCGTAAACTATGGTAGCTGCGGGATGTCTAAAAGGCAGTTTCAGTTTCCACAACCCAACGGATAGCAGAAAAACTTTGGAAAATGACAAAATCGACTTGGACTTAGCTATGGTCGCCATCGGATATGCGACTTCGGTTTCAATGGCGACGAGAGTCCAAACAAATCTTTACAAAGACCGAAACGACCCCACACGAACGTAAATAAAAAGCGACATTGCGATACTTTTCTCCGCCCATTTGCGGCATGTGTCCGCCTTGTGATTATCGAAATTACAGAGCCCGTTTTGTGGCTGAGAACGGTTGTGTTATTATCGAGAAATCTCGTGGCTTAGTCCCCAAGCTGATCGATGTTACCGATGCTTCAGAATCACTTGAAACGTTTACCTCTGCTAAAAATTATGATAAGGGTTGTTGTGAGATACCAGAATTGCTAATTAGTGAGAGCGCATAAAAGTTTTATTTATGTTTTCTCTACATATTCCTTAAAGTGGCCAAGGTGATTTATTTATTAACTAATAAGTTGAATGAGGTGATATAAAAAAGTGCTATCGAATCGCTGCTAAAATGTCCAGCGATTCGCATGACGATCCTGAAAAATCGTAAATAATAAAATCAAGGAAGAGTTAACAAAAAGTCGACTTTCCTTATTTACTCGCCCCACCCAAACATTTTCTTTGAAAAGTGCGTAGGTACTGAACGGAAAAATTTACGTAAAAAAAATAACGGACTTAGTTAACTTTCAGGAACAGTCACTAAAAATGACTTAATATGTATTTATAAATACGTAAGTAATATGGGATCATATTTAGTGTATTAAATATATTGCTTTTTTTTCTTTTTCGGATTTTGGAACATTTTATTTTCTCTTCAGTTGTGAGTTGTTTATAGTGCTTCAACATAATATCTTTTTTGTATATAGCTAATACATTATCTTAAACGGCACATCAATTTGATTTGTATTTATCCGTAAATATTTAATATAAGTTTTTTTTTTGATTTTCAATATTTCTGTTCTCATTTGGCTATAATCCTTATGTGAATATTCTGGAGCTGATTGGTCATACTGTGATACATTATTGTCTTACTGCGTTGTTTTGCTTGCTATAGTTTGCTTTACAGCAATTTTAGTGAGTGTAGTTGCCTAACGGATCGGACTGGAAGGAGCGGTGGAGTTGCCCTTTATGTCAAGCATGAGTACAAGGTTGATATTTTAGAGTTTCACTTTGACATTAACGCGCAATGTATTGCTTAGAAAACGAAAAAATCTTATTAATATTTTATTTATTTATCAACGGGCAAACCGCCAATATAAAATAAGATTCACATAAACAAAATAGTAAAAGCAAAATAAAATAAAATAGGATGAAATGGATTGATTCCATAACATTAATATTAAAATGGCAGTAAGAACACCTATGCCAGTAGAGAGGCATCAATACACTGTTATTCAATACTGTTCAAACAAAATTGTACCGAATTTTAATTCAACAATAACCTAACAAAAAAGGCAAAAAGCAAAATTCAGGCTGTAAGGAGTATGTCATTTAATATTTTTGAATAATTTTAATTATTTCTGATATATTTAGAATCTTTAATGGGGAACTTTAAATTTATCAATATATTGGAATTATATTGACATAATGTGTTGCCCTAGTTGCTTAAGATGCTTGAAATTTGATGTTTTTTTGTATTGATTTTTAATTTACAAACATTAAGGTATTGCTTAAAAAGTACGATGTTCTGGTATTATTAGAAATTTTTTGGTAATATATTCTCCAACCGTATTTGTGTTCAGTTCAGTATTTCAGTAGTCAAATTTAACGAAAAATAAGAGTGAAGATACAAAAATTAACAACAAACTGAAAGAAATAATACAAAAAAAAGAGTTTTGCACGATTTTCATGAAAACGGTAAGTTTTATCGTAAAACTACCTCAGACAAAAATTGTAGATCATAAAATTATCTATCAAAAATGTATTAATAATATTTTTTTTACTAAGAGTTATCGTTTCTGTGTGTGTAATGTTGTAAGAGCTGTAATCATCGTAATAAGCATGCGAGTAGACCAAGTATTTCCATCTGTCTCCCTGTTCTGTGTGCATGGCTAGAGTGTATACCTGCTTGATGTCACAATGAGCAATAACTGATATCCCGTTCGTTTCTTGCTGTTTTGAATTTTATAATAACAACGTCAGAATATTGTTTTACTTCTGGTAAACGTTTAACTAAAATTCTTACTGTTATAGCGGTATGAAGTCATTAATAGATGCAAGTATTGAGAGAGCCGATGAACGCTCAGTTTCTTAAAAATCTATTGAGTAAGTGAATCAGCTTTCTGTTTTAAAAATCTTTGCTTATTCTGCAGTAGTCAATTCAATGAAGTGTATGAGAGAAGAAAATCTTCCGATTCTAGCCGTCGAATTGGCCAAGTAAGTACGCTTCGATTTAAAGATACAATCTCTAAAGTAGTTCGGACTCGCTCCGATGCTATAGCAGAAGCTGTTCTTACTCGAGTCGGATATAGATATGACTTAGTTGCAGTTGAAGCTTAGTATTACCGTGATTGCTACGTTTCTTTCTTGAAACCTTGCTGTGATGGTAAAATCGGTCGTCCCAAAGACGAAGCTATGAATTTGGCATTGGAGGAAATATTTACTTACATTGAAAGTGGCGATGATTGTCAGTTTATTTTGAAGGAACTAAGAGATGTTTGCAAAACAGAAGCATGGTGATAAACTCTTTGTTACTATTTTTAATTAAATCACTTTCATAATTTCACAACAGACCTGTGGAATAGTCCTACTAGGCAAACCAGGTTAAAAAAACCCGGGTGGTGTGGAAACGTGTGTATATCACAGCTTTTACAACATTTTGATCAGTTATATCTCGGAGACAATGGCTCTCTGGAAAAAAATGATGACTACCTTTTTTATAGATAATTTAATGATCTACAATTTTTGTCTGTGATAATTTTACGATAAAACTTACCGTTTTCCTGAAAATCGCGGAAAGCTCCTTTGACCTTTCGTTTCGTGAGCCAATACATTTCTCTCTCTTTCCGTCAGTGTAGTACCATTTGAAAAATTGAAATCCGTTTAATCTAAAAAGCAGAATGTTTCCGTCGCCCTTTGCCTTATGTATATGTATGAGAACAAGTTTAATTTATTTCGATATCAAGCAATGGAGCTTATTGTGCATTTGGGGCCATCAAGCTGACATATGAATACGGCGCCTTTAAAATCTGAAATGAAAAGTCGTTTCTGATTTAGTAATTGGTGAATTATTGAAAAAAAATGTAAATAAAACCTACCGCTAAAGCGGACTGCATCGTCATGGGATTGAAAGGGCCTATGGTCAACTCTAGTGGTTTTTGAGTTCGAAGCAGCACTATCAATATCATTTTTTTAACCTCTGGGTTTTGGTTGTGCCACGAACTACATGTCATCCGACAATCCATGGCTCTGTTGTGAATTTTGATTAGTATTAGTGGTCAGTGAAAATGGTACAAGTTGCACTTTTACAGCTTAACAAAAATTAACCTCTGAAATGCCACGTTCAACGAGTTGAGGAAATACTCGAGCAGGAGTAAATTTTTGATTACGGCATTTAAGTTGGTTACAAACCTGAAAGGTGTAGTTTATCTTTTAAAAGCAAAGAGCACTAAATGATCTAAAAGTGATACTGAGTGGAAGTGCAACGAACAACCAGCACAAACAAGACTCTAAGAAATACTAGTGATATATGTATTCCGGTTTCCTTTTTATTATTGCCGTCTTCTATCTTCTGTCAACTAAAACACTTAAGAAGGAGCTAGTAGAAACAAAAGTTTTAAAATGTCGGAAATAAATTATTTCACGGAGCGATATTAAATACAAATAAAGGCAAATGGGAAAATTAATTGATCATTTCGTAGTAATTCTAGACTATAATTAGTTTCGGTACAATATACCGAAATTGAATGGTTTGTGTTTTCGTTATTCTCGTCTGAACATCAGTTTTGTTTATATGTATATATATGTATGTATTATAATTAATTTTGGCACTAAAACATTTGAAATACTAAATTGCATAATATCATAATTTCTAAATTCGATATTTTGTTAATTAAAAAGTTGAACTGAGGTGGCTTTTACTTGATGAAAATCCATTTATCAAAAATAAATAAGAATTAAAAGTTCAGATTGTCAAAGAAAGCTTGAAAGTGCTCTGCCGAGGAAATGTGACAGCGGTTCCCAAACTTAATCGACAACCTCCTGATGTTCCATTATAAGCAGCTCCAAGTCTCTTAACGCGTCTCCCCGTCGTTGACCTAGCTTTGGAAACCTGATTTGGAGACACTTGAGAGTGATCGTATTGATGAACAGCACGATTTCAATTGTTCGTTCATATTAAAATAATAGACTGCCTGGTCAAAGACTCGTTGTTTTTTCTATTATAGAAATTTTCCCAGACAAATTTCCCTCAAGTGTGATCTCGAAATGTCATCCGCAAATCGACTTGGTTTCCTTTGTCGTCGCCATCGGGCTGATAACTGCGGTCTCAGTGGCAACAACAAAAAAATTTTATACGTTCCTACATGTACATAATTAAAGGGCTATATTGCAACATATTTCTCCTCCCATGGAAACGTGCGCCCCCCGATTATCTAAATTACATGGAACGTATTCTTTCCCAGCTTTGTTGTAGGAAAGGAGGCGTATCATTGTCGCGAAGTACCTTTCTACACGCTAGTTGAAGTCACTTCAACATTTCGGGAAGAATCAGGGTGTCTCCTTCTGTTTGTCTTGAGATAGCAAAGTTCGTGCGCAACCGAATGCTGGACACTTGAAACTGGTCAACAAAAACTCCGAATTGTTTTCCGAGGTCGATGTCTGTATAATTAAAAAAGATATTTGAAAAGGGATTTAGGTGTCTGAAGGCTCATTCTATCCGCTAATGCCACGTTTTCGCAGAGGCTTTCGAAATTGTGTAATTTTTATTATACAGGGCGGTAAACTTCACATTCCGGAACCCATTTCCTAATATCCTTATTAGTTTTGCAAATATTATGGATCACTAAAAACAACTAAATATTTTTTTAACAGTTTTGGCTGCCCCGCAGTTTATTAAAAGTGTGAGTTTGTGTCCGTCAGTCGCATTTTTATAAAAAAACGTAAGCTAGGATATCTTTTGTGTGGAGTTTTTTTAAGTTATTTATGAATCGGAAAGTTTGGGTTATAAGGAAACTGTTTGACTTCGATAGCTGAAATTTTGATCTAAATTTTTTTCAGATGCTAAAGACATTCAAAATAAATAAGAACTAAAAGTTCAGATTTTCACTAAATTATATTTTGACATGACAATTGTTTCGACAACACCGTATCTTTATCAAATGTATATGATAGAAGAAATAATATTTTATCTAAAGTAATGTAATAACGATAATATAATAAAATATATACTAATTTCAATTATGCGTAATACTAGCTACATGTACAAAATGGTCCGCAATAAATGCGCCAAAAAGCAGTCCTAGATTAAACTCGTGAATATATTGAAATTGTTATTTCTTTATATTTCAAGCAATTTTTGAAATATCAACATGAAAACTTGGATCAGGGGGTTTCTGCAGATGAGCTAGAAAAATTACATTTTTTTTGGCATAATAGGTAGAGGGCGCCCTTTGTTATTTTTTTAAATTATGATAGGTAAATATTATGTGATAGAGATCGATCATGCATAACTAAATAAAGGTATACTATATTTGCTTCCAATAACTATATCATTTTCATTAAAACACATAAAAAACGGCCTCGAAAACCGGTCCCAATTTCAAAGTAAATGTCAATCAGGTACCATTGAAATTGTCTGTCCTATATGCTTTAATTTACTAGAATAACAAAGAAGCTTATTGTGAATTTTGAGCCATCAAACTGACGTAAGAATACGATGCTTTCAAAATCTGAAACACAAAAATATTTTCGGGTTTTGTTTTTCAATTAACTGTTTAAAAAAATGTCAAAAACTCACAGCCAATGCAGACTGCATCGTCATGGGATTGAAAGGACCTATGGTCAGCTCGAGCGGTCTCCGAGTTCTAGTCAAAACGGTCAATATCATTTTCTTAACCTCCTCGTTTTGGTTATGCCACGGGCTATCATACAGGGCCTCCGACAAAGCGAGACTCTGTTGAGATTTTTGTTGGTATTTCGCTTTCCATTTAAGCTTACACTATTACCTGGACTTTTATTTCGTCAGTGGTCAGACCCAAAATAAATACCTGGATCAACACGAAGCACAAGTAGCATGCCGGTGCTAATAGCATTTTTGGATCGTACTGAAAATAGCACATATTGCGTTTTTATTACGTAACTGAAATTAAACTCTGAAATACCGTTAGGAACTGAACTGAGACTGCCGCTAAGTTCAGTGAGTTCAGGAAATATTCGAGCAGAAGCAAATTTTTGATAACCCCGTTTAAATTCGTTATAAATCTGAAATGAAAAAATATTTGTGGTTACAAAATTTCAAAATCGGTAAACTATTACTGGTGGTCTCTAGATAAGAGCTAAAATTATAACCACATCGTCTTCAAAGAAAAAATATGTTTCGTATTGAAATATTTTCTTTGAATGAAAAGATTTAAAACGCTAGACATGCTTTCGTCAACAAAAATAGCAATATTTAATCTTCCGAAATGTCAACTATGACAAATAGTAGTATTTCGTATTCAATTGTTGTCTTTGTATGCAAAGATTATGGAAACTTTACGCAACACAAATAGCAGCTTTCCTAGTTGTAGTAGCTTAGTTGGTAGCCACAATTATTACATCATCCAGTTCTAAGAAAAATTATATTTTGCAGTCAATTTCTTTTTAAACAAAAACAGCTGCGGCTCCCAAACTTATTCCACGATCCGATACATATTTATAATAATTCAGAGAATATTTATGCTTGCAAATGTTCAAAATTGAGAAATAATCACTAGTAGTACTTAGTTAACGGCTATAATTACAACATTATCGAACTTAAAGAAAAATTATGGCAAATAAAAACTTACTCCATTATCCGATAATGTTCCACTACATGTAGTTTCAAATCTGCCAACGCGCGGTCTTGTCGTATACCTAGTTTTCGGAACCTGATCTGGAGACACTTGAGGGCTGAAACGGCGAAGGTTATGCAAGCATAGACGATCCCTTTCGTCGAGACTACAACGATCGTGTTAAAGGCCATCACAACTTCGGTAACCATCAAAACAAAATTCTCGTGTTTGTGCTTGTTCACATTAAAGTAATACAAGTCGAAGAGAATCGGTCTTTCTAGAGACGCGTTATGTACCCTGTTGTAGGTGACCACTTTCATGTTGGACCAGAAATTCTCCCAGATGAGAGTGGCTCCCGTGACAATCGTCAGTACCAGGAAAGTGGTACTCACAACATTGCTGAAACGGATTTCTTTCAAGTGGGAGAGCAACATCTCGTCATCTTCTAAAAGCATCAGTCTCATCTCTTCTATTTCAACGCGAGCTACGAGGTCGGTGAAGCTACGGCTTCGGATGACGAGAGTTATATAGTACGTTACTATCAAGACTATGACGAAAGAAAGTTGCTTGAAGGTATCGGGACCTGCAAATTTTGTCGCCATTGTTATCCCGAACTGGACAGTCATCGAGAGAGCCAGAGTTGCGAAGTAGACGGTGATGAAAGTCGAATACAATGCGTAAACTATGATGGCTATGGGATGTTTAACGGGTAGCTTCAGTTTCCACAACCCGGCAATTATCAGAAGAATTTTAGAAAAAGACAAAATCGATTTGGATTTTGCTATAGTTGCCATCGGGCTTATAACTACGGTCTCAGTGGCGACGAGAATTCAAACAGTTCCTTATAAAGGCCAAAACCACCCCTTTCCACAGGGGCGTAAATAAAAGGCGATATTCCGATATATTTCCCCGCCCACGAAAACCGCACATGCCCTGTAATTATCCGAATGACAGAGTTCGTGCTTTTTTGCGATTTATGCTTGCAAACCAAACTATTATTATAGAGGCTGGTGTGCCAGTCGGACTTTATTGGAATATTTAGATTTTTTTTTTAGAAATTATAATTTATTCATTTGGTGGATGAAGTTTTTATCTACCTCAAACAAGGTTGCCAAAGTTGAGATTTCTTTTTACGTGGTTATTTGGTTCTACTGAAACAACATTGTTGCCTGGTCAGTCGGAAAGATCGTCAATCACACTAAACGACTTGCTATTTACCGCTTCAAATCTTCAAATCTATGAAATACACTGTCAGAAGATACCCAAGACATCTTGAGATGTAATTCCAATTGTGAAAAAAATTCAATTTGTTGTTGGTCGACATTTTGGAATGTATGTTATTCTTTCGTCGAGGTTAAAACGACTATATTAGACAGTTTCTGAATTGTTGGCATTTGTAATTTATAAATTTTATTTGGTAAGCGTGCACAAAAGAAGCTATGATATATGATCTGCTAGCTTATTTTACTCTTTTGCTTTGCTTGATCTGTTTGTTGGTGTATGCTTTTAATATACAACTATAGTTTGCATCATTTCTCTAGTTGGTACATTATACATGATATTTTTACCTATTCGCTTTGTTCAATCTAAGAACACTAGAACTTTTTATAAAGTATAAGGTTCTTCGGAAAGTCATTTCGTTTTTTCCCGTCAGAGGACTTAATTACGTTTTTTCGAAACCAACTTCACACTTAAGCCGCATAACCATTATATGTCTTGAGAGCTGATATCTCAAGGCTTGTGTGTGAAAAAGTTCTATTAATTCTACGCAGTAGTTTTTGGTTGGTGCCCTTTTAAATATGGAGAGCAATAAGCAGCATTTTCGTCATATTTTACTTTTTTACTTCAGAAAAGGTAAAAATGCTGTCCAAGCGAGAAAAAAATTGACGGATGTGTATGGAGAAGGCGTGTTAACAGTACGCCAGTGCCAGAACTGGTTTGCAAAATTTCGATCCGGCAATTTTGATGTCGAAGATGCACCACGGTCTGGAAGGCCGGTCGAAGCTGACAAAGATGCGATAAAGGCATTAGTTGATGCAAATCGGCGAATAACCACACGAGAGATCGGTGAGAGATTAAATTTGTCGAATTCGACTGTTTATGGCCATTTGAAAGGCATGGGCTTAACCTCGAAGCTCGATGTGTGGGTGCCCCATGTCCTTACGGAGCAAAATTTGCGTCGTCGCGTTGACGTGTGTGATTCGCTCCTCATACGTCAAGAAAATGATCCATTTTTGAAGCGGATTATTACTGGGGACGAAAAATGGGCTGTATACAACAATGTTAAACGCAAGAGGTCATGGAGCGGAAAAGATGAACCGGCTCAAAGCGTGTCAAAAGCCAACATTCACCAAAAAAAGGTGATGCTTTCCGTTTGGTGGGATGTCAAAGGAATCGTTTTTTTTGAGCTTTTGCCGGACAATACAACGATTAATTCAGAAGTCTATTGTCATCAACTGGACAAATTGAATGATTCAAAATTGATTGAATGGCAAAACCTTTACCTCAAATGAAGATGTCAAAAACCACCTGAACCAGTTTTTTGCCAGCAAGGACCAAAACTTTTATGAGAGGGGAATTATGTTACTGCCAGAAAGATGGCAAAAGGTGTCGGACCAGAATGGCCAATATATAATTTAATAAAATATTTATTCATTATACGAAAACTCTCTTTCATGTTCCCCAAAAAAAACGAAATGACTTTCCGAACAACCCAATAGTTCGGTGATTTGGAAACATGGTATGGACAAGCTCAAAAACTTTCTGCAGCATCTCAACAGTCAGCATCCCAGCATCCAGTTTACTATGGAGACTGAAAATGACCAACAACTTGCATTCTTGGACGTACTAGTGAGGAAGCGAGGTAAGAAGCTGGGCCACACAGTTTACAGAAAACCAACCCATACGGACAGATACCTGCATGCTCTATCCAACCATCACCCAAGTCAAAAGCATGGGGTTATCAGAACCCTGACAGAACGAGCCCGAAGGATTTGCGAACCGGAGAATCTCCAGATGGAACTTGAACACCTAAAAACTGCGTTCGAGGCAAATGGCTACAGCAAGAGGGAGATCGAGAGATCAATGAACTCAAGATCATCAAGATCACGGGATACCGAACAACGACCCTCCACCTCCCACGCATATCTGCCCTATATTCCGAGTGTCACCGACAGGATTGGCAAAGTATTGAAAAGACACGACATCAAAACAATCTTTAAGCCTACAAAGAAGATCCAGCAGACCATCAGGTCAGCGAAGGACAAGAGGGGTTCACTTTCAGCTGCAGGAGTCTACCGCATTCCGTGCTCATGCGGAAAGGTCTACATCGGAACTACGAAGAGATCAATGGGAACGAGACTTAAGGAGCATAAAGCAAGCTGCAGGCTAGGACATACAGAGAAGTCTGCAGTAGCTGAACACGCACTGGGCAGCGGGGAACACAGGATACACTTTGAGAGCTGTAAGTTACTAGCATCGGTCAACGGCTATCACAACAGACTAGTCAGGGAAGCCATTGAGATACAAAAACACCCACACAATTTCAATAAAAAGGAGGAGACCTTTAGACTCAACCAAATCTGGAACCCGATCCTTAGGAATGCCCGAGCAGTACCGATCGTTATCCCGAGACCAACCGAAGCGGAACAAGCCCCGCCCACCACCAATCGGCATAAATACAACCTGCGCAGGAGAAATCGTCAGTGTACGTCCAACATCGGGGATGGAAGGACCTCTGAAGAAGCTCGCCACTCGTGCTAGCGAAACGTTAGGAAGTAATTCCAATCGACGACGGCCTTTAAACCCGAATCAAGATAATAGCTTATCAACGGGCCGCGAAAGCCTTAACCAATTTAACCCAATAGTTTCTTATACGTATATGCAGCAATAGCAAAACTATGTGTTTTTCAATCAAGTAATTAATCTATAATTAAAATAATATTAAGCTACATATTCTTAGTGGATTATTTATAAAAGTATGCTAAATATATATTTTTTGGCAGGTGTTGGTGGGGATGTTTGAAGCAAATTTTGGTTTTAATTCTGATCAAATAATACAGCATAAAAGGAAACCTTCTTCCCCGAAATTTAATCAAAGCAGTTAGCCTAAGATCAAGTGGAATAAATGAAGATCAAGTCGAATAAATCAGGATCAAGAATATTTATAAAAGTATCGTATATATACATTTTTTAGTACACAAAAGGAAACCTGCTTCCCAGAAATTTAATCAAAGCAGCTACCCTAAAATCAGGTCGAATGAATCACGATCCCAATTTTAGATTGTGAACTTTATTTACTGTGCATTTTGGTATATCAGGATAACCTACGAACACGAAGCGTGGACAAGAAAGCCGATTTCGGGTTTATTCTTGAACAGGAGAACTTTTTACAAAGTGTTTTGGTAAAGTTTTTCAATTTTTAGTGAAATATCGAATATCGAAATAGCAATAACGAAAAATGTCAAATCAATCAATTAAAAGTATCATAAATATACATTTTTTGTCACAAGTTGTTGGATGTTTGAAGCAAATTTTGGTTTTAAATCTGACCAGATTATACAGTGTAAAAGGAAACTTTTCCCGGAAATTTCATCCAAGCAGCTAGCTAAGAGGCAATGAATCAAGATCTCACTTTTAGACTTTAAGCTTTTTTTATTGTGCATTTTGGGATATCAGGGTAACGTACGAATACGAAGCTTTCAAAATCTAAAACAGAAAATGAGTGGCCGCAATTTTAATTATTACACCAATTTTCGATCACTTACCGCCAAAGCTGACTCCATGGTCATTGGATTGAATGGCCCTATGGTTAACTCCAGAGGCCTTTGAGCTCGAATCATTACGATCCGGAGCATTTTCCTACAGGTCTTGTTCTGGTTGTACCAAGGGCTATCGTACAACGCGTCTGACAGTGCGAGACTCTGTTAACACTTTGGTTAGTATTAAGTCTTTAAATAAAGTATTTTGAGTTACCTCGACCTTTATTTCATCCGTGACGAGACCTAAAATAAAAACCTGTACCAGCACGAATGTTAAGTAGCACGCAGGTCTCATTAGCATCTTGGAGTCGTACTAAAAATGGTGTAAGTTACAATATGTCATAGAAAGTTGCGTTTGAATTACCGTTAGGACCTGAACTGAGACTGCAGCTACGTTCAGCGAGTGCAGAAAATACTCGAACAGGAGCAAATACTTGATGGATTTGTTCAAGTTCTCTACGAATCTGAAACAGTCCATATAAAGCACAATATACGGCGCAGTCGGTAGGATGGCATCAAATATGATTTTTTTTGTTGTTCTTTGAAAAAATATATTGTTTGAGGGGCGCGGAGCTAAATGAGGGGCATAAACACCGTCTCGGATGACTGGATATTGGTGACGAAACGTCAGCAAGTTCGACTCAGCAATAACCGACGCAGGAGGAATCGAGAAGTTTTGTAAGAAGTATTCTTTAGCTCTTCTCTTCTTAGAAAGTCAATTTTCACAAGATGCAGTAATATTTGTAACCATTTCCGACCCATGTGTTTCACCGATAACTCTGCGTATCGTGTTTACTACGTCTACATCTACTTTGAGGCTTCATTCCGTATATTTTGATACCAGGCTTATCTATGTGCACCCGCCGCTCATCTCTTTCATCAGCATACTTTTGCAGTAACAACATAAATGTTGATACATTTTTTTTGATCATACATAACCGAATTTAATAACAATACTTGAACGTTATGAGGATCATTTTTGAGAATATGGGCAAGTAATTGCAACTAGAATGTTTTACTTAGTTACTTACCATTACCAGAATCTCATACTCACTCAATTACTTCCTGGTGTTCCTGTATTAGGAGTTTTAAATCGGCCAAGGCGTCTTCTTGCCGCAAACCTAGTTTCCGGAACCTTATCTGCAGACATCTCAACGCTGACGCAGCAAACATTATGCAAGTATAAACGATAACTTTCGTGGAAGATACAACATGGGTGTTGATGACCAGCATGATCTCCGTGACTATCAGCATTAGAGTTTCGTGTTTCCGTTTGTTTAAATTAAAGAAATACAAGTCGATGAGAATGGGCCTCACGAGGGAAGTATTATATTTCTTGTTGTAGTTGAGCACCTTCATGTTGGACCAAAAGTTTTCCCAGATGAGGGCTGCTCCCGTACAGATGGACAGAGCGAGGAAGGTAGTGCCCACGGCATTGCTGAAGCGGATTACTTTCAAGTGGGAAAGTAAAATTTCCGCCACTTCGCTACGAGCGAGTCTCTTCTCCTCTCGTTCAACTCGAGAGATCAGCTCGACGAAACCGTCGCTCCTGATGACCAGCGTGACGTAATAGGCGGTGCCTATGATTATGACGAAAGAGAGGTGCTTGAACAAGTCCGGATTGGAAAAATTTGTCGTCAACGTTATCGCGAACTGCACGGACATCGACAATGCCAGCATCGCGAAGTAGCCTGGCATCAATTTAGAAAATACCGAGTAAAATTTGACTGCGGCGGGATGCCGGAACGGTAATTCAAGTTTCCACATTCCGACAGATAGCAGGAAAATTTTGGAAATTGATAAAATCGACCGACGTTTCGGTGCGGCCGCCATCGGAACTGCCGTGGCGACTGGTGCCTCGATACAGATTTTTATAAGGCAACGACACCTTACCGATCGAACATACACAAAGACTCCCTTTGTTCCGCATATCGTGACACGCCCACCAGAAACAAAGCTTCTCTGTTATTATGGAAATGACTGAGCGCGTGACGTTTTCTGGTCTCTGTCGTCTATCATTATCAAGAAAACTGACCTACCGTATTGGCTGACTCAGCGGCAGTTGTTGCTTTTCCTGTCTAGGTTCGAGTGGATATGTTTTTATTTTAGTCTATTAGTCTTTTAGCATGGAATGCCCATGTAATATTAGGAAAGGTGTAAAATAAGAGTCCACGTATTGATGTACAAAATGCTAACGCATACTCCGAACAAACTTACGTCTCAGTGATGCCTTTGCTAGCGCCTTAAGCTAATAGTCACTTGACTAATTGAAGATCTGTTCAGGAGCTGTTCATAGACTAAATTGACGTATGATTGGTGGAGTGGTGGAGGAGTACAGCGTCAGCTAACGGATAATTATTTACTAGATTCACACTTTTGGTTGTAAGTACAAGTATTAGTAGTACGTTTTCGCAATACTACGCTAATTTGTTCTGATACTTGCCGTACTGTAAACAATAAACAATCGGAAAAGAAAACACGGTTCCTTCTAATCGACTAACCAACATGGATAGATCAACCAAGCTAGGACGTTATCGAATTGGCCCGTTGTTTCAAGTAACACCATAAAAAAATCCAATATGGATAGATCAACGAATAGGTCCGTGAGTCTCAATCCGGCGTTGAGGCAATATGTCTTGTAGTATTTCAAGATAACGATTTCCTTCAAAAGTACAAAATTTTGCAGTTCCTAGTATGAAACAAGCGACATTTAACCCGAATCCACCTTCTTGCTCACTAGGGTGTATCAAATGTTGATTTCCAAGTGACCAATATCTAGTATTATGTTTATTAAACATTCCAGCGCTACTTATATACGAAAACCAACAACCAACAACAACAATACGTCTAAAGCAAAGTCCTTTGGTGGATGCGTTGACGTTCTGCACAACCTTGATATGGAAATGGTATGCTTTACAGGAAAGTTTCTATGCCCTGTCTGAGTGCCCCCGTCTTAAAGGATACCAATTACTCTGTGTTTCATATTGTACTTCGCGGCCTGCCAGGTGGTCCAAACTTTATCTCAAATGCATGTGAAAGTAAAATATTACGAGATATCCCGACTCACCCGTTTCTAAAGTTCATAATTTCTGAGGTACATTGTTTCAAAAGTTAGCCGCTTGATTTCATAAAATATATGAAAAATAACAATCTGCCTTCATCTACATAAGACCTGCATTACTTTGAATCTTTCCAAAATGAAACAAAATTTTTGGCACTTCCTGTAGTTCTCCAAATGTATGCTTGATTGCCTTCACTTTAAATCGTGGAAATAGTGATTCTTGAGAAACGACTGTTAAAATCAACCTTCACCAAAGACAGTATTTTCAATTAAAATAATAAATTAAATTCAAGGTGTATTATGTAAGACTAAAACTAAGTAGAGCTTTAACAGCTGAAGTTCCAAATCATCCACTTTTAGACTGAAGAAAGCCGAGTTGAAGATATTTGATTACGACCTAATGACTCCTGTAAAACTACTTAAGCGGATCTTATTATAATAGAGCCTGACAGTAAAGAAACAAATATTAAGCAAATAATGTATTTATAAATAACAATAAGTATATGATAATATTATGAATTTTTTATTTTTTAATATTAGAATTACCTTTCGAATACCCAATTTTTGGTCACTTTTTCTTCACCATAATCAATTTAATAGTAACAAAATAACAAACAAACCAAACGAAATGAAAAAAAAATGGTGACGAAAATTCAGTGACTGATGTTTTTAATGATTATTTATTACAAAAATAAATAAATAAAAAATGCCCAATGGTCAACATAGCAATTTGATACTTAAAATTAGATTTTAATTATCCAAATGCATATCAGACAATCTAAAGGCTCTCTCGGCCTCCGTCGCGTTCCCCCCAATAGTAGTCCATATGATAAGACACTATGAAACAGTGCAAAATAAACTATACGGAGCGTGCTTAGCGAGATTTAACCTCGCAGTTGTCTCAGAACAAAAACCTGAGAAGACAATTTACCGCACAGGTAGTCTATATGAGGCGACCAGGTTAAAAACGCATCTTTTTGCAGAGAACCACTGCTCAATCATGGAGAGTGTAGTGACAGTCTTTTTATTTAAATTAGTTGGATCTTTCTCCGATTCAATCAATGTTGTGTCATCCGCATAGAGTATACTGCGAGCAGCATTTGTTGCAAATACCACATCATTTATGTATATTATAAACAAAAGTGGACCAAGGATGGAACCCTGAGGCACTCCATTAGTAATGTCCAACAGAGCGGATTCCCGATCATTCCAGACAACATATAGCTTTCTTCCGGTCAAATAAGATTTTAAAAGGGCTATGGTATTTTCACGAATTCCGTAGTACTCAAGTTTAGAAAGAAGTATATTAGTATTGACGCAGTCGAATGCCTTGCTGAGGTCGCACATCGTTACCGAAGTCGACAGGCCCTCCTTAAACCCATCAATCGCATGCTTCACATGCTCAATCCCTGTGTATAAGGCACGGATGGTGGACCTACCTGACCGAAAACCAAATTCTTAATCTGTTAATAATTTCCTTCGATCAAAGTAAGCGATAAGTTTATCTTTTATTATCGACTCAAAAATTTTTCCAATGCCATTGGCCTGAAATTATCTAAGATATTAGTATCCCCTTTTTTATGGAAACATCCCTCTTCAATGCTATTGTATATTGTATTGTATTAGTAACGTAATAGGTTTCAGAAGTGAAGATATTGATTGCTTAATAATATTGGCATTTAGACCATAATAGTCAAGACAATGAGAGTTTTTTTAGTTTTAAAATCGCTCCTCTAACATCACTCTCCACAACTGCTGACAAAAGAAACAAGAAATTGGGTCTAGTTGATCTGGAGATGTAGGTCATAGCATCTACTACTGAAGGTGTGGTGCTATCCGTTATCTCCGCTGATACAGAAGCAAAATATCTGTTGAACTCCAACGGAGTAATTGTGCTTAGACCGTCTCTCCGAATTAACAATATTTCATGTCGTTTTAGATTTTTAATTTGAACTCAGAATTATCTATATATATGTAAGTATGAAAGTCTTGGTTACGTTTTGAACTATGGTATTTTTTTTTAAGACAGAAAAAATGCTGGCGCATTTGTTTAAGGTTTTCATTGAACCATTTAATGGTTAGTTAGAGAGATGGAGCAATGGATAGTTGAGTTAACAATGGGAAAGAAACAGTCGACAGCTCCCCTAAGTTGTTCAATAAACATAGAACAAAACTCAACGCCACTTTGTTCGTTACTGACAAGTTTGGGCCACTCAATGTGCTCCAGACTGTGGCCGAACGCAGTTATACGTTTTTTATTTATTAACCTTCTTTTAATTTTATCATGATTAGGACAAAGTACTGACGAATTAACTTTTATTAATTGTCCCAAATGATCTGACAAAACGGGGTCACAAACTAGGACACTTATCCGTTCACTAGGAAAATTGGAAAATTGGAATAACAAAGTATATACCGGACGTCTATCGCGGAATCCCATACAAAGACAGCATAATTTTTGGAAGCAAACAATTCGATTCTGTTATATCTGATATTATAATAGATACAGGTTAATATTTTAGAGTTGTTCATATCTTGTCAATAAAATCGCAAACAAGTTTTTTGAGAAAATTTTTATTTTAAATTTTAAACAAGAAAATCACAATAAAATTGTTATGGACGTACTGTATATGCCGGTAATTTTTTACAGTAAAATTTGAAATGTGTAATTTGAATTTTGCTCTGTACAATGCGGTATTTGATTTTGCTAATGCCCTGCTGAGCCTTGAATTATTTAAACGTTTATTTTAATATTTCATCACAGTTTCTGCATTCTGATTTCACCCACCAAAGCAAAGTTTTCGAAATCTTAGGAATCAATAACGATCAACAACGATATTACTGATAGCCGTGCATCATAAGGGTAACGTACGAGTAGGACGCCTTCAATATCTAAAAATAAATCATTTTACGCCAATGACATTAAAATATTTTTATTCCAGAGACAAATGTATTATGTCAACCATGTAATTTTTTCCTGAGACATACGTACAGCTAGAGCTGACTCCATGGTCATAGGGTTAAAAGGTCCTATGGTCAACTCTAGGGGTCTCTGAGCTCGAGCTATCACGATTAGTAAATTTTTTTTCACACGTCCGCCTTGGTTGTACCACGGACTATGGTATAGAGAATCGGATAACTTCAGGCTCTGCAATAATCTTCGCCATTTCTAAACCTTTATGCCTATAGCGTAGCTAATTCACCTGAACCTTGATTTCGTCTGAGGTCAAACCCAGAATAAAAACTTGGACCAGCACGAAACAAAAGTAAAACGCCGGGGTTAGCAGAGTTTTGTTTTGAGACTAAAAATGAAAACAAGATCAGTTCCACAAATCCATGTTCTCATTAGACAATCACAATCATCAACAATCGATTTACCATAAGAAACTGAATCGAAACTGCTGCCATATTCAGTGAGTTTAAAATATACTCGAGCAATACTAGAAATTTTATAGAAACGTTTAACTTTCGCACAAACCTAAAACAGAAACCTGGTTACAGAAACAATTTGCCATTGAGAACGAAAAAGTTCATTCCATGGCCTTCTACTGCTTCACCTTCATTTACAATTGTCTATTGAAGTAGAAATTCTTTTGCTAACAATCTTTGCGACTCACTCTATAAGCTTCTGGTGATCAACCACCAAATCATTCAATTTTCTCCAGGGATCCTCCCTACACGACCCGACCTTCCGAAATCGTATCTGAAGCTCTTTCAATGCTGACGAAGCGAACATTATGCATGTGAACACGATCGCCTTGGTCGAAAATAGAATCACGGTGTTGAATATAACTGCCAGCTCTGTGATGATCAGCACCAACGTCTCGTGCTTGCGTTTGTTCATGGTGAAATAGTACAGGTCGATGGTGATGGGCCTCTCTAGCGTGGTGTTATGTTTTTTATTGTAAATCGCCACCTCCATATTGTACCAAAAGTTCTCCAGAATCACGGTGAGTCCAGTTCCGATAGTGAACGTGAAGAAGAACAGCAAAATCCTCCAATCATCTCGCACCTCGTTCAGATGTGAACCTAAAACCTCCGGATCTTCGGAGCGAAGCATCCGCCCCTCCTGCTCGATGACCTGGGCGACTATTTCCGTAAATCTATCGCCCCGTGTTACCAGAGTAATGTAGTACGTGATCAGAAGGCTAATGGCGTACGACAGCTGCTTGAACATGTCCTGATCGAAATCGGAACTGACCGATATCGCGAATTGGATACAAAGCGATGCCACGAATGTCGGAAAGTAAATGTTAATAAAGGCAGAGTAGACCGCGTAAATCTTCGTGGCTATTCGGTATTCAATGGGTAATTGGAGCTTCCACATGCCCACCGAAATCAGTGAAAACTTTGAAAATGTTAAGATCGATACCTTCGGCATAGTCATTTCTGATATTGCCGCTAGTCGCACCGCAGATTGGTAAAAACGAATTCCCTAAGTCGCCGTCTCTCTTTAAAGAGTGAAGGGATCTAAATAAATTATGGGTTGGGCGTTTCGTTTACATGGCACTTTTCCGGGAATTTTCCCGGTCTGTTGTTTTGTATCTACCCCGCCCTATAATCCTGGAAATGATGGTAGCCGATACATGTACTTTCGCATTCTCTGTGGGGAAACCTCGACGCGAATAATAGAGGCATATAGGCGACGTTTGCCGAAATAATGGATAATTTTATTGACACTCGTTGTTTGAAGATGCAGCAGAAAATACTTAGATTTGATTGAAAGATTTTGGAAAATTCATTTGGATAGAGTGGAGATAATTCAAAAAATAAAATAAAATTAATTTGTTAAGCTGGTCCGTTCAACAAAGTGAAACCAAAAAAGGATATTCCAGATATTCAAGTGTCACTGGACCTATTTATATGGGTCATATGCAGGGTTATTTACGGTGAATATCCAATCAGACGTTTATGGAGAATGAGTTACGGTATTAACCTGAAATGTTGGTTACATATGTAAGTGAGTATGAGCGGTGTATATACTCGTATATCAACTTTGGGTTTTTTAATGGAATACCCTTTATATTATTACATTTTTAGATTCTGCGAAACATTATGCAACTTTATTATGTCACATGTATCATACCTATCTTGAACAACCACATAACTTGATATAAAATGATAATTTTTTTCGCAACCCGTACAGCTAAACACTTGAATGTTTGGTTAGTTACCATGAGAATTAACTTATCGCGTTCATAAGATAAAGCCCAATTAGCATGACAAAAAATCCATGTTACGTAGGAATTTCAAATAGAACACCTCACATTTTATATTGGCACTTAAATGAGCAATTAATTTGCCATCTAAAGTGCCAAACTATAGTATATCTATTTTCACTGGTTTTCGAGTTATAAACAAAGAACCAAAACATTGCAATTAAAGCGAATTAAATTAATCACATTTCATCTGGGTACCAGGCGCTGGCCGGATATGGAGACGTTTTGTGTAAACAAATAAGCTTAATATTCCATTATTAGCATGGTAAAAAGAGTAACTGTAATAGTGAAAAAGTGAAATAATTTTTTTTACAGACAACTAGATATTGGGTTTGACTTGAGTTATTCGGTTGGATCAAGTTGTTGAAAAGCTTGTCTAAAAATGGAGTTTTATAAAATCTGTCTTTAATAGTGCACCAAAGGTGTAATTTCTGGCTAACGGGATGGTCAATTCCATGGAAATAGACGCCTTATCCGTCGGTTTGCAAACCTGATTATAAGTTCTTGACTTACTCTATTTGTGCAAGGATTTGCTGGCGAGCATCAGTAATAAAAATCTTTTTTTCTGGAGTCTACTGTTTTCGTTTCAATTCTTCTAAATTTACCACCAGTCTACGAAATTCAGACACTGTCATTCTGTGTGCGACAACTTTGTGTGTTAAAATTTCAAACAGAACTTTTCTGTCTGGCATTTTTCAGACTTATGAAACGTTACGTTAAAACGAAAACGAAAAATAATTTAATTTTTTCATATTTAATATTACGTATTACTCCTCCTAGCAATTTTTGTTGAAACTGTAGATTATATACCAGAGTAACACACAAACAAGAATGAGGATGCTGAAATCGGAAATGTCGTTTAGAAGAATAATGAATAATTAAAGACATTCGTTGGAGATTTAAAATGAACCCGAATAAAACTTTTCAAGCTTTATAATTGAAAGTGTATATTAATTTGAGAATTCGCGAAGCCACCCTGAATTAGGTAGCCAGTAGCCTACGGCAGATATGCAGAATTTTAGAACTTACTTGTCCAAATATTCATCTTCATTTTTAGACGTCACTACACTGACACACTGGTTTATTGTTATCAAGGCGTCAATAAATAAAAACACCAAATTTTACTTAAATTTTTTAATTTCATTCTAATGCATTAACCTTTCAATATTTATTCGTTCAAAATTCACTTTACAGATATCGGTCTGTATCTAGATATCACTTAAATTACTCTTCAAACTCTCCAATTATCAGATGTACCCGTACTTATTACAGGGTTGGGAACGCGCCTCCGGATGTTGACCTATTTGCTCTGAACTTTGAAGCCTTCAAGATGGTACAACAATTAACATTCTGTAATAAAAAGCTGTTTTTAGTTCTTAGTTTGATTTAGGTTGTAAGGAATAATTTAAACTAAGTATCATTTTTTGAGACATTTTGTTCATTCCTAAATAAAAATTCAGATTCGCATTGTCGAATTACACATCCAGGAGTACCCGTAGAAAATGTCTCGACACAAACCCCTTCATTACTATCGCGCAATCTGGCGATGGGAGATGGAATGTAGCAGCATTCTCAGTTGGTATTCCGTCAGTCTATTTTGTAGCAGAACGTGGGTATTGCATACTGTGAGGAGAGCTGAGAAAAAACCATCTGGTAATTATAAACTATTTAATTGCTTTCTGAAAGCAGCTATTTTTTTTTTGTTAACATTTGTGGATAAATTAAAAAGTCAATTTTCGCAAATTTAGCATACATGTTCAATATTTCCAGTATATTCCTTGCCGCATGTAGTCGAAGCCATATTTTATTCCGCATTCGTGCCCCACCCAAAATGTTAAGTTAATTTTGCCAACTTATCAATCTGCTACGGCTTTCAAAATATAATAACAATTCACTTTTTTAAATGAATTATCCGTTTTCTGGAATAACGAAAATTAATTTAGTAACTTAATAACTGAAACTTTTCGTAACTGGTGATGAAAAATTCATTTCGCCATTAAATTCGTGCTTTGACTCCTTGCATTACCAAACTTAAATAATTATCACTTTTTCTAAGGTCATCGCCATAAATCAAGAAACAAGACTTGTTTCCATAGTAGCTAAAAAATTATATCATATCAAAATTAGAAAAAATTGTGTAAAACGCATTGGGAATCGTTATTGCGTGCGCCAATTACGGCTTCGATGATGTTTAGACTCGATTTTTGAAAACTGCTTATCTAACAGATATCAGAGAGTTACTCTTGACAATGTAAGTTCTGAATTCTCCCTGTTTCATTAGTTGTACCGCAAGGTTCTGTCCTTGGACCTATATTATCCTTAATTTATATTTCTGTTATTTATACGTCTCTCGAATATTTCAATTTGCAATCATTTGCTGATGACACTCAGTTATTTCACTCCTTCGATCCTAATTTTATATCAATTTGGATTTATATAATTCATTTCTGTATTCTTCTAGGCATAATCTTCAACTTAATGTTAAAAAATGCAGTCTAATGTTCTTTTCTCCTAAAGCTAACATTGAACAAGTATCCCAAATGTAGTTATTAATTAACGGTCAACGTTTGACAATTGTGAATTGTAATAAAAAACATTGGCGTTATATTTGATTGTAGACTTACATTCGTGAATATGTATCTTTGCTGGTAAAAATATCTTATTTGGTTTTACGCCAGATTTATTTTCGCCTTGCGTAAATTTGATAGGATTTCCCACAAAATTCAGGAACTTAACTGGCTAAAAGTTGACAGTACTTTCAGGTACTTTTTGGCGTCTATTATTAAGACATCCAATCCGCCCTACTTACGAGCAAAATTACAGTTTCGAAATGTTTAATCGGTGGCTTTAAGGCACCCCTACGGACTCTCATTGCCACGATAATGTTTATCTTTATTCCGCAGATCAATTTCTTATAACGCTGTTGTATTTTTGAATTGTACGCCCGATTCAGTAAAATCGCATTCAATTAAATTCTATAAAAAATATTTCAGGTTGAAACTGGCATCTTGTAAAATAATTTGATTTTCAATATTATTCTTTTTATTTTTACTTTTAATAACTTTCCATTGTTACTTATTATACTATATTTAATTTATCAATGTAATTATAACTTCCTATGTGGTTCTCAATTTAAACATTAAACTTTTGCTGGACTTCGTCTCTTCTCTACTGTATATTTGTATATAACAATATACAGCAATAAAGGCAATATTATTATTATTGTTATTATTATTTCATTTTAGTGTATTTTTTTAAATTTTTCGACCAAAGCTTAATTACCAACATTTTTGAAAGCGCCTTTCTTAAAGCAAAGTGGATCCTAACGCTTCCACCTTCGAGTCGGACACCATAAAACAACTTGTCTTCATTATTAGTATCCTAATAAAGAAGTATACCATTATGGTATGCCACAACATCAGTTTTATCGAAATCAAATCGCACATTGTAAATGCGGAACCGCCTGTAACAGATCTGAAGCTGCAACATCATGAACATGATCTTTGTCGTGTTCACTTTCGTTACTGGATTCACCCTGGCTATGGTCAATTATCTAAACAATTATATTATATATTTTAATATAAACGAACATTGAATGATCATCCGAGATGTGTTTCAATATGATGGTAATCTATCGACCAAGCTCATACACATGCGTCATATTTACCTCATCCATGCTGTAGCAACTCCAGATCAAGTTCGGAAAAATTGGTGTTCATAAGGCAGACACGCTGCCTGCTTTGAATGCGCATTGAGCGTTAGCACGTGGAAGGAAAATGTTGCTGATGCCAAAGACCACTGCCGCACTCACTGTTTAATGTGAACTTCGAAACCCAATCAACAGGCCAGTTTGGTTCCATCGGGCGAAGTTTAGGAAGGTCTTCTTTTCAGGATGGCACTTACTCTAAGAAGGTGGGACTGCCAAGTGACATGAGACTGCAAACACAGCGCACCACTATTTCTGCAAACCTGAAACGGCTCGTCCGCTTCGTCTCCAATATTCAATCATTCCAAAACATACTACTTCCGAGTACTTCAAGTCACATAGCACGCCCTAGCAAGTTCTTTACATATTTAACAAATCAAAACATTATTATTCTTTTGTCAACCTAATTTTTGTTATCGTAAAATCAAGGAACACTTTAGAAAAAAAAATGTGCTGGCTTTAAAGCTATTAAATCAACAAATTTTTTAGTGTTTTAGAATAAATTTGCAATTAAAAAGAGAACAGAAACCGTCGCTGCTTTTCGAAAACTTATCAAATCACAGATCGAAAACAATATCCGAAGTATACGAAAATATTGTAATGTGTCTATATCGAAATACTGCGCGAAATATTCATGAACCCTTCAGGAATAACTGCAGGAAATGCGACATTGTAAAATTCCCGTCTGTTGGGATAATTGCAAGGCGGCATCGGAAGAAAAATTGCCGGTTGTAGGGCGGTTTAAAAGGAAACTTCCGACACGTACCCTTTCATTATCGCCCCACAGCTTAACGATCTTCTATGGACTTTTATTCTGACTCGAGTGGAGTTGGTAGTTTGCGAGCGTCGCACCGCGTTGTATGCTGGAGGGAACTGGGTGAGTGAGGGAGGTTTTATCTCTTTTAAGAACTGTCGAATGTTTCTGGTACGCTTTTTCGGGAACGATTGTTAAATATGTCGGTCCGGTGTTTTTGACAGAGTTGAATACGACCAGTTAAAAGACCAGTCCTATGTGTTTAAGTTTATTAAAAGTGTGTTTGCTGACAACTTGAATAAACTAAAAGCAAGATAGTTAAGCAAGTACGTGAGATGTTTAAATGAAGAAGAAACTTACAATTTTGAAACAAAATATGTAATAAATTAAAAATCGTTAAGATTTATTCAAGTAGTAACAACAATAAAAATAATAAATATTATCTTAATTATGAATATTAACTCTTTCTTTTATATCAGTCATAGTATTACTGAAAATATCTAATCTAATTTATCTAATTTTGCTTAAATAAATTGAAAATACCAATTTCAGCAAGCCCGATCCTTACACAATTGTGTATTTTAGAATAGGGAGTAGAAAACATTTTCCATTTCAGAAATATGGCCGCCGATTCAGGGAGACACCCATCAATCCTAACTCTCGCTAGATACTCCATGACTTCGGTCGGCTTCTGGAAATACCACAGCCAAAAAAACCCTCTGAAACTCTTCTACAGTACCTACTCCGGTTTTATCGTCCTTTACTTCATGACGTACACGATTTCAGTAGGCATAAAATTCGTCATTACTGTAAGCGCCGCGTCTACCGTAGACTCTGAGATCATCAAGCAACTATCCTTCATCATCAGTTCGCTAATCCCGATGTATGTCGTTATGGTCTGTCGCAGCTCCGGATTTAACGAGATCATATCACTCGTCCGCCGTGAGGAACAGAGCATAATAACGAGCGACGACGCTGACATTTTAAAATCGCACCTGAAACAGATCCGAAGAAGTAACGCCGTAAACGGAATCTTCTCAGCATTTGCGTGCTGTACTGGGTTCGCCATGGCATTAGAAAATTATCGGCCCAATGTGAAGGTAGCGCGTTACAATAGGGAACATAACACCACTTTGGAGAGGCCTCTTCTCGTCGATCTCTACTATTTTAAACTAAACACTCAGAAACACGCAGATTTACTGTTGGTGGTTTCGGAAATTTGTTTCATATTCAACACGCTGATAATTTTATCGTCCAAGCTCTGCGTTTATACGTGCGTGATATTCACCTCATCGCTGCTAAAGAAACTACAGATTAGGTTCAGCAAAACAGGTCTGCGTCAGGAACACAAGCTGGCCGCTTTGAAGAGTCTCGTCATGGAACATCAGAACGTAATTGAGTAAGTGAGTTGTTGAGAGTAATCTAGAAAGAGTTTCTATCGTCTAACACATTCCTAGTTTTGAAATGTTTGGCTTTCAGATTTGTAGATAAGTTAAACGTTTCGATCAGATACCTCGTGCTGCTGGAGTATCTTCTTAACTCGCTGAACGTGGCCGCAGCATCCGTTCAGTTGATCACGGTGAGTCCAAAAAAGTATTTTACTTTTGTGAAAGACTGGTGTTTCAGTACGACAAAAAGATGTTGTTAATGCTCTTTTTCTACGTCAGCTTTCTGCTGATGCAGGTTTTCATTATGGGCATAAGCGCCAACGAAATTAAGGTTCAGGTAATGGAATTGTGATAATCATCGCGTCACTGATGCTGATTGAGAAATTACCGACACTTGCAGAGTATTACACTATCTGATGCTCTATACTCTAGTCCATGGCACGAGCAAAGTGAAGCCACCAAGAAAGTATTATTGATCATGATTGCCCGAACTCAAAGACCCTTGATGTTAACCATAGGTCCGTTCGGCCCAATGGCTATAGAATCAGCTTTGGCAGTAAGTTAATAAACACCAGCTCTGGTGGAAAACTGCAGTATTGCTTTTAATTTTAGGTCTGCAAAGCGTCCTACTCATACGTCACGCTAATGATGCAAAACGTCCACTAGATGTATTCGAGTTTTTTTGAAACCAATCGACTTGCACCTTTTTTGACTTTTTGGCAGTTAATAAAAAAATTTATTTCGAATCTTTTATTTATACTTTTTAAATGCCCTGTATAATAGCAATTATTTTCAGTGTATGCAGCACCTGCTTTTGCATTTAAATTTTGCAAAAAGAATCGGTCTAATAAACCTTTAGAAAGATATAAAAGAACCCCGCAGTAGTAGGCTACACTTTAGTAGTAGGAACACTTTTTTCAGTGAAATCGTCGTCTTTTTGCCAGAAAGCTGCGTTGTCCGGACATCGGGCTATATGTTTTTAAAGGCATAACTTCGTTAAAATCCAGCAGTAGTCCGCCTTTTTATCGCCGTTCCAAGCGCTCTTAATCGCTAACTGCTCCACGATTTTCAGGAGAATAGTTCAAGTGTGAAAACAAGAAACGTACTTTCGAACTATATTACAACCTAGACGTGTGTATTTTGAACAATATTTTAGTAGTTTTCCAAGCAACTTATCAATTACTTCATTAAATGAACGTAAATGAAAATTTTTTGTAATTTTATTTTGCTTTAAAAAAATGCAATTTTATCACTTTTTTCAAAATTTTTAAAATGACTCTCTTAATTCCCGCCACCTAAGCCTAATCTGGTGAAAACGATTTAGTAGGTAATCTATAACTCTCTTTTTGATTAGTTTTTCCTATGATCAAGCATTGTGATTTATGAAATTTTGAGCAGTGTTCCACCGTTTTCAAGCTAATTACCTACCTAGGTCTACCAAACTTTTTGACAGACGTTTTTATTTTGAAAACTGATTTGTGTCATGTAATGGTTTTTTTACAAATTTAAAAGGAAAAAACGGTATTTCTAAAATTACTTTTTAATTCAACAAAAAATAAAATCCTATTTAAAAAAAGTGAAAAAAAATTATTCCGACCTTTTTGAGTGAACTCTTCATCTTTTTGCCAGAAATGTGCGTTGTCCGAACATTCAGCTGTGTGTTTTAAGTGCATATCCCGTTTTAACCCCGGGGATCGCGATGTCATGGGCATGCCGAGTGACGTCATGATCCCCGAGATGACCTTCTTTGACAAATGGACCTTTCTCTTCCCATTAAGGGAAGAGTGGAGAAAGGGCAGAGTTGGGTCCTGGGATGGACTCGTCTGGTACACGGACGGGTCCAGAATGGGAGATTTGGCCAGAGCTGGAGCGTACTGTGAGACAACGGGATCGATCTTGTCCGTGTCTCCGGGTCTGCACCGTGTTTCAGGCTGAAATTGTCGCTATATTGATGGCGGCGAGAGAGGTGCTTCGTCTCAACTACGGAAGCAGAAGAGTATTCTTCTGCTCCGATAGTAGAGCTGCACTTATGGCACTGAAGTCAGTGCGCACGCGCTCCTTGCTGATAAAGGAGAGCAAAGGGGTACTGAAGAAAGTGGCCGAGGCGAGCAATGTCACGTTGGTCTGGGTCCCGGGTCACACCGGGCAATGAGGCAGCGGACACCTTAGCCAGTCAGGGCTCCTCGCACAGGCATATGGGACCAGAGCCCCGTTTGGGGATCGCCCCGTGCGCAAGGCGGTGAGCTCTCGAATCCTGGGTGAGAGAATGGGCCGCGGTGGGCTGGAGAGTTGCTCCGGGAATGAGGCAGGCCAGGCTTATGATGGATGGGCCCGCTCTCCTGACTGACTGACGTACCAGAAGTGAATGTAGAGCATTAACACGGGCCTACACAGGACATTGCAGGCTTAGGAGGCATCTTTGTTTGCTAGGCATGGGAGACGACCCGGAGTGCAGGTGCATGGAAGGGGGGAAGACCCCGTATCATCTGCTCACCGTCACCGAGTGCCCTGCTTTGATATTGACAAGATTTGGAGTCTTCGGAACGGCGATCTGGACTCAGTGCACGGTATTGGGCTAAAGGAGTTGCTGACCTTCTATAGGAGGGGCGGCATTCTGGACGCCCTCTAGCACGGTCTTGGGGCACAACGGGCCAATCTGGATGCCTAAGTGCTTGGACGCCCGAGGGGGCGTCCCCCTTAAATACCAATATCAATACCAATCCCGTTTTAACATCCAGCAGTAGTTCGCCATCATAGTTATGCTCCATCTATCTTGGTATCGCGCTTCCATTTTCTTAATGTCATCTTCCTGTCCTTCGCTAACTACTACAACGTTTTCCACTGTGAAATAGAAAATGCACTTTCAAACTCATATTACAACCTACCTAGACGATGAAAGTGTTTCCAAGAGTTCCCAAGAAACTTATCAAATACTTCTTTAAATGAAACCCAGGCTGCGGCCCAGATATCTACATCAGATATTGCTGGAAATTTGTTCAACAATTATTTGAAATATTTGTCAAGGACTTTAACAGTCTGCTTCATCAAGCCAAGTTTGATATGAAGAGGAGGCAGTAAAACTTTTTTGGGACCAACTAAGCTATCTCTTAGCATCTTTTTGTTACTAGGTGTGAATCTTGTTCTAGAGGTCCGTTCCATTTGAGTTCAATGTCTATCCCACTCACAAATAAAACATGGAAATTTTGTGAGAGCCTCCTGTTGTCTCAAGAGCATGCACAGCACTCTAAGGTCACCGCAAAGCATCCACTGATGTTCTTGGTTGTTTATTTTCTTCAAAAGAAGTCCTAAATTTTCATACGTTTTGTTTTAAATGTACCGAATGCGCAACGGGAACCGAAGCCAGTTCGTTACCATTGTGCAAAACTTTTACTTTACTTTACTGACGATATGAATCCATGAACATTACACTAACAAAAATAACAATCATCACTGTGATTCCTAGGTTAAAGGTGAAAGATTTCTTCCTACCTTTTTGTAAAAGTAAGTTTCTTAATGCTTCAACGCAAACGGAACAAACAGTTTGAGGAGTCCATGACTTGTCTTGGTCTCCAATTTTTACATCAAACTAAGCTTGATATACACACAAGATAATTATCATCACGTCAGTGTATCTTAATCATTTTTATTTTATTCCACTTAAATTAATCTGATTTGGTTATATTTTCCCTTGGATATATGTGTGCGAAATAGATACCGTGGCATTGACATTTTGCGGTAGAATCCCGATTTTCCGTTTCGATAATTATAAGACACGGTATCGGAAGAAAAATACCTGTTATAGGGCGGTTTAAAAGCAATGTGCCGACACGGACCCTTTCATTACTATCCCGCAATCCAACGGTCGGATATCCGTGGTGGTTGAATTTCCGCTGACAATTCCGCGAGTGAAGTAGTTAGTTTGTTACGACCTCGTCGTGCTGTATAGAGGTGCACAACTGAACGATTTTCATACGGTAATTATAATGCACTGCGCTAAGCCGTCCTCATGTTGCAATAAGAGTTTCGTTTTTGTGTAAGTGGGAATCTAATCAAATAAACAGAACTATTTTCTGCCAAGGTGTGGATGCTCCTGTTTCGACTAATCACATTAAATAAAAAAAAACTCTCTCCATCAGTTTGAAGACTAAATAATTATAGAATTTTTTTGTGTAGAATTATTTTAGTGAAATTTTGAAAATATTGAAATGTCATTGTTTAGTCTACAATTAATCATTGACATGCCTTTCATTGCTACTCGATAGGAATTAATAACCGCGATTTTTTTTAAATAAATTATCTATGGGCTAGTGGTGTCGAATTTTTTTCTTTAAATCTTTTCTTCTCATACAGGGTGTGAATGTAAGACTGCGAAAATTTTCAATTTTCTTACCCAAAAAGTTGGAAAAGATAGGGAGTACTGCAAGATTCTTTAAAATATTGGGCGATGTTTTTTTTTTTTGCTTTAGAAAGAATAACATAACATAATAAAAAATTAAAAAAGGAAAGCAATACGTGAAGATCAAAGGACACGCAATACTGAAAAAATACAACGGACGATTGAGAAGAACGGAAATAAGAAAATTGTTTGCCAAAACTAAATGACGGCAAAAAAAATTAAACTAAAAGACAAAGAAGGAAACTAAACAATATATAGAGGGAAGATCCTGGAGATAACAAAAAACTTTTACGAAGAATTATACAAAAGACAACTAAAGCAAAACAGGTGAAACACACAAACCGGAAAACTCAAAACAACAAACCAAGGATCTAAACTGCCAAAAATAACACCGAAGGGGATGAAAAGTAGCCTAGAAGAAATGAATAACAACAAGGCACCTGAAGATGACCAAATAGTAATTGATTGCTATTAAAGTAAGAGGAGAGAAACTACTTGAAGTAATAAATAAAAATAAATATTTAATTTATATTTGAATCAGAGTATTGTTCCGAAAACCTGTGAAAATCATCACAAAACGGCTAGAACGAAAATTATATTTTTATCAACCCAAAGAGCACGCGGGTTTTAGAAAAGGTTAAGGAACAAATTATTTCCTAAAAGCTTTTGATTGAAATATTAAAAGCATTGGAACAGAACCCTACTCACTATAGAAGTTGTTGGAACAAATCTACAACACAACAGCATCCGTTAACTTCCATCAGGCATCAGGCAGGGGAATATTGTCTCTCCCAAACTGTTTACAACAGTCCGGGAAGATGCTTTAAGGAAGAATAAACATCGATGGCGAATACTTGAGTCATTTGCAGTTTGTCGATGATATTACAGCCCAAAGCTCAAAGAAGAGACATGCTGGTGAGACAAAGAACTAAAATAACAAAAAATTACTCAAAGCAAATGGAGTTGGGCTGGTCATATAGCGCGTTTGAGCCCTCAAATATTGATAGGGTGGAGACCCACAGACAATAAGAGAAATCAGAGTAGACCCCAAACAAGATGGGAAGACGACTTGAGAAAAACAGCGAGAAACTGGAAGCAGAAGGCACAAAACAGAATACCGTGGAAGGAGATAGAGGAGACCTATGTCCAACAATGATAATTCTTGAAATCATCACCTTGTCATCACTTATAAAAATTTGGTGGCATATTGTGGGATGTTTTGCATTGATGATAATCGATGCAACTATTATTGATTAAAAAATTTAGTATTTAAAGGCGTGTTTTATGACAAAATAACGAGACAGATACATTAATAAATATTTGGAAAATATAAAACTCCCTAGTCATTTGGCTGTTTTACCTGATGGACTTAAATTACGCTAATAAATTATTTTCAGTTTCTGTCTCCGCCGAAAATTAATTTTGTCAACTTCTATCTTATGTGTTATTCCTTGGTCAATCTAAATTTGATGGCATAAAACTTATAATTATATTCTATTATTATATTAATTATTAGGTAATAAATGAATTTCAGCCCACTCCCTAACCCCACCCCTTTTTAAAAACATTTTCCGGAACTCTATTTTATTAAAACATCACTTTGTCATCACTCATCACCTATATAAATGTCAATCCCAATTTTTATCTTAAATGTGGTTCTCATTCTTTCATTTTCATGGTCATGGTAAATTTGGTGGCATATTTGGGGTGCATTCGGATTGGGATTATTTAAAAACACATTTCTCATGCGATTTGGTGAAACCCGATTTTTTAATCTGTTTCAGGACACATATGGCCATCGGCACCAAGCGCCAACAGTCGATCTTAACACTCGCCAAATATTCCATGACTTTGGTCGGTTTCTGGCAATACCCCAGCCAAAAATATCCTCTGAAACTTCTCTACAGTATCTACTCCGCTTTCTTCGTCATTTATTTCATGACATACACCTGTTCTGTGTGCATCAAATTCGCCATTACTCTAACCACTGCTTCCACATTCGACTCGGAGATCATCAAGCAATTAGCTTTTACACTAAGTATCTTAATGACGATGTACGTTGTTATGGTGTGTCACAGCTCGGGATTTAATAAGATATTATCGTATATTGTAAATGAGGAACGAAGCATATTGCAGACCGAAGATTTTGACATTTTAAAGTCCCACCTTCAACAGATCCGAAACTGCAACAACCTAAACGCTATTTACGCAGTGTTCACATTCGGCACTGGATTCGCTATGGCTTTGGAGAATTACCTACAGAGCATTGAGGTGGCGCGCTACAACAGCGACCGCAATACCACCCTGGAGAGACCCCAGCTCGTCGGCCTCTACTATTTTGGAATAAACCCATATAAACATGCAGATCTGCTGTTGGTCATTTCAGAAATCTGCATCTTATTCAACGTGTTGATAATGCTCTCGTCCAAGCTCGGCGTATTTACTTGCGTCATATTCGGAATATCGCTGCTGAAGAAACTCCAAATTAGTTTCCGGAAAATGGGCGTGGATCGGGAAAACGCGCTGGCCGTTTTGAATCGCCTGGTGGACGATCATCAGAGGGTTATCGCGTAAGTATAAACTTTTTGTTTATGGCGCATCCTTTACATTTCTAGAATAGTATGACATATTCTTACCAGTAGAGTCTTAGACGACTTTCGAGTTTTAGATTTGCTGACAAATTGAACGCTTCCATAAAATATTTGATATTGGTGGAGTATATTTTAAATTCGCTGAATGTGGCCGCAGTCTCCGTTCAGTTCATAACGGTGAGTCCTGAATATAGATGAGAGTCGCCTGCGAACATCTCATTTCAGTACGACAAGAAGATGCTGCTTTTGCCCTTCTTCTACTTATTCTTTCTGCTGATTCAAGTTTTTATCATGGGCATAGGTGCCAACGAAATAAGTGTCGAGGTTATAAACTTACAAGCATTGTTCACACATAATGACTTATTATATTCGCTTGCAGAGTGTTAATCTATCAAACGCACTGTACTTTAGTCCGTGGTACGAGCAAAGCGAAGCTGCTAAGAAGGTAATATTGATCATTATTGCCCGAACTCAAAAACCCATCAATTTAACCATAGGGCAGTTCAGGCCTATGGTTATAGATTCGGCCCTAGCTGTAAGTAAACCGGCACCATACAGAAACGAAAACATTTCTTAGTATTTTAGATCTGTAAGGCGTCCTACTCATACGTCACGCTGATGATGCATAACGTCCAATAGACAGATGCCGAGCAGATCCTAATGACGGACCAGAAAATAGGCTTTGCAAAGGAAAAGTGTTTACAAAATTCAAATATATGTTATATTAAAGAAGATATTGTAATCGTCACTATTTCTGCCTCAGTTATAGTTTAGAAATTGTAGGTAGTATTAAAAATCCGATCCTATCTTTAATAAAAAACGGAATTTCCCATTTACCCTGTACTTACGTATTGTGAAACGTTTTTATGAATATAAAAAGTATAGTAATATAATGTGACATTTTCACAAACTTAAAACTAGTACAAATATCGGTACATACCAAATAACCATTTTTGCAGAGTATTTTATATCGAACGTTTTTCTGTAGCCGCCTGTCTTTCCAAAAGTCAGTGGAAGTATGTGAACATACACATAAGCTGACCAACATTTATTTAATTTTAAATTTATATATACTATTACACCCTCGAACGTACTCATTGAAAATAGACTCCGGCCGCATTTGAACTTTGCGGTTTGAGAGACTTTCCTTTCGTTTCGATAATTGCAAGGCGGTATCGGAAGGAAAATACCAGCCTTAGAGACGTTTAAAAGGAATTTGCCGGCACGGACCCTTTAATTACTAGTCCGCAGTCCAGCTATCGAATATTGACTGCATTTCTCACAATTCAGCGAGAGAAGTTCGTTGCAGTTTCGACGTTCCCAAGGATAACTGAAGAAGGTAATTACATTTTGTTAATTATTTTTTATCGTTCGCTATATTTAATAAAAACTCTCTGTATCCCTATTCTGATGCATTCGTATTTAGCCAAATGTCCCAACAGTTTCTCGATATCTCTAGAACACGAAATTGCCAATTATTTCTAGGGATTTTTTTTTTAAAAACAATTTTTTTAGGACACCTAAGTATATTCTGAGGTATCTTGTAATACCGTTTGGTCAATTTGTATAGCATTCAGATTGCAACACACAACCCTTAGACTGTTTTTCTGCAAAAGTTTCTAATATTAACTACGGTTAAAGTAACAAATTGATATGATTTTTGTTTAGTTTCTCCAAAAAAAGTGGTGGAACATTTTCTTTAACGCATTTTAATAAATTTTAGATTCGTTAACAGAGCTTTTCCTAGTGGCGTTTTCTGATAAAGTCTAATAAACGAAATAAGTTTAGGGAATACAGGAATACATTGAACATGACTTTTTAAGATAGTCAAATAAAGGCCCAACAACCCTATAGAAACCCAATTTCAATTTAACAATTCAATTTGCACATAAAATATGAATAAAAGAACTTGACGTATTTAAGTAGTAAAATGTGAAAAAATCATCAAGATTGCCATGAAAACAAATTTGGTTAATATCTGACCAAACGATGCGCATCCTCCATAAAGTATTTGATGCTTGTCAAATTATCTTAATTGCCTGCCCTTTTTCGGTGATTAGAAGAAATCAACACGTCAGAAACTAACAAGAATACTGATTATTCCAATACACATTTTACTAATATTTCAATAATTAATAAAGTTATATATTATATTATTTTTAGTTAGTTAACTAAACCTAATTATTAATTACCAAAGGTATTGTAAAATGAGTAGAAAATAAAAACAATTTTTTTGTTTTGGATTTTAATAAACATTCAGGATACTAAATAATAAATTAAGCTTTAATTTGATAAATTCTGGATAGTTTGTCATTAATAAGAACCCAGCAAAGTGGAATTTTTTCCAAAAATTCCCAAACATTTTTTGAGCCGTAAGTTGCTTTAATCATGTTTTCGGTTATGTAAAAGGTATTGAGATGCCAGAATTTAATTTTTAAAACTGACGAAATGTACCTACACTGGATTATTTTGTTTCTAATTTAGGGCACATGGCCGCGGGCACCAAGAGACACCCATCGATATTGACTTTCGCGCGGTATTCCATGAGTTCGGTCGGTTTCTGGAAGTACCCCAACCAAAAGTATCCCCTGAAACTCTTCTATCATTTCTATTCCGCTTTCTTTATATTCTATTACGTAACATACACCGTTTCCGCTTGCACCCAATTCACCATTACTCTAACTGCCGCGTCAGCCTTCGACTCGGCGATGATCAAGCAACTGTCCTTCGTCATCACTATCCTAATAAGTTTCTACGTTATTATGGTGTGCCACAGCAAGACTTTTAACAAGAACATCTCGCACATCGTCCGTGAAGAAAGAAGCATGCTGCAAAGCGACGACGCCGACGTTATAAAATTCCACCTTCAACAGATCCGTAACTGCAACGCCATGAACGCGATCGTCTCGATATTGGCATTCGGTACTGGATTCGCCATGGCTTTGGAAAATTATCTGATCAACGTGAAAGTGGCACGCTACAACAAAGACCACAACACCACCTTAGAGCGTCCGCTGCTCATCGATCTCTACTATTTTAAAATAGACAAACACAAACGCTGCGATTTGCTGTTGGTCTTTGCCGAAATGAGCTTTGCTTTTAATACTCTAATTATGCTGTCTCCCAAACTCAGCATTTACGCCTGCGTAATATTCACCTCGTCCCTGTTGAAGCAACTGCAGATCAGATTCAGTAAATTAGGTCTGGGTCGGGAGGACACGCTGACATCTTTGAAACACCTCGTGAGGGAACATCAGAAAATTATTGCGTAAGTTGTTTGGTGCGATGTTACGTGAACATCAGTTTGAAAAACAATAACCTCCGCTTGGCTTCTTGAAGCAGTCGGGGAGACTGGAACCTGTGGTTTATGACCACTACTACTACTGCACACTGGACACGTGTTTTGCCAACCAAGTTGGCATCATCGGCAGATGACATTAACTTTTTATATCATCCGCCGATGATGGTGGTGCAGTAGTGGTTATAAACGTAAGTTTTTTTGAAGCAGTATTTTGCTCCCTATTCACTTCGATTTTTCTTTTAACAGCGAGCATAACGTCACTTTTTTTTTAAATTTTCCAGATTTGTGATCCAGCTAAACGCTTCTATGAAATTTCTGATATTGCTGGAGTATCTTCTAAATTCGCTGAATGTGGCCGCAGTCTCCGTTCAGTTCATCACGGTAAGTAACAAAAATTAACGTCGCTTGTGAACATATGGCGTTTCAGTACGAGAAGAAGATGTTACTCATGCCCTGCTTTTACATCTTCTTTCTGCTGGTTCAAGTTTTCACCATGGGGATAAGCGCCAACGAAATCAAAGCTCAAGTATGAATAATTAAGATGCTGATAAAGTTTTGTTTACTATCACTTGCAGAGTCTTGCTCTATCGGACGCCATATACTCTAGTCCGTGGCAGGAGCAAAACGAATCTGTCAAGAAAATATTATTGATTGTGATTGGGAGAACTCAGAGACCTTTGATGTTAACTATAGGCCCATTCGGTCCGATGGTTATAGATTCGGCACTAGCTGTAAGTAAAAGCGCGCCATCTCCATAATGGAAAATAGACAAAATCCTTTCAATTATAGATCTGCAAGGCGTCATATTCATACGTCACGCTGATGATGCACAACGTCCAGTAGATATATGCAACTGAGTTTGGTAAAATTTGATTCAATAATACAAATTCAGTCCTAATAAACTAGTTAGTTTAGTTACATTTCAATCCAATTAACGGCCTCAATTATTCGAAACTTCAACTTGTGGAACTATTAACAAACAAACAAGATTCATCGTTGATATTGCCATCAGTTAAATATGAGTCCTTTTGGATTCTTGCAATGTTTTTCTTCAACGTTTATTACAAGAACACGTGATTATAATAGTCCTTACGGATAATTGGAAACTGAAATCATTTAATGCTGTAATTGGTAGCTTTTGCCCTAGTGTGCTATAATTAATACCATTTGGCAGTTTGAATCTTATTCTGTCAGGATCATCGACCTCAATAATAATTTGTATCTTCTCATTTCGAAAAATCCGAACTTGTGTGTTGTTAGGTTGCTCAAAAATGACTGAGTTATTTTAGATCATTTCTTGTTCCATTGGTCGAAAAATAGGTATCACCCAAACCGTCGTAAATGATTTGATTCGGCATAAAACATAATGAACTAAATTTTTATTTTTATAAGTTGTTTCTGTTAAAATGGTCTTTACTTTTTTTTATTTTTCTAATCATCACTTTTTATATAAATTGAGATAAAACAAAGCTTAAAGCAAAGTTTAAAAAGAACACCCTATATTTTATTGCATTTTTGGATAGTCTTTTCAAGGACAAATTCAACGATATATATGAATCCATATTCATGTCTGTGATAAACATTGTTGGGTTACTTATGAACATTTAACTTTTTTCCATATAATACTTTCACAAAAATAATGCTTTAGGCAATGATCAAATTTAAAATATTCTCTAAAAATACGCGGTGTCGCTACGTTTCGCAAAATGATGCCTTTCTCGATTTTCTTAAATGAGACACACTGTATATCATTGGATTGTCGAATAGCCTGTTCACCGTACTGCTCGTATAAATACACATAACATACATAAAACATAACACATAAAAGTGAGGTGCTTTATTGTTTGTTAACATAATAACAAAGACCTGTTTAATTAACTGTGATGTATTAGCGTATTAATTAGAGTAATAACATGTTTGTTCTGTGCTTATAAATTTAAATTGGACGTGAATTGTTTTTTTTTTCCTTTCTGTTCTGAAAAGTTTCTGTAATTTTATGTGTAAAGGAAGGCAAATCAGTATTATAGCTACACGGTGTTGCGAAATATTTATATAAAAAATGTTGTTCTTTCCTTAATTTCACAAATAAAATGGGACTTGGTAAGCAAAAACTTGAAGAAAATATAATAAATGCAGGCTTTCAAAACTCGCTTTTTCGAGATATATGCCCCTACCAATAGGTTTATTACCTACTCGTTGAAAATGAACACGAATTCCACTGCGATATATAGTTATCTCTTACTTTCACGAACAAACTTCAGAAAACGAATGTTCAGAACTCCCCCTCTCCCGTGAAAAATGTAACAGCGACAAATTATATCCTCGACTACGCGAAAGGAATCTGCCGGGTGCATTTCTCCCGGCAGAAATGTCTTCCCTTTTGTTGCCGTAATTGCAGGGCGTGGTTGAAAGAAAAACACTGGCTAGGGAGCCTTATAATTTAAAAGTAGCGACACGCACCCTTTTGTCGTTGGGAAGGGGTAGCCATTTGCGTCCAAGGTCTCGCAGAAAAAGGTTGTAAGATCGCAGACGAAGAAAATTTATTCGTTGTCCTCAAACAATACGGAACGCAGAGGGGAAGAGGGTGAGTCCGTCTTCGGGAAGAACGTCTTTTTGTTATATAATAAAAAGTGTTTGAGTTATGTAACGTCCTCCTACGACTTCCCTATTTAACTTTTAACAGACTGTATATTATTAAGTATAAAAAGGTTGGCTTCAATTTCAGATAATTTTTTTTCAAAAGAGGTTAATTATTCGAAATTCGCCTGATACTTTCGTCTTCTAATAAATGTGACATTTCCAGGTTTCCCAATTTCGTACCAACACTCAAGGAAAACTTGGTGTTTTAGAAGTTCTGTTCTAAAACAGGGTTCCGTGCAAAATGACCGAACTCCCGTCCATTCTAACTCCCGCGAAAATTTTCATGACCTCCGTCGGATTTTGGAAATACCCACAACAAAAATATCCTGCGAAATACTTCTACAAACTTTACTCAGCTGTTTTCGTATTTTATTTCTTCCTCTGCGCGATTTGCTTATACATCAAGTTCATCATAACGGTGAGCACCACATCCACCCTAGACCCCGACGTAATCAAACAACTGGCCTATGTCATCAGCTACCTGATGACGACGTATGTGATAATGGTGTGCCGTAGCGGCAGCTTTAACGACGTCATATACGACATCGCTGTCGAGGAACAACGCATGCTGAAAAGTGGTGATGACGACATTTTGAAGTCTCACCTTCAACACATCCGACGAGACAATTACATCAACTTCCTCTTCGCTATATTCACTATCGCCACTGGATTCGCTCTGGCTTGGGAGAATTACCAGCAGAACATCGTGATAGCGCGCTACAACAGAGACCACAACACCACCCTGGAAAGGCCCTTGCTAGTGCAGCTCTACTATTTCAAAATAAACAAACACAAACGAGAGAATATGCTGCTGGTGGCTTCTGAGATCTCCATCGCTTGCAGTGTGCTGATGATACTCGCGTCCAAACTCAGTCTCTATTCCTGTATCATATTCGCATCTTCTGTTCTCAAAATGGTTGAGGTCAAGTTCAGGAAGATTGGTCTGGGTAGCGAAAATCCTCTGGCCGTGTTGAAGCGGCTAGTGGAAGAGCATCAGCGTGTTATCGCGTAAGTGTGAACTTTGATAGAGCTTTAAATTTAGCAGTTGTTTGCCCCTGTGAAACTAACTAAAATAGATATCGATTAGCAACTAACTATTTGATAGACCCAGTAGGGCTGGATTGCATTTCTTTCAATTGGGTTTCAGATTTGTTTACAAATTAAATGGTTCGATAAAATACCTGATTCTGTTGGAATATCTCCTGAACTCTCTGAATGTGGCCGCAGTCTCCGTTCAGTTAATCACGGTGAGTCCAAAAATGATTTGTAGCAGAATGTGTAGACCTCTCGTGTTTGTAGTACGACAAGAAGATGTTGCCGACTCCTGTGTTCTACCTGTGTTTCCTGCTAATTCAAGTTTTCATTATGGGCATAAGCACAAACGATATTAAAATTCAGGTATGAAACATACACATGTATAAGATACAGCAGTATAGAAATTATGTAAATTATAATGCGGATAAAATTATTAGGTTGGTTTTAAGAGGAAACAAATTAATTACACACACAATTATAACCATATAAAAATAATATAATTTACAGGGTATTATTCAAGTTATATTATATAGTTCAACAAATGAATTTCAAGTTCGAAGGACAAATGGCAAAAATAGTTGTCATAATGGTGGCAGATTGGTATTTCATTAAGATTGATCCAAAGATTTGCATAGAAAAAAAATTTGAGTTTGTTTACTAACGCTACAAAGAGTTCTTAGCAGGGATAGCGCGAATCACAAACTTTGTCCCTCTCTGTCTGTCACTCTCGCTAAATTTCCCTACAAATTCAAAAAATTCGACCCGATTTGTTCGCCATGGTTTAAGCATTTCAAATTACCAGGGAAGGTGACAAGAACTACATTTTCTTTCAACAGCACAAAAGGTCCTTGCTTACAATGATATCCCTAACTCAGTGGAGAAAAAAGTTTACGTGTTCTAAACACGTTTGTCAATATTTGGCGGTTTCATTATTTAACCATTCAGCACTGGAGTAGGCGAGAAATATCTCTAGCACACCAGGTAAGGTAGAGGGGAAGGCTCCCATTAGTGGCAATGTTAAAAAGCGAAGCGAAGCTGTCACCAATTTGGGAATCAGTCGTCCGGTGTTTATGCCTCTCATTAGCGCCCCTCTCAAATAATATATAAGCAGGTATAGAGTAAAATACGAGCCAGTTTCAGTGAAGCTCTGAAGAAGCCAACAGGATGATTGGCGAAACGTCGGCAATTTCGACTCAGCAAAAACCGACGCAGGAGGAATCAGAAGTTTTGTATTTATTTATCGTCTAACCTAATAACAATTTTACTAAAGTTTGTAAACAAAAAATACCCGTATTTATTGAAATTAACGTGAAATATTTGCCCCAAACATGTTTCGATCATATGGCAATTAAAAAAAATCTAAAACCATAACAAAAATCGATAAATTCAGCGACTGAAAAGGAAGATGTTTTTCAATATCTCACTGATTTTCATTAAAATATTGATCGATTATTTTTTAAGGTTTTGTTTTTTTTTAGTTGTTCTTATATATAACTTTAAGGGACTTTCTGAAACTTGTATATAGTCTATTAGGAAGGGAGTGCACTTAATAACAAATATAAACACCTACACTTGCAGAGCCTTGCCTTGTCCGATGCCGTATACTCCAGTCCATGGCACGAACAAAGCGAAGCGACTAAGAAATTATTACTAACAGTGATAGCTCGAAGCCAGACACCCCTGGAGTTGACTATAGGCCCATTCGGACCCATGCTTATAGAGTCGGCCCTCGCTGTACGTGCGTCACTACTAACACCTTTGTACATAACCGGAAAGCTTTTTCTATTTTCTAGGTCTGTAAGGCATCCTACTCATACGTCACCCTGATGATGCACAACGTCCAGTAAATAGATAAACACTTTTTTGTGAAAAGTTATTTCATTAAATACAAACTCTATTCAATATATATACAAACCTTTAGGTACACTTGGAGAGTAACAACGTTCACACTTGTGATAGAGAAAAACCTCCCCCCCCCCAAACCAAGATGAATGAAACCGCGAAAAATTATAGACCCGACGGCACCAAAGGAATCTACCCGGCGCAATATTCTTTTCTTTTATTCCTATAATTGCCGGGCGTGGTTGAAAGCAAAATACAGGTTGCGGACGTATATAATTTAAAGCAAGCGCCATTTCGTCAACGCAATTTGAAAGCGGATGTGTAAACATTTGTGCCACATGTTTGGTCGGAAACGGTTGAAGCGTCTTGGCTAAAGACGCAATTCAAAGGAACTCACTCTCAGATAAGGGATGCAGTGATCTAGAGGGCGAGTCCTTCGTACATCAAAAACATTGTTTCATTGTTTTCAAAGTTCGAGAAGTTATATTTCTCCACACACACAACAGATCAAAGGAAAAAATTTGATTTAAGTTGGTTTAAATGAGAAAATGACTTTTAATATTATATTTATACAATATTTATTTATATCTTATATTTATTGAATTTAAGGACTTTAATATTCACTCGAATAGTGTACATTTTTAATACCAAATATCAAGTTCCTTTTCTGGATCTTTCAAATGGGCTGAACTCTCGCACAAGGTTCCTATAATCCGTTGTTGAGTAGTGAAAATCTCCATGAGTCTTGTACAAATCAGTATTTTGTTCAAATGGCACTGCAAACACTTTCCAAAATGAAAATTAATTTGTTCGAAATGAACTTGACCATTTGATGGTAAAAACTTTTTAAAAATATTTCAATATGTTTCCATTCTTTAAACTCACAAGGTATAGTTACATTAACTTAGGTTAACTAAGAATCACGAGTAAGTTTTCTCAAAAATCTATTAAAGCGAGACCTTAAGAATTCCTAGCTTTGAATTCAGAATGCGTCAGAGTGATCTGAGGCCAAAGATCTCCAGACAAAAATTGTAAAATATTAAGGGAAAAACATGCAAAACTGACAGTTTTGTTATACATTCGTTATATTTCGTAATTGTCTTAATTTCCTTGACAATTCTAGGTTTCCCAGCATTGTACCAACCCTGACAGAAAACTTTGTTGACTAAAGTTAAAATTAAAAGCGGCCGCCGCTGCTTCATTATTATTCGGTGTGTTGCGAGCAAAATGACGGAACACCGATCCATCCTAACCCCGGCGAAAATTTTCATGATCTCCGTCGGTTTCTGGAAATATCCCCACCACCAATATCCCGCCAAATTATTTTACAAGCTTTACTCCGCGTTGTTCGTGTTATATTTCTTCCTCTACACGATCTCCTTGTATACCAAGTTCATCATCACGGTGAGCACAGCGTCTAGGTTAGACCCCGACGTGATCAAGCAACTTGCTTACGTCATCGGTTACCTCATGACGACTTACGTGATAATGGTATGCCGCGGCGCCAGCTTCAATGACGTCATATCGGACATCGCTCTGGAGGAACGGCACATATTAAACAGTGAGGATGACGATATTTTAAAGTCCCACCTTCGATACATCATATGGGACAATTGGATCAACCTTCTTTTCGCGGTATTTACTATTGGCACTGGCCTAGCTCTTGGTATGGAGAATGTGCTCCGAAATGTCGAGGTGGCGCGCTACAACAGACACCACAACGTCACCCTGGAAAGGCCTTTGCTAATGGAGGTCTATTATTTCAATCTAAACGAACAGAAATGGGCAAATTTGCTCCTAGTGATTTCCGAGGTCTCCCTTGCGTGCAACACATTGATGTTTCTCGCATCCAAGGTCAGTGTTTATACTTGCATACTATTCGCTTCGTCTGTACTAAAAATGATCCAGATCAAGTTCAGGAAGATGGGTCTAGGTCAAGAAGATACGCTAGCCGCTTTGAAGCAGCTAGTAGTGGAGCATCAGCGTATTATCGCGTAAGTTTGAACTTTGAGCTTCAAATCTAAGCTACTCCTGATTGGGTGGAATAACGACCTGTAATAAGTTTTGATAGTTTCCTCTTGAGTTGATGAATACAGTGTCAGATATAAATGAGAGTGTAGAAAATATGAAAAATATGTGACCCAGATCACTAGGCTTAACTAAATGTAACTATCTATTTGATTCGGTCGCTATTTGGCAATTGAACATGCGTAGTTTGACTTCCAGACTTGTCGACAAGTTAAACGGTTCGATAAAATACCTGATATTGTTGGAGTATCTACTGAACTCGCTGAATGTGGCCGCAGTCTCCGTTCAGTTAATAACGGTGAGCCCAAAAATAATTTATAATATGCAAGTGTGGACCTATAGTGTTTGTAGTACGACAAGAAGATGTTATTGACTCCTATATTCTACCTGTGCTTTCTACTCATTCAAGTTTTCATTTTGGGAATAAGCTCCAACGAAATTAAAATCCAGGTATGGAATTTCGATAAATGCCAATTTACCATTTTGCCATTGATATCTCTAAGACGTGCCGGGCGGTTCAAATTTTTTGGCACTGCCGTAAATATTGAAATTAAAAAAAAAATCATTATTGAGCATTTAGTGCATTTCGCAATAATAACTTCATATGAATTATTATTAAGTAAAATGTTATTAAGCATTGAATTAATAAGGTGTTTGTTGAGAAAAATCTTTAAATAATTAGATACCTTAAATACAATACTAATAGTTTTGTTTGGCAGACAGTTTAAAAAAGTCATGCAGATTCAATTTTTTGAGTTACTGAGAGCTTTTTGCATAGTACTTTATGCATAACTTATCCGCAAAAGGTGATGCCAAAAAATAAAAATTAATGGTTTTCGTTAAAAAATAGAGAAAGGATTTGCTTTATACAAGATTATCAAAAGAAACATTTTAAACATTACAGTATTTCAAAGCTTTTTTTCAAATGCCATTCCCAGACTAAAAAATTAAAATATTTATTTCAACTTACAATAATCTTTTTAACTACTAACATTGGAAAAATGTTCTTATTTTGACCTAATTTATTTGTAATCTTGAATCTTTATTGGTTAGCGAGGAAATATCCCTTAATATCAAGTTAAAAGCACCTCTATTTGCAGAGCCTCGCATTGTCAGATGCCGCATACTCTACTCCCTGGCACGATCAAAGCGAAGCAGTTAAGAAAATATTACTGACCGTCATAGCCCGAACCCAGATACCCCTGAAGTTAACCATAGGTCCATTCAGACCGATGGTCATAGAATCTGCAATCGCCGTAAGTGGATGACCACAAAGTCCTTTTCAAATGGCGGCAGAGTTGTTTTATTTTCTAGGTCTGCAAGGCCTCCTACTCATACGTCACGCTGATGATGCACAACGTGCAATAAATAGATACCCATTTTGATATTACCAAACAATATTTAATAACATTAAATCCGGTGCAAAAGAAAGTGTCTTTAATGACATAAAAGTCACCGGAGTATCCACCTAGAGCATACAGACAAACTACTAATACCATAGTCAGCAGTGTTGACCAAGTACCTTTATTTAATATTATTTAAGTGTCTCATTGACAATTGCACTCCACGAACAGGTTTATTCATCTGCTCGATGAAACAGAACACTGAATCTTTAAGGACGATGACTCTATTTTTTTATTTTCTCCACTACTTTGCGAGAAATGAACTATTTTTGGCAAATTGGTCATGCCCTTTACCATCATCTTCATCAACAAACGTACAAGTATTTTCAGAACGTCCCCCTCTCCCGAAAAAAATGAAATCGCCTCAAATTACACCCGCGACTGGCTGCAATTTTCACAGTTGAAAGTTCTTCCCCTTTGTTGCCGTAATTATAGGGCGTGGTTCAAATAAAAAACACAGGTTGAGGAAAATGACGACACGCACCGTCTCGTCATTGGGCTTTGAAAAGGTGGTTGGCATTTGCGCCTCACGTTCGGCTGGAGAAGGTTGTACTGCCCTCGCGGAAGAAGCTGTTTGAAGAAAATTCGTTCGTTACCGTTAATCAGACAGTTTCAGTTATTTTAGGTAAGCGACGCAGTGGCCGACATCTTTTATTAAATAATTTCCCTGAACAGCAAGGCACTTTTCAATGAACGCATTTAACTACTTAGGTGTTCATAATTAGTTATTGTTAAGTAAAAAGTACTAAAAAGATGGTTATTTGTTCTCAGAAATTATTTTTTTAAGTGCTTAAATCGCTTTTTTTTTTTACTTTAACAGAAACTTTTGCAAAGGAACATTAGTCAAAGTGTTAGAAAAAAACATCAATATGGTGGTCATTTTCTATGACTGCGCTGCATTTTTTATTTTTATTTTTTATATTTTTTTTCTAATTTTTTTCTAGTATGCTTTTACACTAATGAATCGACACTCTTGCGAACCAGGTGTTAAATATTAAAAAAAAAATACTTGCTTTTTTTTAATTTAATTTAATTTAATTTAATTTAATTTAATTTAAAATTGTGAAGCCCAGGGCCGTGCCGGGGGCAACTTAACCAATATTATTGTCAAAGGGATGTACGCCACTGACGTCTTTGGAATAACTCACTTTTTTTGAGTCGTTCGTGTCTTGTCTTTTTTTCGAGTAAAAAATAAAATTGAAAAAAACGTATTTTTATGAACAATTATTTCTTGGACTCTTTATATTTTGTGTGTGACGAATCTCCATCCGAACGGTGCCGCATGTTTTTAGAAACACGCTGTATTAGTGCTGCTGCAAAAATTCCGATAAAAATATGTAAAACTTACTTTGATGTCGATAGGGGAAGCTTGAATCTAGTCTGGAAATAGTCAATTCGTGACTTTCAAAGAAAGGAATCTGTTTTGTTGTATTGCTTCCCCTACGCTCATCTGAAAAAAATATTCAAAATTCCGCTGGTTTCCAGGTTTTCGAAGTTTTGCAGCGTCGTACCGATAAAAACTTCTGCGGGGTAAGTGCCTCAGTTGATCCATAAGTGAGTTTCTTCTGACTTGCACAAACTTTAAAAAACATGGTGGACCACCAATCCATTCTAACGCCGACGAAAACTTTCATGACCTCCGTCGGTTTTTGGAAATACCCCCACCAAAAGTATCCAGCAAGATACTTCTACAACCTTTACTCGGCCTTGTTCGTATTCTATTTCTCCCTCTACGCTATGTGCTTATACATTAAGTTCATCATAACGATGGCCACCACGTCCACCCTAAACCCCGAGGTCATCAAGCAACTGGCTTACGTCATCAGTTACCTAATGACGACGTACATGATAGTTGTGTGCCGCGGCGCCAGCTTCAACGACGTCATAGCCGACATCGTCTTGGAGGAACGACGCCTGATGGCGTATGGCGACGGCGATGTTATGAAGTCTCATTTTCAACACATCCGATGGGATAATTGGATCATTCTTCTTTTCGCGGTGTTCACTATCGGCACTGGATTTGCACTGGCGTTAGAGAATTGCCTGCAGAATGTCGAGAGGGCGCGCTACAATAGACACCACAACACCACCCTGGAAAGGCCCTTGCTAGTGGAGCTCTACTATTTCAAAATAAACAAACACAAACGAGCAAATTTGCTGCTGGTCGCCTCCGAGATCTCCCTAGCGTGCAACATGCTAATGATATTAGCGTCCAAGATCAGTGTATATACCTGCATCATATTCGCATCATCCATACTCAAAATAGTCCAGATAAGATTCAGGAAAATGGGTTTAGGTCAGGCAGATACGCTGGCAGCTTTGAGGCGACTAGTGGGGGAACATCAGCGAGTGATCGGGTAAGTTCGAACTCTGATCGAGCTTGAAATCTAGGAAGTTGGGGAAGTTTGTTTTGACAGGTCCCTCTGGAATAAATAGATACACATTATGTTCCGTCCAAAATGTTTAGGGACCATAACTAAAGGCAATTTATGAGTGTTTCATATTTAATTGAGTTTTAGAATTAATCTTTAAGGATATATTTTATATTCTATTTAATAATACAAACTATGTGTCATTTGTGTTTCAGGTTTGTAGATAAGTTAAATTGTTCGATAAAATACCTGACATTGCTGGAGTATCTCTTGAACTCGCTGAATGTGGCGGCAGTCTCCATTCAGATTATTACGGTAAGTCTAAGAATAATTTGCAGAGTCGGGTGTAGATCTGTCACGTTCGTAGTACGACAAGAAGATGCTGCTGACACCTGTCTTCTACCTGTGTTTTCTGCTAGTTCAGATTTTCATTATGGGCATGGGCGCCAACGAAATTAAAGTTCAGGTAATGAAGGTCTGTGAATTTACGTATTATATGTCATGTGGACTGCTAGAAAGCAGCACAATTTCAGCGTCCTGACTCAAATTGCTGGTAAGTTATTTGAGTTTTCGCAAACCATCGTCAGGGAACAGAAAACAGACGTAGAGGAACAGAGAACAGACGAAAAACATAAACGTCTCCGGTTTCGATGCCGATTGGCAAAGGTCATTGTCACACTTTTAGCAGACTGTAAATTTGAGGTTTTTCTTGTGTGCCTAGAATTTGGATTTTTTATAAAAAATAATTCATCTTATTCATAAAAGTCATAAAGCACTTTTGTGCAAAATATTTTATAAATCGCAAGCCGAGAATTCTCTTAAAATAATATTAAAATATGGGGATAAATTAACGCACCCCAGAGAAGGTTTAAGGACCTTGCAGTGGAATAATAAGATACAGAAGATCTACAGATGTGTTTCGGACTGAAAAATATACAGCCAGTTATAGCAATAAAAGTCACAAAACTACTTTACCTTAAATGTATTCTGTGCAGAAGATGTTATAAACGACCTTATTAGGATATAGAAAATTTATTGAAGTATGTGGAAATGTTTCGGCATTTGAATTTCCTCTTCAACTCATGCAGTCAGTTATAGCAATACCAATTGTTACATATAATTTTGATGTTTTAGCTCTATATGACATTATTTGCAGAGTCTTGCTTTATCAGACGCCATATACTCCAGTCCATGGCACGAGCAAAGCGAAAAAGTTAAGAAAATATTACTGACCGTCATAGCCCGAACTCAGATACCCTTGAAGTTAACCATAGGTCCTTTCGGACCCATGGTCATAGAATCTGCCATCGCCGTAAGTGAATGACTATCATATCCTTTCCAAATAAGAAAACACCTGTTTCTAATTCTAGATCTGCAAGGCATCCTACTCATACGTCACCCTGATGATGCACGACGTCCGATAAATGACGGCAGGGTTCATTTTTAACTCCACCGGAATACCAAAGGTTTCCAGAACTACGTCAACTTTGAAAAAATCACTTAATGAATGACTAGACGAAATTTGTACTCGAACCTAAATAACACTCTGTAAAGAATAAAGTACGTTTTCATTTAATACGCTAAGTCTTTCCTTAAATCACGTTGTGGTTTAAAAAATACCTCTTTGTCTCGACTGTGAAAAGGCAGGTTTCCATTTTATCGATATCGCTCGAGTATCCAACCCTCTTATTTCAATAATTACAAGGCGGGGAAAAATTCTAGAACACGCAACCCGGGACATCTATAATAATGGTTCCCGATAAAATGTGTCTCATTTTCCATGGTTGTATAGATTAAACCGCATTGGTGAAGCAGCGTTTGCCGGCCAGCGAGGAAGGTACCGCCCACACGCCAGCCTTTTTTCGACTCAGAAATCGGTTTCGAATTGTTCCAGATTATTCGAGATCCCCATTCGGCACCAACGGCTTATCCTAATCGACAGAGAGAGGATCATAAATTACGAGGTATGAAAGAAGACTTTTTCATGGAATTGTGCATGCACGACCTGAGTTTTGTTTTATAACTTAACAAATTAATTTTAATTAATGTTGAGCAAATTCAATGTTTAATATTGACAGTGCCAATTTTCCGTAGTTGTTGTTCTGATATTTAATTTGTTCCTGACGATGGCTGATAGGAAACGTGAATGAAAATGTGGCACTTATAACCAAAATTAAAAATTCGTTTCCAGTGGGTTGCAAACGAAAAAAACGCCATGTTAAACTTTCCGAAATTCTTCATGACCGGCATCGGCATCTGGCGACTCGACCTGAAGATTCGATACGCCGTCCTTAAAAAACTCTACGCTATATACTCGGTCATTATGCAGGCCTACTTTCTCGTCTTTATGTGCTCGCTCGACCTGGAGTTTTTCCTCACCTGCACTAACGACAAAAACCCTTCGGAACTATTCCAACAGCTCTCCTACGTTATCGCCCTATCCGTCGTCACCATCACTTCCCTCCTATGGCAAAAGGAGGAAATTAGGGAAATTATCATCCACATGCTCAAAGAGGAGAAGACTATAGCAGGATCCGAGGACCCGGAAGTACTGGATACCTACTTGAATCAGGTCCGGGTATCCGGAAAGATCAACGTGGCCATATTCAGTCTGTCGTTCGGCGTGGCATTGTCTATATTGCTAGAGACGTGGTGGCGACGTCAGCAAGTCAACAAAATCAACGCTACTCGCAACGAGACATTGGAAAAACCGTTCCCGTTGGAGCTGTACTACGGGTACGACTTTGATCGTGAGCGGTACAGCACTCTGCTGCTGGTCACGCAAGGCGCGGCCTGTTTTAGTATCAATTTTATGGTGACGGCGACCAAGGTGATGTTCTTCACCTGCATCGCGTTCGCCAGTATGGTGTTAAAGACGTTGCAGATTAAATTTCGGAAGTATGGGAGTCGCAATCACGACCCGTCAAGAGAACTGACAGCTTTGATAGTGGAACATCAACGTATCATCAGGTCAGTCCGTTGATATGTACGAACCACGACCCACTATTGGACACTTCTTGGACTCTCCTCAAGATTTAAAATATTATAACTTTGTTGATAGAGGGTGTCCCAAAAGTGTCCCCTCCGACGTCAACTTTGTAATTTTAAATGGAACGCCCTGTATATATCTACATTTTTGGAATCGTTAAAATAAACGTCACTTTCATGAGAAATTCTCATCCGAATTTTGCATGGTTCAAGCAGAAATTGAGGTTATGTGTTTTTTTTTTTTCATATTTTGATTGCCACATATAAAATTGTGTTGCGACGCTACTGATACAGGTGTTGCAACGAAAATTTAACCACAGATGCGCCTCAGCTTATGCAGGGTGTCCCAAATAGGTGGTACCGTGAATTTATATTTAAGATAACACTCGCATAAATTCTTGTTGAATTTAAACCTGCTCACATTAGGTCACTTGTTGGCAATATTAGGTATTTTTAAAATAGCAAAGGCATGATCCTACTTCTTTTAACAATACAGATTTAATAAAACTTCAGAATTCACTAGTTAACTAAAAAGTTTTCATTAATCACAATCACAATCACAATCTTTTTTTTGACGCATTATGGTATAAACAAACTTTGATATTTCTGTTTGTTTTTGTTATTTTTCATGTCTATTTAAAAAGGTCAGTTTTTTGTTAGAATATATTTTATTTGTATTTTTAATAAGTTATAGTTATTTGGTTAAAATATAAACTTTAATTATTTATTTTTGTTATTAGGTATTTTCAATCAATGTTTCTTTAAATATGAATTCTGAAGTTTTATTAAAGCTGTTATAAACTGTGTAGCCCTGTTTTCTTAGCAATAGGCCTTATTCGTATATCTGAAGTATTATATCTTTAAAGGAAGTACTATCATGTCTGCTATTTAAAAAATACGTAATATTACCAACAAATTTCCTAATGTGGGCAGCTTTAAATTCAACAAGAATTTATACTGGTGTTATCTTAAACCTCGAGTATCCCAAAAAGCAAGCAAAATCTGAATATATGATAAATTACAAACTTACCTTGTTTTTCGACTTAGAATTGATATATGAATAAAAATATAAGGTTTTCCATTCAAAAATCTTGATATTTTGTTAATTAAATTCGCCAAAACGGCAACACCTATTCAAAATCAAAATAAGAAAAAACAAACATAACCTCAATTTCTGCCCAAACTATGAAAAATTCGGATAGGAATTTGTTAATAAAGTGAACTTTATTTTGACCAAGGCTTCTAAAAATAAGAATATGTGTGTATGTCGGAGGGGATAGTTTTGGGACACCCTGTATCAACAAAATTTTTTCGCATCTCCTATGGGTTTCCATATCGTACAGTGGGTCGTTTTATTTGGCTCATGGTGTACGCATGTTGATGTCGTGCCGAGGGGCTCGTTCCCAACTCATTGACTGATTGATTGATCTAGGTTCGTAACCAACCTCAACGAATCTATGAAGTATATCGTATTGCTGGAGTATCTGCTAAACTCGCTAAACGTTGCCACAGTCTCCGTTCAGCTGATAGTCGTAAGAGCTGATAAGACGCAAAATATCCCTTCTTTGCCCCCTACAGTTTCAGACCAAAGCGGCATCGCCGATATTCTTCTTGGGGTTCCTGTTCGCGCAGATCTTCGTCTTGGGCTGGAGCGCAAACGAAATTAAAGTCCAGGTTTGTGGCAGCTGGTATTTTAAATAAAGTTAAACAATGGTCATGGTATCGATTTTCTTTTTCCGACGGTAGAGCGCGGCTCTGGCAAACGCGCTGTATGCGAGCCGCTGGCCCGACCAACCGGAGTTTGCGCAAAAATTGATATTGGTTATGATTGTCAGATCCCAGAGGCCTCTTGAGCTCACCATCGGTCCCTTTGACGCAATGACCACCCAGACAGCTTTAAGGGTAAAGTCCCATATAAATCGAGACCGCCATTTCCTAGTAACTATTATGATTTCTTTTTTTACAGATCTTAAAGGCATCTTACTCGTATATAACCCTAATGAAGAACAATTACGACCAATTACCACCGTTTACAGGAAAATAATAAATAACTGAGTCTTAATAGCAGCTTAACTTTGAAGAATTACACTTTGGTTAATTTGAAGACATATTATTGTTAATCCGCAAAATTTTGTTTTTTTTTAAGGTATTCAACATAATTCAAGCATCAATACGTTATATAATATATATGTACAATTTTACTGTATTTATTCCAATTAACCTAATTATCCCTCGCCCATATTTACGTGAGCGACAACGTTTAATTAACCCAATTAGCAAGGCGCATATTTTTTGCTTAAGCAAGTATCTGGTAAAATCTAATTAGAATTTTACATCAATGTTTTATAGTGATTGGCGAGATGTATTTGGTGCCGTTGCTGTGGCTATCGTGTGTGTTAGCTGGGGCTCATCCGAATGAAAACCTTGCGATAGTAAGTAAATAAAATAAAAATGTGCGGGATTTCAAGCATAGTGTTTAGTTTCTAAAAACATCTAAGTTTCTTTTTGAATTTCGAAGAAGAATAGTAACAAGCATGATGAGCGTCTAGTCACTAGTTTGATTTGGCACGGGCGAAGCAAGTGATTAATGTACGAAGAACCGGAGAATTTTATCAACTTGTTGCATATAGTACTTTCACAAATAAATTATTTTGAACTAATTTAGAAAGGGTGGTGCTTTCTGTAAAACAGTAATGAAGCTGACATTTTAAAGTGAAACATTTTTTTAATAGACGGTAAGCGAAAAGCGAATTAAATTGTTTTTAATTTTTTTACCTCAGGAAAGGAGCAAAAAACTATTCGAACAAGCAAAAAAGTTGGAATACTCTGCTAATACATGTTAATAAAATTTATTTGTGTACCATATCAGGTAGGATTCGCGACCCAATACGGATATTCCATTGAGGTGCATACTATCCACACCCCTGACGGATACATCCTACAGACCCATCGGATATATCAGCCTCGCTCTGACAACAAAACCAAGCGCGTAGTTCTATTAGCACACGGGATTGCCCACCGAGCCGACTACTTCGTGGTGTCGGGAAAAAACGCCCTGGCATTTTATCTGGCTGAAAGGGACTTCGACGTATGGCTACTAAACGCTAGAGGCACGAAATATTCGCGAAGACACGAGATTTTCGATCCGGACAAGGACGCGAGGAAATTCTGGGATTTTAGGTGCCCGCTTCGCAGACATTGTTTTAAGACAAACTATTATTCAGTCCGTTACTATTAAAAACCGATTTGTAGTATAGTATGAAGCCCAAACTAACTTAAAAAAAAGTTGCAACGACTTATCAATTATTTTCAAAACGTGATCGATCAGTTTTCCTTCAAAACTGATTGAATCAGAATGTTGTAACGTTGTAATAAAAAGAAAAAATGCCAAACAACTAAACTGACTTAAGTATTCCTCATCTATAATCCCTTTGGATACCTAATCAAGTTTTATTGCTCTACACGTTTCTAAAATATACTATATAAACCTAAACTCTATAAATTATAAGTAGTGCTTGTGTAAGAGCAATTTCATATTGCATCTTTTTTAAAAATCAAAAATAACAGAATTACAAATGGTCGAAACAGAATTTGTATTAATTTTAAGTATTTTTTTCGCCTTTCTTTGCACCTTATATTAAGAGCGCTTATTTCAAATGTTCTTTCGTATGCTATTTGACAAAACCAAAGGATCTTAGCTGCCCATGGCCTTAAAAAATGTCCTAAAACGTTTTTGTTTTAAAGTTTTGCAAATTAAAATACGATGCCCATGTATTTAAATTATCGTAGCCTGCTTTTAGTTCTACTTAACAGCTAGTAATTAATATTAGTTAACAGTCTTAGGTTATGTTCAGTAACCGAGTTATTAAACATTAACCAAAATTAATCGGTATTAATTCGTTGCATGGAAATCTAATAGCGCAATTTGCTTGAAAATGGTTTAGGTTATTGCAGTATGGTCTTAAACTCTGAGGTTTTAAAATTTTTTGAATTTTTTCTTAGCTAAGGCCATTTGATAAATTTTATCTAAAAACACCCCTCCTATTACGTTATTTTTTGAAATTGCCGCGCTCCATAGCGTAAATAACCTTCTATAACGTATGTAGTGTAGAGTTTGTTCCAAAATTTGGTAGCAGGCGCAGCACAATGATTTTTCATTTTCGAGGTACAAATATTTTCAGCTGGCACGAGATTGGGGTCTACGATCTAGCAGAGAATCTGGACTACATCCTCTCCAAGACCGCAAGCAACGAGCTCTATTACGTAGGGCACTCGCAGGGATGCACGGCACTGCTCGTGTTGCTATCGGAGCGGCCAGAGGTGAACGACAAAATCAAAATGGCAGCGCTGACGGCACCCGCGGCCCACCTGGAACTCAGCGCCTCTCCGTTGTGGTGGCTGGCCGCGGACTCGAGGGAACTTCTAGTGGTAAAGTCGGACGAGTGTACTCGTAGAAGTACCTACTACTGGTATTATAAGCAAAAAGTATCTTGTTACTTTAAAAATAAGAAAGAACTTCCTTCAATTTATTCCGGGAATGCTAAAAAGATTACCATTCTCCTAAAAAGTATTGTAACATCTCAGGTAGCAGAGGGTCGTCAAAATGACATCATTAACAAATGACGTCATGTATGACTTCGGCAAGACTTGAATTTAACCTATTAATGTCTCAGCCGCAATGATGTCTTTGAAGTGGCGTATTTTTTAAGTCAATTTTTTAGATCAATCACTGGCGAAAAATGTGACGACTTTTAAATTGGTATTTTATTTTAGCAATTGGGACAATCGAAGGTAAATCACATAAAAACTGCCGTTTTGTATAGAATGTTTTTTGCGGTTGCGCAAAATGGAGAATTATAGCTAATGAATAAAGATGAGCCTTTCTTTTAAAAAAATTAAATTCAGGGTCTTCCAATTGATTTTGACTTACCCCGTATAAGGATAAATGACGGTACCAACTAAAATTGTCGACGTAATAAAATCACAATTGGCGGAAATGGCGCCAAAAATATAGGGCATAGGGCATTTTTGACGAAAAAATGGCCATAAATCCGAAGACACTCAGTATAGACCATAGAATTCCTACATTGGGTTATTGAGTATAAAAGGGAGTATGTATGAATGCAGTATACAGGGTGTTCAATTAAAAATATATGTTTGATTTCCCACACATTTGTGAACCACACTGTATAAATAAAAATAAATTTAAATTGTTTCTTTTAGTCGCGTCTATAATTTGTGTAGTTAACATTTTTCTCTAAAACAAATAATAAACGAAATATATTACTGTAGCACACTATATGGAAATCCTCTAAATATATTTTTCTACTCCCGTCTGTAAAATACCCAATTATCCACCGATCTAGAGTGCGGGAAGCGTCACTTAACCACGTTAGTTTCCTTTCCCACGGATCCGAGCCACTTCGGACATTTCCGGGATTTTACCGCACGGGTTTAGGAGCAATAAATTTTGACGAATTTGATAATAGTTTTAATTAATTCGGAGATCAGTTTTGTGCTGTTAACAAGACATCCTTTTTTGACGTCAATTTGGCTTATGTCTCGAAAATGACGTCACTTTGACGCCCCTCTGCTACGTGGCATGTATCACCACTTGGAGTATCTACTTTTTTACTAGACGATACTTCGATTTTAACAGCAATTGATATCATAGCAACTTCATCCTGCGCACTGTAAAGTGGTAAATGGTTCGATTAAGAAGAATTACAATTTATAATACAAGAAGACGATGATGATGGTCTTATACTGTTAATTATTTAGATGAACAGTTTACTACTGAACAGTTAAGGGCTGCACCTTTTGCTGATTTGATCGGAGGTGTCAATCTTTTAACTAATATAATCTTAAAATCTTCAAGCAAAATTACAAATAGCAACTGTTGTTATTCATTTTGATACTCTTCAGTCACGTTTTCTTCATCTGAAGACACCTTAAAGACTCGTTGATGTAAAAATATTATTTATCAAACAAAACACTGCGTAATTGTAGCAGAAGTAAAATTTCAAAGAACACCCTACCCTTGTTAAAGTATTGTCTGAAGTGAGTAGTAAGTATGCCGAAAACAAAATTTAATGGTGCCACATTTTAGGAAATTTAAAATTAATTTTAAAAATATGTAATGGGACTGGAATTTGGGTTGTTTCCAAGTCTTATGAAATTGTCACTATATCTTGAGTGAATCCAATGGTGTAGTAATAATGTCTAATATACTTTCGACTTTCCGCATTTCAGACATTTTTAATTACCGCCCATTGGTACGAACTTCCCATCCCGAACAGCCCGTCGCTCCACGACTACATCCGATCACTTTTGCGCAGTTCTCGAGCGATGGCAACCATCGGTACCGATCTCTACTACTTGTTTTCGGGACCTAAATCGAACCTGCTCGAACAGGTATAATGATTTGAATATGCGAAATACAAATTTTTCGAACTGGCCACGTATGATGTCATCACGTTGTTATCTTGGGCGACCTGACTAAATTATATTCTTGAAGCAAATGTCTTGTTGTTTCAGGGTATGATATTTGTTCTAGCCGGTTGCCTACCGAGCGGCTTCTCCTTGAGACAACTCGACCATTATCTCCAAATCACCAAGGCAGGTAACCCAGTACGCGAATGACCCCCGCGAGAGCAAACACGACCGGAGCCTGTTCACAGGGCAGTTTCGACAATACGATTTCGGACCACCCAAGAATCTGAGAAAGTACAATCGATCTACACCTCCGCCGTATAATCTGTCGAACGTTCGCGCGCCTATAGCTATTCTATACGCCAAGAACGACCCATTCGCGGGCTTGAAGGTGAGAAAGCAAGCCTGTGGAGCTTGGTAGGTGAGTAATGGGGATATCTGTAGAGTTCGAAGAAACTGGCCGACGGACTGCCTACCATAGCACAGTTCTACGAAGTTCCTCGCGAAGATTTCGGGCATACGGACTTCGCCTTCGCGATCAACGCCAAAGAACTCGTCAACGACGTTATCTACGAGTTGTTTGACAAAAACTAAAATAGCCTTGTGCTATGTCGAACCGATGGCCGATATTATGCACCCAACTCACGAAAACTCCTCAACTTGTATTCAACATAGGTCGAATTTTGCAAGTTCGGGAACAAGTTATGCATAATTAATTTTTTACGTGCCAACTTACGATACAAGTCAAAATGTTATTTTTGAGCTTGGAGAAAACACCAGTCTATATATTTCACGACATAGCTCCGCAAAAATTTCGCACTAAAATGAATAGTTTGTTGAAATAGAAGAAATAATATTGTTAAAAATTAGTGTAATATGTTATTAGGCTTATGCCCGTTAATTGCTCAATAAATAAATAAATAAATAAAATAACGTCACATTTAAGATATAGATGGCAGCCAGTGGTTGAGAAAATACGTCAAACCGATGTCAAAAACCAAGTCAGAATAACCTCAAAAACTTAAGACAAATATTGAAACATATGGGAAATCTTTGATTCGATTTATATTTTCAATATGGCGGTTGTAAAGCTTTTTTGGTCAAATTTTTGAAATAACAGATAGGCGTTTTCAAAAGTTTCCAAGTTTCAAATTGGAAAAGTTCCTAATAAGTCTGTACTAAAAATCGGGGTTATGAAATGGCGGACTAGGTTTCCGATTCGCATTTTGCGGTTAAATAGTTTTATATGGCATCAGAAACAAAATAATAATCTATATTTACAAATACAAAAATCCCATCCACACCAGTTAAACAACTTTTTTTCAGTCAAAACTGAATATGGGAAGTTTTAGAATTCGTTTACCACAGATTTCTTGAAAGCGTTAGCAACCGCCATGAAACCCAAGCAGCAATGTTAAAAAATCACCCAAATCCGACGTCACCTAAGCGACGCACACAGGTTACATTTGCGTCATAGTGACGTCATACATCGTCTTGGCGCGTTCTTCTACTTGCTAGGGTGCCTGTCCGCTACGTACGTTGAAGATCATTCTGATTGTGATAATTTTGTTTGTTGCAATCCGAAACAGTTATGTGGAAGACTTGCCAAACCAAGATTGGCCAGCCAAGTGAGTCTCCTGCGTCCTGGCGCTCTTTTTCTCTGAAGGATACACTGGAGTAATTCATATTTTTCATTGTTCCTCACGATGTAACTCAGGTATTTGACGATATTGACTTTTCCCATAGAGGTTTTCATTCTCTGCAACACTTCTGGGTCCTTGGTATCTTCAAGATTCTCCTGTACAGTCAGCTTTCAAAGTTTGGACATTTTTTTACTGTTTTAAGGTCCATGTCTCCATACAGAAGAACCGAGTGCACATAACACTTGAGGAGTCTAGTCTTTATTTCCAGTGAGAGGTTGTGGCTTTTGAATACTTGACCCATAGCTAAGAAAGCACTTTCAGCCTTTCCAATTCTGCACCAGATCTCTTGAGAATTGTCCCATGATTCATTAATAGTTTTGTCCCATTGATGTCTTTGTTACTTATTACCATAAGTTTGGTTTTTACCAGTGTTTATATTATATCAAGTCCATATTTGCTGGTCGCTGTAACTTTGTCCATTAGCTTTTGCAAGCTTTCCATTGCAAAAGCCATTTATGGAGATACCTTCATTCATATCTTTTGATTGAAAGTCAGGGGAGAAATGACACATCTCAACCTGCTCAGTATGCTCACAATCTACCCTGAGAACTGCGAACTGGTTCCAATAGATTAGATTATTAAATTAGATTTTCAGACCTTTTCCCTGGAATCCAAGCAGCGATATTAAAAAATGGCCACAATCTAACGACCTAATGACCCAATAAAACACGTCACCTAAGCGGCGTCATATTGACGTCATACCATCATTGTCATCGCTTGGTGGGTTACTAATTAAAAAACGTTCAAAAATAGATAAATATTTATTGTATTTTATTTCAGTCACTACAAATAGCAAATACCAAAAGAAAACACAAATTGTAAATATATATATGGTGACAGTTATGTATCACTACATAAACAAAAGATGTTAGATGCTATAAAAATGCTCTTAGAATACTGTAAAAAAAGAAAGATCCTGTATATATAAAAGGAATGCCGAGAAAATATCACACAGCGTTGCCACAACCAAAATTGGCATTCAGAAACAAATAGAAATTTTCGTTAGTTTTACGAAGATGAAATGGTCTGTCGATCACCTAGTACTTAATCATATATTGCATTATTCAACAAACCATAATTAAGAAATATTGGCACCCAATGACTGCTATTAATTTCGTCAACGTACGACTCATACCGACTCGGTGGGGCTCTGGAACTCGGACAGAGCGTGGATCGGATTCTGCACCTGTTTCTGCGATCCCTTGCGAACCTTGGCACGGATCTCTTCGGGCCTTTCCGGCCGTACCAGCGGTTTCTTCTCGGGCGCTTTCATCCGCCACACCACTATCGGAGACTGAAATACACCGCGACACTAAGTGAGGTTAGATTTTGGTACCGCCCACTTACCGCGACGGTCGCCTGTCTCGGGTACTTGGTTGACGCGACGTACGAGGCCTTGACCGTCAACACGACGGCGTTCATCAGGTTCTTGGCCGCCTGTATCAGCGACGTAGCGCTGTCCAACTGTCACGGAAAAAAAAATTAATCCGGCTCGAAGGACCAAAACATGACCAGCCTTACTCCGGAAACGATCAGCTCGCCGCTTATGTTCTGCACGTCCGCTTTCACCTTCGACGTGATGTTCATCTGGTGACAGTACAGGGCGATGCGTTGTAGGTAAGCGAGCAGGTCCTTTTTTGTCGAACTCTCGGGACACTGCTCCGCTATTTGCCGCGTAAGTTTGTCTAGTTTCGTACCGGCTTCGGAGATTTTCTTCGCAGCGTTGATGACGTCCATCGTTGTCTTTAGCGGTCCGCGACCCCTAAATACGTCATTTAGTCTCTAAAAAAAAGGGAATATACTGCTGGTTACTCGCCTGGTAAAGTCCGTCATCTCCATCATGATCATGCACATGTGCTTCGCGAGGACGACGATGTCATTACCCGCGTCATCCCACTTGGCAACCTCACGGTCGAACTTCAACTTTTCACTTCTGAAGTATTCCACCTGCTGCAGGATCTTCTGCTTGTCCTCCTCGGGCATTTTGCCCATGGCCTCGCGCGCCGTCGTGATACCGCTAATCTCCGGGTACTCGTCGACACCGTGCTCGCCGGTATGCGCACTCGCTGCGAGTCAAATATATAAAAAATGGCGCCCGACGCAATGGTGAGATAGAATTTGAAATCAAGATGTTAAGTTTGCTTTTAAATTTGGAACCACATATTGCAAGGTTTATAACTAGAGACAGAGACAAAATATTTGACCTGGTCCTGGTTAAAAAGGTCATGACCAAACATTTTCGAAATTAATAAGGTCACTAACATGACCTGGTCCTAATAACTTAGAACCAGCACTGAAGATTAGTGTTAATTTTAGTCCTGATTTAAATTGATGGTTATGACAGTTGGGTGATGGGTTTCCCTTGTTTTTTGTGGTTTTTCTGTAATTCCTTGTTTAATTAAAAAAAAATTAATTGGATTTTGTAACTCGAACTTCGATTTTCTTAAATACATATATGACGGACTTAAAAAAAAATGCATATTATATTTTATAATTTCTATGAAGTAATTATATGGTTTTTACAGTTATTAAATTAAACATAAATAGATAAAAAATGTAATTTAATGTGGTAAGGCATTTTTCCGTTTTTCATTTACAGAAAATAATTTCCCCAAAAAAAATGAAAATTTTCAGTATTTTTTAGATTTTTTACCCATAAACGAAACACCCTGTACAAATTCAAAAATATTTGAAGTAGAGGTTATAGCCATGAATCTCCCGCGTTTCCTGGGTAAATGGTTTTCGAGGAAATTATTCTTTTCTGGAACTACGCAGTACGCCGTAATAGTGAATGACGTAGTCGGATCTAGATTGAGTGCGAGACATGGCGATTTTCATGTGGATTTTTTCAAATATCTCGAGCAGCGTATGTGACAGACGAAAACCGTAAATACAAAAATTGTAGCTCTCGATGCGGCCTATAATACATGTTAAACCGATTGGCCATATTTTTTACGATTTTTGATTTACGATTAATTATAACGATAATAATAATCGACAAAATAATTGAAATATTATCAAGTTTTCGAGAAAATAATTTTTATCTGAAGGCCTAAATACGACAAAAAAAATCATTTTTTTTTTAAATACTTGACAATATTTGAATACGCCCGGTTTCTACAGTATAGATGTGGGTTACGGACTTTTATATCCCTTCAAAATTTGATGTCGATAGATGCAAATTTGAAACACCTTCTACATTTTTTAATATATCACAGACAATCTGTGCAACACGTGAAAACCTCAAATACAAAAGTTTTGGCTGTCCATGGGGGCTACATGGCCATGTATAAGAAACCGATAACTGAAAGACGGCGTTCTAGTTATCGTCAATTATCGGGGGACCTCAATTTTCAGTTTTTTGTGACCACCCTTTACATTTTGGAAAATTACCGAGAATATGGCACTGGATCGCCCGCCAATTTCAATAGGTTCCGTCAGGGGCCCGAAGGGTATTTCCTTGTCAAATTTGAAGTTGGTAAGTTCAAATTTTTATACACTTACTGTGTTTCACGAAAACATTCGAAAATCAAGAAAAAAAGATGGTTGTGCATCCCTTAGGCTATTAAAAAGGAGCAAAATTTGAGTCGTCTAGGTCGAACAATTTTGCTTAACCAGAGAAAGAATACAGTCACGGGCGAATATGTTTCTAGTCGAATATATTTTTTTAAACAAATAAAGCCGATTCACGGACTTATTGTTATGTATACTCTTTGATCCCTCATCGGCCAGTCAGGTACTTAAAAACACCCTGTATATAATTTTTTATATAATTACTGTTTTAAATTATCAATTTATTAATTAAAAAATTAAAGCGCAGTTGCACTTACACTTGCTCTTCGTCTCCAACGTGTAGTTCTCGTCCAGCTCGACGTCCTCCGGGTCCAGGTCCTCGTCGGAGCGATTCATCAGGACGGCGCGTCGGATCTCGCGGACGCCGTCGTAGACGAGACGCGACGCGTCTATGAACTCGTTCTCGTCCAGCTCCTTGGTCGGTTGCCCGTCCTGACCGCTCAGGATCGCCTGCACCGCCATTTGGACGCGCTGCGTAAATTTCGGCATCACCTGGTCGTTCAACACCTTCACGGCTTCCATCACGCGCTTGGTATAGACGCAGGGTTCGTAGTTGTCCATTTCGGCGGCTACGACCACGCCTATACGACCGGTTCGTCCTCTGATAGCGGCCGCGGTCCTCTCCAAACTGTCCGCTTCGTTTTCCTGCGCAAACTCGAAATATATAGGGCGTTCGCGAGAAATAACTGGTAAAATGCCGCTTACCTGCAACGCCAACACGCACTTGTTGACGTCCTCCAATATGTGGCTTTCGGACACCGCGAGGAAATCGTCAACGGTCGTGATGTCGTCGATCGCTTCGGTGAGCACGCGCACGTGGTTCTCCCACGTGTTACGGAACGCGTCCATGTTCTCCTGAGCGACTTTGCTGCGCGGACGCGCGGCCAATATCCGAGCGGCGTTTATCACTTCCGGGCAGAGGGAATCGATTTGGGCGGCCGCGTAGCGCACCATTTTAACGCCGTCCTCGTGGCTCGACATGCTGCACACCAGATTCGCCACCTCTACTAGTTTATTCGAGTGCTCGGTGAACACTGCCGCGCACTCCTCCACCTCTTTCTCGTTACCGTTCTGCGCAGCTTTGATTAAAATCAGAAGCGGGATGCTCGTCTCCATGAAACTGCAAACGCGCAGAGCAAAAATGCAGCTTCGAGCCGACAAGTTTAAAGAAATGACTACACATATTTCTCTGATTTAAGAGCTGCTTAGCACGAATGTAAGTCAAGATAAATATAGTATAGTACATAGAAACAGAAATTTTAACTTTCATATGCTAAAAATGCCAATGCATTTTGATAGATAATTTTTATGCACAAGAGAAATATTCACCATGTCCGATCTTCGATAAGTCGAACCAAATTGGTTGGCAGTAGCGTCAAAAGTAGGAAATGCGTGTTAGTTTGTCTTGATTACTCGAATATCTTGATAATTTTTTTGACAACTTCGATAAGTCGAATTTTCTCGGGGAAGTCCCTAATTACGACCGATCTTAACCTGCCTTTTCAACGTATCTATGCAAGCAGTTCAGTTTCTGCACTTGCTAAGTTCACCTTTATGACTTACTAGTTAATACTAAGTGAAAAATATTGTCCCTATTCAATTTACACGTTATATTAAAGATATTTTTGGATTTTTGCATTTGTTTACTTTACGTACTTTAAAACCTTTGTCTGTTGATCAAAAATTCAAGGTTATAAAAGAAGTGGAAAGTGGCTCAAAAAATAAAGTTGTTGCTGTGAAGTATGGGATTTCGGCAAGTACGGTGTCTACAATTTTGAAAAATAAACATTCAGTTACCACCGCAATGGAACGTTTCGAAGAAAACAAAAAGTGAAGAAACAAAAATGAAGATATTATCGAGTCCTGCAGATCCGAACCGGTACAGTTAAACATCGAAGATGACTGCGAAAGTGACACGATGGAGGAGGAATTGGAAGATGATTCTCAGCAACCACCTTCAAATGAATTGGTTGAAAATTCGTTGATTGTCTTGCGTTCCTATTTGAAAACCAGTGAACTGACTTTTTTCTCGTGAAAGAGAAAACTTTAATATGTATGTATGTGTGTATACATACTATGTTTATATATACTGGGTACATATACAATACATTTGTATGTACATATATTATGTAAATACATACATACATATGTACTACTATTTCATAATTTTCGTTTTTTGTTCAAAAAATTCATGTAACGTATAACCCATTTTAAAAAATGAATGAATAAATGGTTCATTCACAAAAAAGTACATGCATTTGTAGTTCTTATTGAAATTTTCATGTGTCAAATCGCAGTTCGACTTATCGAAGTTCGACTGTATATTCGTAATTTTTTCAACATTCGCTTCAGAACATTTTATACTATGACAATAAAAACACGGAAATCGAATATTACACATATTTATTGACAAGAACATAGTAGGAAAATGAACAAGATATATTTAGCAATGTATAAGATTTAGCTTTATTTTTTCCATCTAGCCATTTTCGCTCTAGTACACTTGTACACTCTAGTACACTGAAAGTAAATTTTGGCCTGGTCATGTTCGTACTATTGGAATTATGCTGGTAAATTATAAAAATATTGAACACTACGTTTTTTCCAAAACTTCACTCTCCTTTCATCTAAGTGAGATTCATCCACACCACTCATTGTAGACATATATCATAGCTGCTTCGATTTTTTCTATTTGATAGTTCCCAAGTTTCTTTTTTACTATTCGATTTCCAATACTGTCCATCGCGATGAGAACACATTAGAATTACCCCATTACTAAAATATTTAGTGACTTGCTAGCTCTAACTCTATACTGGTATAGAAATTGTCAGTAAATAGATGGTGTCCTTTATTGAAATAGTATAAAAAACTTAAGAGTTTTTCCACCACCACAAAACCATGTGATGTTGGTCCAACCAGAGATTCATCCGTAATTAGCTGTTTGCATCCTGAGTTTGTTTTGACGGTAGTTCTATAAATTGACAGGAGTAACAATGTCACTTTCATAATCACGCGGTTTTCAACTTGTTCTATCATCTGAACGTCTGTATCTCAGAATCAAACTGTGTTCGACATTTTGAAATCAAAATTAGAAATATAAAAAAATAATAATAATCACGATGTATACCGCGACGCTGGCATTTTTCGCACTAGCGAGAGCGACGCAACGGCGTTCCTTGCTACTAAAAGGGTTAAAATTACTATTTATTTAAACCAAATCAAAATTCCATTTTGCTCTTCTGTAAGGTCAGTTTTGGAATATGTTGGTCAGTTGTAAAATAGGTCTGTGAAATTTGTTTGGTTTCAAATGGGTATACAAAATGAGGATGTTATACACGAAGAATTACTCCACCCTCTTAACCTTACAACTATTAGCAAAAGGAAGAAATATATTGATATAAAAACTTTGTAGAAAATGCTATCATAGATTATCCTGACTTGCTGCCTCTGACAGAACTTAACGTGCCACGGAGAGGTCTATTTCATAGAACAAAGAATAGTTTGTTTATCTTTATCACCGACACGCTTTGCAGATAGTCCAAATAAATTGCTTACCAATAAATAAATGATATTCGTGTATTTTTGATACTGTGATATTGCCGATTATAACAATTTTTTTGTTGCTAATTTTTAGTACTAGTCTAACCTCTGCAAGTGACTAGGCCCTTTAATAATAAATAATAATGTGGCGCAAGAAAGAAAACGATGACTCACCTGTCAGAGATATGGTCGACTACCGCCTTCCTCAACTGCCGGCGCAAATCCTTCGTTTTGCCCTTCATGTTGTCAATCGCCCTGCCCAAACTGTCCCGTTTGTCTTTGTTGCCCATCTGCGACGGGGACGCGATTTATTCGGTCCTTCGAGCCGGATTATGCGCTACTTACATTGGACATGTACTCCGAGAGCAGGTCCTGCAAGGCCTGCCGCACGGCGTTGCATTCGGCGACGATCCTCTCGCGGCGGTCGTCCCGAGTGCAGCTAGAGTCCGCCATTAGAGCGGCCCCGCTGATGATGCTCTCAAGACGTTCCTCCAGGGAGGGACGCGTGTGGATCTCGTTGTAGGCGAGCGGTTCGATGATGATGTGCTCGTCGAAGTCGTCGAGGGCGGCTGCCAGCTCGCCGGGACCGTCGTAGGGCCCGGCGGTGGGCGGGGCCCGACCTTGAGCGACATCGTTGATCGTGTTCACCGCTTCGCACACCTGACGGAACATTTTATCAAGATAACAGGCGATAGGTCAAATGAACCACGGCGCAGGGGTCATTTCTTTTTATTTCATTTTATTTTTAACTGAACTTAATTTGTTTTGTTACTTTTCTTAGTTTTTGATGTTTCAGACGTTACCAACATGGCTAAAAATATTTGGTACCTATTATTATAAAGAACATTAAACAAATAACCAGCTTTAAATCTTATCAATTTTTTTTTTAATGTATTTATATGTCATAATAACAATGTTACCCATTTTAATTTTTAATCATATAATTGGAAAATCGAGCATTTTATTTCTACTTAAATTAAAAGTAAAATCAAATATTTTTATTTACAACACTAACTAGGTACCAATTACCTAAACTAGCTAAAAATGTATGTTCTATTGTACAGTTACTGATCAGAAAGAGTATCGTTTTTAATTATTGGCATGTCCCCTAAAAAACAGCATCATTGGCGAAATGTCAGCAAATTCGAACAATCGACACGGTAGGAATCTTGAAAATTTGGAAATAGTGCGTATATTTTTTAAATCACTTTATGTCAAAACTTGAAGTCACTAACTTAATCTCTCATTAGAAAAGAGAAATACACTGAATAAAAAAGTATATCATATTATAAAAAAGCGTAAACGCCAAGTTGTCAATAATTGTCGACTAATATTTCAAGTGTTTTCATGGCCAAATCGTATTGGAAAAAAAGCAAGCAATACTGCAGCATAAAATATGTTTTTTTATTTATTCTTAAAATAAAAATGATCTCTACGGGTTGTCCCGCGCACCTGCTTGAGCACATAATCCCTATTGGCCTTGGCGGCGGCCAATTCTGGATGTCTAACGTAAACCTTCGAGGCGGTAAGCAGCATGGTCGAGTGTTTTTTGAGCACTGCCCTGGCGGCGGCCAAATCGTCCCTCAGCTGCGGATCTTTCAGCTCCTGCTGTCGCTTGGCTGCCTGATTCATCAGTTCATTGGCGTTCTGCCTAAATTTCTCGATGTTGTCCAACAACTCGCCATTACTCGAAGCATTCTTCAACTTCTCGATGTCGTTCTCGACGACGTGGAGGGACTTGAGCAACAAGTGGACGTCCACCATGTCCGCGAGGATCAACAGACGAGTAACAGCGGACAGCAGGTTGCGGGCTGCCCGCACCATGTTGCTCCGTTTGAGCGATGAGCACGGCTCTTCAGCAAACTCGCGTGCGTCCTTGCTCATTTGAGTTCCTGCGATAGAATTAAACTCTAAACTGTCGCCCTACCGCCTGCGCCACATGAACTTCTCAGTTACCAATAATTAAAATTTATAAAGTACAAACAAACTTTTAAAACAACAAAAAATGGGGTTAGCACTACGAAAATGACAATTATAATGAGCACCCATATAGCTACCAAACATATAGGGTTCCTGCCTATGCAGATAGTGCAGGAACTCATGAAGGAACTATTAAAAAAATTTTGAGGAGTTCAACAACCAACATGGTCTCTGACAGATCGTTAAAAAGTTTGGATGCTGCAATTTTATGGACTTGTTTTCAAAAAATTTGACTAGATCTCATTAAATTTTCTAGGAAAACGAGTTAAGTGTGTAAAATTCGCTGTTCATTCCTGAAATGTAGAGGCATGCGCGGAAAATCATTCGCTTCTCTATGAAAATATCGATGCCGCCTGCCCTAGTAGGGCAACTATCCTAATCTCAACATGTAGCTGAAAAAAATGTATTTAATGTTAAAGGTGTTGTGGAGTGGGCTCAGATATGGATTCTATTTATATATTTATCCTCTAAACAATAATAACAACAAAATAATAACATATGTAATAACAGTATGCCATAAGTAAAATTTGGGAGAGTAAGCATAGTAAGTCTTTTAAAACTAATCTGTATAGGCAAAAAATGTTTTAGTTAACATTTGGTAAAATGTAGATTGAAAACAAGCAAAAATAGTTTACCACTTTTTCACCGAATAGTCCTTTGTGGTATTTAAATATACAAATAATCTATTTCTAATAGTATTTAGCCTCCCATTTATTTACAATTGTGATAAACTACAAGAACCCAAGTTGGATAAGTCATTAATGAGTCATCCCATAATTATTACCTTTTCAAATGAATATTGATTCCAAACAATGTGAATATTGCAGCATTTATAATTCTTACCAGTTTTTCTCACTTCATCAACAGCTGCTAGCATTTCTTGGGTTATATCCGGATTTTCATAGGCTATCTGTTCGCCTTTCTCAATAAAATTTTCCGTAGCCTTTTCTACTGTACTCACGAGCGCACTAGAACGTTTCGATTTGCCCTTTTTCTTTTTGCTCGGACCATTGGTATTCACTAAGGTGGTCACTTGAAGGACCAAGGGTTCGAGCGTTTTTTCCACGGACATTGTCCTGATTTCTAAGTTTTTCGGATCCCATTTCAGTTCGAAATGATCAGCCATCGTGAATCTACGAAACATATATTATAATTACATTACCTGCAACATTTTAATAATTTTAAAACACGTACCTTTTCTAATAATTACGTTGTTATAAATAAATATGGTTCTTGTCAAACACAGATACACCTAGTTCATAGATAACAGAATGATGACTCACAATATGGCCGCAAGCACAGACTGAAAATCTCTTCTTCCCTCGGCTAAATAGCCTTTATGGTTATAAGTTTGGTTTTAAGTTAAACACGGGTAAATGCTTAAAAAATATTTATGATACTGAAGTGCGGTAGACACTATACAATTTCTGCATGTATTTTTACGAGAAACAAATGCTTTGAAAATTGCATTTTTTGAGCAAAATGTATTTCATTACTTTGGTGGAATTTTGTTTTTTAAGGTTGTTTTCTTTAAATTGTGACACAATGAATGAAATTTTTGCGGAAAAATGTGTTTAGCACCATATATCATCACCCGATTGATGAAATACATAGGGAGCACAAATCAGTTAATCTGCCTAACTTAATACCTCTACAATGGTTCCTGGCATAATGAAAAAAGCCCCTTGCCAAAAATAAGAAGGGCCCACCGGCTATACCAGTGACTTCACAGAAGGAACCCACTCCAATCAGAGCAACATGTGTATCCCCCCCGTAAGTTGTTTCAACAATTTTTTTATTGGTATAATTAAATTAATTAAAGGCTTATAACATGTTTTCATTTTAGAAGTACCAAGGAGTCAAGGAGGAAGTCAACATATCTGCTAAATTTTCCTCAGTTGGTACATATTCAACAGATATTTTCTTGTGTAATACTAAATCTTTTAAATAATGATTCTTTATATCTATGTGTTTAGCCCTTTTTGAATTCTCATTACTTTTTGACATTAATATTGAACTTCTGTTATCACAAAAAAGCAGTGCGGGAATATTAAGCTTAAAATCATTTAACACCCCTTTAAGATTCATTAGGTCCTGAGCACAAGCAGTCGCTGCAACATATTCCGCTTCGGCGGTAGAAAGAGCAACGCATCCCTGTTTCTTTGAAAACCAGCATACAGGGTTGTTACCAAGTAAAATTAAGCAACCACTTACACTCTTCCGATCATGTTTATCTGATGCCCAATCTGAATCTGAAAAAGCTTTTAATTTTACTTTGTCATTGTTTGATTCATTTTTCACAAAAGTTGATCCTTTAAATTTAGTAGTATTTAAATAACGTAATATTCTTTTTCCTGCGTTCCAAGTATCATTTGTTGGCTTACAAATTTAATACACGTGCCCAAAAAAAAATTCTTTCAAATTTTATCTATCTACCTTCCGCCCGTCAACATATTACGTGGTTCTGGGCCCATAACCTGTTGTGAATTTATGAACACACGGATGTATTAAACTAAAATAACTTTATTAATAACAAATACACTGATCTTAAATTAACACTCTCTCTCATGTTGGGTTAGGTTCTATTCTGCACCGTTTCCTCTTCTTTTCTTGCAGTGGAATATGACAAGTAATCACAACACATTTTTTACGACCTTTCTGGGTTACCTTTCCGCAACCAGCTCTCGGGAATGGTTTTATTTCCTCAGGAGTCTTGGACTTGTGGACTTGCTGGAGCAACTCTCTTTGTAGGAGTTTTGTGTGTACCTTCTTAATAGCTTCTTAAAGAATTTGTGGGTCAACACGTATACGCGGTTTTGCACCCTCTTTTCTTTTATATGTTCTTCCCATTTTATAATTAATCTAAAACAAACGAAAAAAGAAAAATGACAAATTGAATGTACGGGAGTGCTCTTTTAAAAAATATTTTTTTTTCATGTTAAGAGAAAACGTTAATTAAATAAAATACATGTAAATGCAAACTTTAATAAACTACTTTCAATGATTTTGACACATACTCAGTAAATTATTCATTCAGTTATTTAAAAAAAACAAATGAAAAACTTACCGAAACAAATGCCGACACAGGAAAATAAAAATGGTTGCACTGCTCTGAAGTTGGCTGTATAAAGATGTGAAAATGACGTTTTTGGTCCACCATAGACAACAAAGACTTATGTTGCCAATATAAAAATTAGAAAAAGCGTTTAGTTTTTGATTTGTTACAAATTTTATATTCTAAATTTGTTGCAATTTGTTAGTAGACACGTTTCAATATTTACATATAGAAGTTGCATTGAGTCTACCAGGCTTAACTGTGCAGACAGTTTATATCATAAATCTCCTTCGCAGGACGCCACATATTACTAATAGTAGTGGGAAACGGCTTCTTATAGTTAGCTCAAAACATGAGTTGTAGAAATCCAGTTAATGCTTTCCTAAATTTAATTAGTTTGCTAATACATTAGATGTAGAAATAAAACAACGGGTCATTAAATAAATTTATTTTTATAGGTTCACAGTTTTAACAATAACTTTGGTTTCCTTTAGTGATATCAATCGTGTGTAACACAGTGGATAATAAAAAACAGTTCGGCTGGTTCCATCGACTATGGTACAGTATTTACACGTTAAACCTACATTCCGGCGGCAAATGTGGTTAAAAGGGTTGACACAGTACAGTTTGTGATCTGGTGATTTGGTGTATGAAAATTTGGTGCAGCAACGCGTGTTTGCCATTTTTCACGTAGTGTGTGGTGGTGGTTTTGTAACCGTGCAGTACTCGAGACCTGGGTTCAAAATATACTTAACAAAACAGGCTAATTTGTAAAACATTATTTGGGAAGCTGCAGAACACTCTTACAGTGTGTATTTGAATACCTCCGGGAAAGAACATGACAGAATCAGCGGGGAAAGAGATGGAACAGACTTGGAAGGTGACTGACAGTTGGGAAAAACGGCTATACGATAATCTTTGTACACTTTTTGTATAAAAAAATCAGTTGGTAACGACTCTCGCGTCTTTAATCTCACAGTGCTCACGTCTAAATTGATATTCGGCAGTGTCGCACCATTCGTTCTCGTTGTCCAAGAGGACCGTTATTCACTATAACTTTTCCTTCTTGCTCGTAAAGTCTAACACTTTGCAAATGTCGCAGTCTGAGTCCGCGTTGCACGAGCAGTTGTCCTCGCACTTTTGCAGGTCTTCACACAACTTAAAGTTCTTCAGCTGCTTCAGTTCCCTCTTGACCGTGGTGCTTAAATCGGCCAGCTTCACATCCTTCGCTAACTGCTACCCCTTTTGTCACATGAACACGTCCTGAAGCTCTACAGGTTTGCCTGCAACGACGACCACAATGCTCGATATTTGGCTCACATTTTGCGCATCACAAATTAATTACCTATCCTCGACGCCATCTCGTCCTCGAACGTCACCATCTTCTCTTTTTGCTTGCACGTCGAGTTGGAGGTGATTTTTCTAGGCGCCCGTACGGTCAGGGGCAGAAAATTCGGCACCGGGGGCGATTCGGATGCTGCCGTTGACAGATCGAACTCACTCACGCTTCTAGGAACGAAGTATTCAATCAGGGGCTCGGCACCTGAATCAGACAGACCCATTACTAACTATCGCCCAAGGAGATACTCGGAGGTATTATTTTCAAGTGCTGTTGGTTTGGGTTGCTCAGTTTATGATAATTTAGGAAATATCTAAGAGACTTACCAAGTCCAGCAGCCGATCTTCTCGCAGGTGTATTCCGTTGGAAGTTAGCCTTCCTGGGCAAGCTGTTGTGGTGATAGATGTTGGGAGATCTGCGGCCCCCAAGCGAAGTAAATTTTGAGGAAGGCGCTGCGCCTTCCGTGGTGGGCCTCTGTCAGGAGCCTTGCAATACGCCAGCTGATTCTTCGTCTTTCATTTTCAAGTCCTTTTTGGAGCATGTGCCGCCAAGGTACCTCACTAGACCGACGACTTGGTCTTGAACTAAACTAAAGCACATGGCGACCAGGGCCATTCCGGTCAAAATATACGCTGAACATGCGCATAGGGATACCTCCTCGGTTCTTTGTCCGGGCAGTAGGTCTCCGAAACCGATTGTCCCCAAACTCGTGAAGCAAAAGTAGCTACCTGAAACGTTAGACTGGTTTGACACTCTGAAATGGACTTTAAAGGAAGGCAGGAGATAAAGTCATCTGGTTATCATTCGGTGTCCGCTTTAGGCCCATCAAAAGCCAAACATTGTTAGGAATATTTGTGAGGCAATTGCACAAAATGAAGATTATGTGATAAGTTCTCCAGGAGCAAAGCGTATCGGAACGGTAACTTCTAAATGTCGTGAACTGAAGTAAATAAACTGGGCATTATGGTATATTTCTCGATCGCCTCTGGAAAAGCTTACTAACCTTCCAGTAGCGACCAGTTCTCCAGCCGATGAAACAGCACCGCCCCTGAACAGATATATGCGAGTACCATGATCAGGCACAAAGTGACGGGTACTTTGACAGTGCTAGCACACGGGCACCTCTGCTGCTGCAGTTGGTGGGGTTTCTGATCGACGGCTTTGCCGCACATTTTTCCGTACAACTTGCGGAAACTCCTCGCGAGCAGGTCGCCGGTAGTGGAAAGGTAGAGGAGCATTAGCGGGATCCCTATCAGGGCATAGATGATGGTTACGAGTTTACCCGATGCAGTCCTCGGAGATATCGAGCCGTAACCTGAAATCGTGGTAGATAGATCAAAATCTGCATGGAATTGTTTTTGGAAAAATAAGCAAAATCGATCGATCGAAAAAAATGATGCAGTAGCTGAATTAGTCGCTAGCATAAACAATGTATAGACAAAAAAAGCTTCATCACTGTGTATATTTCTTGATCTGGCTAAAGCATTCAACGCAGTCAGTCCACCACGAACAACTTTTAGCTTATCCTCACTTAGATAATCGAAAACAATGTGTTCAAATTCAGAATGTTATGAGCAAATTCCAATTGATCAAATATGGAATGCCTTGGCCCTATATACTCTTTGACGGCCTTTTCAAGTTAAACATCAAGGCACGGGTTGTGAGTTTTGCTGACACAGCAGTTATTTATAGCGCAGTAAACTGAACAGAACTTAAGTTAAACGTACGTAGTTAACCGTAAATTGTGGAGAATCATTTTTCTTAGCCTTTACATCATATGCTAGAAACACCCCTACTTATAATACATTACATAGTCAGCTAAAGTGGGTTGCTCGGGTCGCTTATGTTGTGAAAAAGATTAGAGCACTTTTCAGATTCAAGGTTTGGTCTTCGATCTTAAACGAGTCACAATGAAACCTGCTCTATCATGCACCTGTTGAAACCCATATTAGATATAGGATAACACCCTGGGGAGGTGCATCTCTGTTATTTAATGGATCAATTAGAAAAAAATCAAAAATTGATTTTAAAAGTAATTTACACGAAAATAGTTCTCTTCCGAACAAAAGTTCTCGATCCGCTTCAAATATTCTGCCACAATCTGTTAATACGTCAAGACACCCTTGAAAAAAATCGACTATAACAACAACACAAGAAAGAAACACAACAGATATAAATTGCCAGTTCTTGAGAAGATTGTAGCATCTAAATGCGATATATACCTTGCTCCAAAATTGTATAACTCCCTACCTGAGCCTATTAAAAAAATAAATTCTCTAAATTTACTAAAAAAAGTCAACTTTGGATATTCGAAAAACCACGTATACCCAAAAAAATGATTAAAATAATAGGTATAAAAATGCAATTAATTTATTCTTGAAATAGATTTTTTTAAATAATTCATTTAACTAATTTCATCTTGTTGTTACTTGTATATATATAATATTGTTTATATCTACTGAAACTTAAGACAAACTTTGTTAGTTTGGTAATAATTTAAATGTTATCGTTGATTGTTGGTGGTGCTATAGACAATTAATTGTGTTAAGTTCGTGAAAATATAATACCTATATTAATTAACGTGCCCACGGTCAAGAGATTTCTTTAGTGGGTTTGTTTGTATTATATTTGCAGTATTATAAAAAAATTGAGGAACTGTATATTATTTGATGTTTCTCTTCTTCTTTTTTCCAACACTGACCGACATATAAAATTTCTGATTCACATAAAAACCTTATCATGGCACTTTTCGATTCAAATTCCTTGGAGTATTCACAATTTTTTCTATAATTCTCAATTACCCTACAAATAATTCAACTTTATCATGTTGCCCGTATTAAGTCTTTCTCATTTTTTGCATTTTTTGACACCATTTCCAACTATGATTGATTGCCAAATCAAATAAGCAATGTGTATTCATGCGTGGGAAAATAGAAAATTACTGAAAATAATCTGAATACGCCACTGCATTTGACTCAAAAAAGTGTCCTAATAACGTTTTTATCAGAACCGGAACTTTTCATAAATAAATAAATTATCGAAAATTTTAAAAATGGTCGAAAATGTAAAATGTAAATGTAAAATGTAAAATGTTGTAAAGATGTGAAAATGCTGGTTTTACCAATTACAGTTTTCATTTATTTTAATGATTAAACAATTTTAAAATAATGACTTTTTTACAATAGGTTAAACTTTTTTTTTAATTTGGCGAAATCCTTGATGATAGCAAAGGGTTAATTTTCGTTCAACTCTATTAAAATTGTGAAGTCCGGTGCTGTTCTCAGCTGTTTTAATGAATAGTATTCTCAATGAATTTTCTGCAATTTTTAAGTTGTTTTCAAGCAAAAAAAAATAATATCATGAAATTGACGCAACGTATTTTTATGAACATTTATTTTTGGACATTTCCGCGCAATCAGATAAAATTGATGCGCCGCAGGAGGCATTAACATTTTCATAGAACGTAGGGTAACGTAGGTAGGAAATGATTTTGCCTCTACATTTCACCTACTAAAATTGGCGCATATAAACTTATTGACGATCTGTCAGCGGCCATGTTGGTTCTTGAATGCCCCAAGTCATTCATTCATAAATTCCTGTATTTTCGGCATAGACAGGGCCTCTACATCTCTAGTAACAATAAATAAAATGTGCACCAAATAAAATGTTGAAACGGACAACCAGCCGCTTAATTGCATGTAACTGTTTTTTTTTTAATATTCAACACCGGTATACGGGAAATTTATCATTTCCAGACCGACTTTGATATGAACTTTTTTACTATTCTTTGGAAGGCGAATTTCCCTCCGAGAGATGGCGCTTTTTTTATTTTTTTGTTGTGGATTTATCATTTCATTGTACTACATAAGAAGCGAACGGAAATTTGTGAAAGGGACTGTACATTGTTTCGGAATTTGCAGACCAGCGTTGGTCCCGACAGGGAAACTGCATTTTCAATATCGGCCTGAATAATTAAAACGAATATTCATTGTGCGATCGGAACGGGGCGGCAGGGGGGCAGTTGCGGTTATTGTTTTCGATATGACAAAAATCGATCCGGCAACACAGGAATTTATGTGTAAAACGCCGTATAGATTATTAATGTACCGGGTCATTATGGCGAATGAATCGGACGAAAATTCAGATTACAGACGAGTCGCGTTTTGTGGTCATATCGCGCCCGTTGTTTTTGAGGGTGATTGATTAATCGGGTGGCGAAACAAAATGTATGTGGAAGACTGGCGAATTTTCGGAATCATCATTTCGGAAAGTCGGATTAGGATTATTTTACGCGAGGGGTATTTTCCGCCAATGAGATGCGGATTTTCTTCTGATTTGAATCCACTTCGTTTGAATTTCCGATTTTTTTTTTCGAGAATGGGGGAGGAGTAAGCGCTGACAGGGGTTTTTGATTTATTCCGGCCAAACTTTCGGTAATTTGTCGAAAGGGCTTTGAAACATTTTAACGTCGAACCACTGAACCGGAAAACGCTCTATTAGCTTTAACACATCCCTGCAAAAACTTTCGCTAATATTTTGTTACTGTTCTTTTAAGTTGATACAGTTATTAACGGCGTATACAAAGCACTAAGCTTTTAGCGGCGTAGATGTCACAGGTAAATGGCTTTGACATAATCAGTGTTATAAAAAATGGTGCTAACTGCAGTAGCAAATTTATACTACTAGACGCAGAGTTTCATTAAAGAAATAGCATTGATCTCACGACCTCTCGATTCATTATTTAGTGGAGATCCGCACTGCTGCAAATGAATATGCGATTTGGTAAGAAGCGAAATTACGAGTCTAAGTTTTGTCAGAATAGGTATTAAATAGTTCAAATTAAAAAATATAACAGTGATAAGAGAATAGAGTTCTGAGAATCATTTACCTTGATGAGATTATGACCCTCATGGATGGTTCGATATTTCAGGACGATCTAAAAATAAAGAATAACAAATTTGCTCCGGGTCAGAAAAGGTTTGGGTCCCAAATGCTTTGACGGTTAAAACCATAAAGATCCAACCCCAGAAGTTTTTGAACAATGGTTCAATAGTATATATAAGGTTCCAGTGTCAAATAATACAAACTTGGAAATTAAAAAGTACATGGTAAAATGCCTAATTGCACACCGATCTAGAGCGCGGGAAGCGTCAGTTTCGATTCCCACGGATCCGACCACTTCGGACATTCCGGAGATAATTGTGAAGTTTGTCAATTCTGACGGTCATGTCAGTGAATATGTATTCGTGTTGTTTTGCGAAAATATACCCAAAAACTAACAATCGTGGAAAAAGTATAGTCTGTGACACGTTCGGTAAATTTTTAAGTCACTCGTTTATTAAACACTCGCTCCGCTGCGATCCGCTCGTGTCAAATAAACTAGTGAGTCAAATGCCGATTACTGCACTTGTTGTAAGGGGTGTTTTTTTTTTCGATGTATAGAACTTTAAGTTGCAATAAAACCACGATGGATTATTCGATTGATATGAATTTTATTTATCCGAAAGATAATCTTGTGGCGTTACATTTTAAATATAATTTCTGGCATATGACCGCCAAGGCTGGCGCGGATGTAGTCCAATCTGGACGTCTAATTTTCGATGACTTTTTCCAACATTTGTGGCAATAACACGGCGAATGTTGTCTTCCAAATGGTCAAGCGTTGACTTTACATAACCCCACAGAAAGTAGTCTAGCGGTGTTAAATCACAAGATTTTGGAGGCCAATTCACAGGTCCAAAACGTGAAATTAGGCGGTCACCAAACGTTTCTTTCAATACATCGATTGTGATACGATCTGTGTGACATGTTGCACCGTCTTGTTGAAACCACATCTCCTGGACATCATGGTTATTCAATTCAGGAATGAAAAAGTTAGTAATGATAGCTCTATACCAATCACCATTGACTGTAACGTACAGGCCATCATCGTTTTTGAAGAAGTACGGACCAATGATTCCACCAGCCCATAAAGCGCGTCAGTTTTTCTGGATGTAACGGCGTTTTGATATACACTTGAGGATTAGCTTCGCTCCAAATGCGGCAGTTTTGTTTGTTGACGTAGCCATTCAACCAGAAGTGCGCTTCATCGCTAAACAAAATTCGCTTATGAAAATCGGGAACAATGGCAATCTCGTTTTGGGCCCATTCGACGAATCTACGCCTTACTTGATGATCGTTTGGCTTCAATTCTTGCACGAGTTGGATTTTGTAAGCACGTAAACCAAGATCCTTCCGCAAAATCTTCCATAAAGTGGATGGAGACAGATCCAATTCCTGTGCTCGATGGCGGATGGACTCATTCAGGTCTTCCTC